GGGGGGGGGGGGGGGGGGGGTAATTTCCAAACTTCCGCCAAAACGAAGCCGTAGCTTACCTTTTAGACCAACTTGTGAAACAATCATCTGCCGTCCATATCGTTTATATTCCTCCTGAAGCAAAGGCCATCGTCTTGCTTCGCCATTTTGGTCCTCAGGCTGGATTTCCGCAGCCGTTGCGATCTCCGATCGCGCCGCTTGTTCGGCGTTTGCAAGGTCGCGTTTCAGTTCAGCAAGCTGTGCTTCTGTCGCGGTGATCTGAGCGCGCAAAGAAGCGCATGTTTCGTCAAGAGAAACCATCGAGATTGTTGGCGTCGACGCGTGCGGGAAAGAGAAATTAACACGTGAGGGGGGAAATCTCGAAGTTCCCCGCGGTATTTATTGTGGGGCTCTCGGCGACGAGGTATACGAGCTTATTTGATTTCTGATATGTAAATTCCGGTCAATTGCTTATATGGAATATTCATGTTCATCTATGTATATATAATGTCACATTGTTTGATCCATCTTGATCTCAATATGGCAGATATATAATTCCATCATCCAGTTCACTCCTTGTGCTCTGTAGTCTCTGTGGTCTTCGCAGTCTCGGTAGTCTCTGCATGCTCTCCGTGCATCATTTGAGTTTTTTGCAAGGTATGTTCGACATCGGCACGTCTCTGGTCCTCATCAATAGCACCGAAAATGAGATCCATGTCCTCTAGACTGCGGCCCTTGGTCTCTTTGAAGAATATTATGACGAAGATACACATGGCAGAGCAGAAGATGCCAAACATGAGGAAAGTCTTCCAGCCAATCTTATTGATAGCACGAGGGGTGATCTCAGTGATAACGAAGTTGAACAGCCATTGTGTGGCGGCACCGAAACCGACACCGTAGGCGCGAAGACGGGTTGGGAAGATCTATTGGAAGAAATAATGTTAGTCCACTGTTATGGGCAAGGATATATATTAGGGCAAATAACCCACCTCGCCAAGATATACCCAGGGAACTGGTCCCCATGATGCTGAGTATCCGATGACATAGAGATAAATCATGGCAACCATGGCGATGGACGCCGATGAGACGGATGTGGCTTCCTTAACTGGGGGATGGGTAGCCAAGACTGAGCCAATGATGAACATCATACTAGCCATCCAAATGGCACCTCCAATCAAACTCTTCTTTCGGCCCCAGCGATCGATACCGACGATGAGGAAGGTGGCTGTTGCAACTACCTTGACTGTTCCGTAGATACCAGTGGCAAAAAGTGAGGTGTCTGTTGCGCTCAATCCGACCTGAAAGCATGGGAAAGATTAGACTTTTGCTAGTTCGGAAAATGGAGGGAATGTCTTGGTATGTAGACGCTGGAGTGAACTCACGCTTGCAAAGATCTGAGGAGCATAGTACCCAATGCTGTTTGTTCCGGAGAACTGCTGCCAGAACATCAGAAGGAATGCCAGGAAGAAGCGATATCGGTTGCTTGGCTTGAGGCATTCCCTCCAAGTCAAACCCTCGGTAGCCTGCAATTCTTCATCAATAGCAGCCGAGATTTCAGCAAACTCGAGTTGAACAGCCTCGCTGATTTCAGGCTCATTGCGAATGTAAGCGAGAGACTCGAGTGCTTCGTCCCGGCGGCCCTTTGTCAACAACCAACGAGGAGACTCTTTAAGGAAGAATAGGCCGATGAGCATCAGACCACCGGGGACAAGCTGGATGCCAACTGGGATATGCCATTGGCTTGTACCCTCGGGAACATGAAGCGCAACACCATAGTTCAGCCAGTAGGCAAATGTACTACCAATAACCAGGAACTCCTGGAACAGACCGGCAATACGCCCACGGGTTGCTGGAGGGCAGTTCTCGCTGACAAATACGGGGGTGATACTGGACATACCACCAACACCAAAGCCAGCGATGACACGTCCACCATAGATCATACCAATCTCATGGTGAGATGCAACTTGGACCGCTGCTCCAACCAGAAAGATAACGGCAAAGATCATCAGCGAGTACCTGCGACCTAGTTTGTCGTTAATGTAAGCAGCGAAGATGGATCCGAAGAAACATCCTGCTGTGAGTAGTGACACCACATTGGACGCAATGTGAGCATTCTCCGCATTGCCAAATCCAGAAGACTCGAGAGGGAGGCCGAAGTCCTTCTTGAAACTCGAAAGAGCGAGGACTGAGCCCATAACACCTGTGTCATATCCTAGAAAGCATGTGTCAGTAAAATTCCCTGGTGGGGTCGATAAAATTCACTAACCAAAGAGCAGGGAGCCTAGATAGGCAACCGAAGTCAGGATGTAGACCCGATAGTTCTTGAAATTGACGAACCCCATCTTGAAAAAGAGCGGGTGATCTCAGTAAATATATCAATAGAATTGAGATGCCCCTATGAAAAGCCCTTAATAACAGAAAAGCATAAAAAGGGAAAGAAAAAGATCCATTAAGTTCGGGTGGCAGCTGGATTTATACTTGACCTAGAGATCAATCGGTCTAAGACCAAGTGGCAACCTAAGCATCACAAGCAACCTTGGAAGTGGCTTTCCTGCCATCTCGTCATGTTGATACCCCTTTCAGCTGCCAAGCTACTGATCTAGATAGTCCGGGGACCTAGTGTGGAGACTGGGGAACAAGTTGGGGAGATTAATGGCGGGGGATACGGGGTCCCAGTTGGATCATGATCACACCTGACAGCCCTGCAGTTGTTCTATCCACTCAGGAAGAGTCCAAGCTTAGGGGAGAAGGCTTGATGTGTTGCCCGCGGGGAAAGACGTAACTTTTGACGGAGCCGGGGCGGCTATCAAAGTGCTACGGTCGGTGATTGATTGAAGAATTATATCTCCGTCTTTCCCATCCCCACAAGATCGACTCAAAGTAATTATATATAAGATCGCCTGGAGTGAACTCATTTCTTGCTTTTCGAATATCCCGACTATGGACTAGTCGTATATTGGATTGAAATTCCAAATTTCTGGTAAGGCTATCCTGAAATGCCGTCGGCGATTGTCTTTGGTTGCCGATGCCTTTGCACTCCTATACATTTATAGCGAATAAGCCACCAACCTTAGAACATGACTGTCTGGAATAAGAGAAGTTAATTATTAATGCTAAATTGGCGACCCAGGGGTGCGATTGGACCCTCCAGGATCCCTCGGCAAACGCCCACGCCACATCCCGTAGCAACCAGTTGGAGGCGTGGGAATTTTAGCCCTCTCTAGACGTCTTACCAAGCTCCGACGACGAGTTACTCAACTTGTACAAGGATGCTACTCTTGATTCGTGGACATTACATGGGTTCGGCAATCATGAACTACCAACTGCCATCAGGACATCAGCGACAGGACGGTTGTTGAAACGTCCTGCTTGCCGTACTCTATGATTCCTATTGCCGTAACCAATAAGCTAAAAGAATACATGCTCCATTGCTGGCAATAACAAGATGGTCAGCTAAGCGATCTTTTGGTTATCAAAGCGACGCTTTTCTTTCCCCGACTCGACGGCTTCTTTTAACCAAAGAACCGCCTAGCTGACCGTCTTGTCATTGCTACCAATCGAACATATCATAAACGAGAGAAAAAAGAAAAGTAGAAACTTCAGACAAAATGAGTCCCAAGCCTAGTACTTCTGTTGAAGGTTCCCTGATAAAGGCCGCTAACACGTTGAGGTGTCATTGGCATCGGAACGTGGTATTCAATACACCGGTGGTAGTTCAGTCGTTTCATAAATCTCCCCGTTCCGGTGATCATGGACATCCAGCAGTACCCGAATCACAAAATTTGAGTTAGCCTGGTCTGAGAATATCCCCTGCAATACCTTCCACTGGGATCGGAAAGCGTCAATCTCATAATAGCATTTATCTGCCCTCGCGCAATACGACAATTTCATATCACCCAAGTTCAATCCATAAGCCCCACAACACATCATGTGTCGAATGATGTCTCGAAATGATGCAACCGTCCTGCATGCTCTAGGGTCTTGTGTCATCATTTGATCTGCCGGGGGGAGCACCTTCCCGTCATGTGTGATAGCTGTAAGGACCCGCAACAAATTCATATTCCTGTGTGTGTTGTCGCTCCTGTCCCAGATTACCTTTACCTGGATTGGGGCAAGGGCGTTGGTACTGCTCTCAAGGGATGAAGAGGAGCATTGCTGAGCTAGTCTCAGGTGGTTGGGTCTTGGTTTTGTCTTTGTCGGCATCCTGCTGTCGTATGTGATAGCCTTATTCTTTGATGAGACGAAGAATATCAAGGCCTTTTCCCAAGACTTCATGTAGGGAATCCATGAGATATATCCCAGGATTGCCCAACAGCGATCACATCTGTCGTTCAATTCGTTTCTCCAAGTTATAAGCTGGGGACGAGGATGAAAAATGTTGTCCTGCGGGATATCGAGCTCCAAGATCGCGCTTAGTTCACCTCGATATCTCCTTGTGTGGCGAAAGTTATCCATGTCACTGGCTCTGATGTACTCCTCTATGTCATTAGACATCTGCACAAGATGCCATGCCATGATGTGTGTAACTCTCAAAGAAGTGTCCTCCTCCGACTCTCGAGGACGTTGCGGCCAAATTTCGTAAGGATCTTCGATACAGGATAATTCCTTGCTCCCCTGGATTATATGATTTATTTCATGTTTTAGCGAGTGAGTCTGGTTATGTGGTGCCTTAATCCAGGTTTTGATGACAGGCCAGGACAAAGCAAAGTGTCTGAGGTCGTGTTTGTGCTGTAGTCCAAGATAAACGGCCAGCTCTGCCTCATCATGAGAGTCACATAGGAACTTCCTGAAATTGCCAAGGTCGTCAAATGTGTGATCAGGATGACTCGCCGCACTCGTCTTGGTGGGCCACGGTGACTTTCCTCCCTCCGATTAGCTGGTTTTAAATACGGAGAGTTTCATTGTGTTCTCACCGCACCATGGGGCTCCACAGAGACCTGTGGATATTGAGATGAAGGTTGCTTGGAAAGTGTTTCACCAAGGCCCGGGGGATGGGATTTTCCCTGCTTCTCAGGGTAAATATGGGGTGTTATACTAGCAGCGACTCGTTTTACCTTTAGCGATTCAATTCTCGCTGACTGCCTCTGGGGAATTTGAATATCCCTGGCCTATGGAATTGTGAATTAGTGACATGATTTGAGATAGAAGTGTGGAGAACGAACCCTCTTAGGCGTTAGCTCTTCAGAGGGCGACTCAAGCCGTTTTCTCTTTCCCTTGTCATCAGTTGGACGAAGACTAGACGGGCCTGCTTCTGAGCTCATGATTCCACTTAATAATCTGATGCGATGGGGCAATGTAGCGTGATGGTCTCCAGAGAATTCGTAGAAAAGGAAGCTGATCTGGTATATAGTGGAAGAATGACTATGGGAAACAAGAAAAAGAATTCACCGACACTATGAGAGGCTAAGTGTGGTTCTGTACAAGGGACTGGTGCACACAGGAGCCGGAGAAATGGTTGAGGGATAACCGTAATTGTTTCTTGCATAATTTCGCACAGTAATGTTAGCTATGTGTACTGCTGAGCTCTTTTGTTTTTCGGTCAATTCATCAGTTACAGTCAATTAAAACTTGAAATAGGCACCTTCAAAAGGGGTATCTGTTCCCAGGCTAACTATAGCCCTATGTTACTTCTCTATCTTATTGCTCCTTCTTGTTGCACAGGGCAAGTTTGGGCTGAGAGAGCTTATAGAATAAATGTAAGTAAAATACAATCTATCTTGACTATCTAACCAACCTCGACAGACGAGCCGACGTAAAACAGATTAGGCCCTCCACATAGCACGACGAGTGTCTCATATTTCCTAGGATTGCCATCCGCGATGGAGCTCGCAGTGGGCATTCCGAGGAAGATACTAAATCATAGATTTAACCACGTTGTCCCAACCTGTTTTCCATGCTGTGAGGGTTACATATGCGACAGTGCATATTATTGCACGGGGTAACGCAACGTATTGTATGGACCAGAAAAGCCTAGGATTTGGAGCCAACAACAGAATAACAGGGGTAAGATTGGTCCATCCAGTCAAAGATTCTATGTTGCACTGAGGTGCTTGCTGCCTGCTCAGAATTTGTCAGGCCTCTCCTTTCGTCTTTGTCAGGCCTTTGTTTGGTTCTCTCTGGTAGGATTTGATTTGTGGCCAATATTGTATTTAGCTCGGTCTGTGTGAATTTCAGTAACTATTTTATGTCAGTGAGTATTGAAATGGAAGTCACTCTGACAGTGCAAATATATAACTGGTACCCCAACTCCAATGTAGACCTTTCACGGCAACAAGACTGTGAGGGTTGAGCAGCGGGTTTCTCACCTTTGCATGCTAAATTACATGATCAAGTCTAGCAGATTGTAGTCGGTATATGCTTAGGAAAGTTTGACGAGGTGAGACGGGGGGAAGCCAGAGGGTGTCGAGACTCCGGAATTTGTCCCTTGATAGTGCATCCGTTTTTATAACAACAGCTGGAGCTTTAATATCAAGTAGCCACATGGCCACCCTTTAAATGATTCAGAGCAAGTAGTAGGCTAAAACGATTCCTTCATATAGCCTGTTATGAAACGCGTTGCCCGAAAACGAAATGAAGACACATATCAGAGATCGTCGCGCGCCAAGCCGAGGGTCGTATTATTGATTACTATTAATTCTTCATGTTACCTAAGTAGATCAAGATCTTTGTACTTGGATACCAGTCACGTTATACTCTCGGGAACTGCCATTTCGATTAAAGTTGCACAATGAGAATTCATGAGAGCCAAATACCAAGTCGAAGGTCAAGACGCAGAAAAAGACACAACACCACTGACTCCAAGCAGCCAAACTTGACATAGGGAAACTCCCCACACAGCTACAAGTCATAGCAAGCTCATCCCCACCCGAGCTCAATTGAAGGGCAGTCGCTGTGTGGGGCACAGAGCATGGGATGAGCTAATCAGTTGTCGTCTCATAAGACTCCTTCTCGGCTTTCCGCTGCAACATTCTTCGATATGCAAAAAGTGCCATGATTCCAACCACAACGAGAAAGACAATGCAGAAGACAAGCACCACCCCGCGGTTCTTGTTCGCCCAGTTGCCCTTTTTGCCCGATCGTTCCACAATCGAATGGAGAGATAGGGATGCGGACTTCGTGCGGTGGATTATTTTGATCGGTGCCATACTGTCGGTGATTCAGATCTGGATTTCTGTTTTACAGGTCAGTTATCAATCAGGAAAATGGTCGTATCGTTTGCCCCATTCAAGCAGAGACCCGGGATACCGGCCCACGATCGAAGGGTGTATTCTCACAGGATGCTGAGGCTTTGTGGCGATATCAATTGAAGACTATAGATTCAGCAACCTTTCAAATCTCGTTGTATCAGAACTGAATGGCTGATAATACCCCCCAACGAAGGCAATGATCGAAAGGAATATCATAATGGCCAAGGGAAAGACACCTACTGTCACACTGATAACAAGACAGCCGGAAGAGACGAACTCGGAGCACAGTGAGATTAGACTGGCAAATTGCAATGAAAAACCACGATAAATCTAGCAGACGGTGGTGATATTGTCGGGTCAATCTTGAGACAAGTGCTGAAGCTCGCCAGCATGGTTTTCGTCCATCAGAGGAACCTCCGGCACACGACGGACAATGAACATTGCCAATCGATGATGCTTGCTGCCCTAGTACCTTGCATCGTACCTAGTTGCCCTCCAAATCGAGATAGGCTTTCAATTTGATTGGATCCCCGTCGATTCTTTACCGTGGCTATGGTATTTGGCAAAGGAAAGGTGCTAGAAGGCAAGCTCCGCAGAGCTCCGATATCCAAGCACGACCTCTCCTCGGTGGGCGAACTCTCGCCACATGTAAGAGCTCATGTTAAACTGCGAACCCCATACTGTTGCTAATTGCTATTTACGCAGCTTGCGCATTCAAGAAGTTTGGGCTTGTGTGAGTTGAAATACCTGCATGTGGTAAAACGACCATTACCCACAGAATAGGAACTTTGGATAACACCGGGGCTGTACCATTACCGCTGCGTCACGCGTCAATCATATTCTACGCTCGGCTCGTCGGGTGCCTGGTGACAACACTTCGATGTGACTGGAGGTTTCTGGAAAGCAAGGGCGACAATGTTTATGATATGCATGCACAGTGGTAAGCAAATACTGGGCCTTGAATTAGAATCGAGTCACGCTGGTCTGCTTTAAAGCCATTTTAATCAGCTATATCGTTTATCACAATGACTTTGTGCGCATCATACCTTTGAACTATGTTTTGACGTCATCTCTGGTAGCAAGAACAATCCAACCTATGGACAACTTAGAAAGCTTTATCCTCAGTTTTTTTCTTCGTTAAAGAAATTGTGGTAATCAATGTACAATTACAATTACATGTTGATGTTGATTTGCACGTCTACGCCCACGCACAATATATGAGTCTATGAACTGTTGTGCCTGAGGCATTCAAGTTTTAGCCTTCAGGAAAAAAACAATGCACATCCACAGATGCATAGCAGTGAACGGTTTCGAATCTCACTCACTGCTGTCATGAACCTTCTAAAGCCGTTTCCATTGATGTACTTAGAATTATGTTCCATCCCAACACAACATTGTCTCTCGAAGGACCTTAACAATGGGCTCTACAACATATGTCGGCTATCTACTCGCTGCCACTAGAACTGGGTTGATTTGTTATAATCATAATTGCCAAGGCGAAGTCCTAAGCTACTAAGTGGAAATTACCTGGACCTAGACCCCTTTCAGTAATCCGACTCTTCGATGCCACTGAGCATTTTTGTTCCGCAACTCTTGGCAGTCCCGTGTTTTTCTTTCTCTACTCAATGCTCCCCCGATCTGTGAAAGACCAAAAAGAGCAATAAACACATTATGGACGGAATATTGCCTTACAGATATAAACAATCATCTATCTTTTTGTTTCTACACTATACAGCAGACAATATGATGCTTTACGGTTAAGATTTTTCCGCATGCCCATCACCTCGTATTCGGCACAAAGGGCACCAATCACCATTCTCGACGGACGAGATCGCTGCAAGCCGAGACTCCAATTTGCAATTTTCGCAACATGTGGACGGAAATAGCTAACATACTTCGTATTATGATTTAAACTACGATTTTGACAGGGATAGTACGAAGTATGAGCACAGGACTTCTGCACCCCGTATTCGCGGAATGGTCAGCCACCAGGGGCCAGATATTGACTTGCATATTCTTTTTACGCCGTACTGCCGCTGCACAAAGGTTTCTAGTACGCCTTAAAATCATGATCGGGGTTAACCATGACTGTCTTCAGGTATGACTGCAGTGATGAAGGGGTTTGATTCTCTTCGACTAATTCTTATAGGAGCGATCTCCCATCCTAGAGATGCGCTAGAGACCGTATTAATCTACATTTTAAATTAGCTTTCGGTCTTTACTCGCTTGTGCCCACAGGAAGTATAGATCGACCGCTGCAGTCATCTTAGGGTTCAAAACTGGGGGCTTTGACTGGCCCCAAGTATAGGCTAGAAGTGACCCCACCACGGAGGAGGTTCATTTCAATCCTAGATTTATTGTCTTCAATTTCGACAGGAGATCAGGGTCCCTGCGCTTTTTATATGTATATAACTCACATGTCCTCCCTCCCGCACGTTTGACAGCTCAAAGTCTAATTCCAACGATTTTCTCATTTTTTTGCTTAGATTCACTTCACCCAGGTCGACATGATGTTACCACTATGTGCACTTTTACTAATTCCCCTGGTAAATGCATGGACCTTTCGCTACACCAACGCTACTGATGCCACTGAAATCGTCCGCGGCCAAGAGGCACAGAACTGCACAAATTCCCCCATCGGCAAAGAAAAGCTTTTTACCTGGGATCCTGAGGGATCCGATCTATGTGTCTCGATATACCGCGACACCGAATGTGTTTCCAGGGCTGGATACTCGTGCGGAATATGGAGAAGGAATGCCAGTGAAGCTTTTGCGGCTTTCGATGTCCTGCTTGAGAGGGAAATTGATGCCAAACGCCAAACCTCTACGCTCGCTTTAACATCGACGTCTACATCGGCTACGACGTCTACAGCCATGTCCACATCTTCATCTTCATCGTCATCATTGTCTTCTACGACCGCATCCGCAACCGCAACCGCAACTCCCACTGAGTCCACAGCTGTCTCTACAGACAATGCTATCAGCAGCTCATCCTCTGGTCCATCACTCTCCGGCGGTGCTATTGCAGGAATTGTGATAGGTGTAGTAGCTGCTGTTGCCATTATTGTCGCCCTTGTTATCATCTTCATGAGAAAGAGGAACAAAAAGAATGCCACGGTTGCTAACCAAAGTGGTGGCTACGGGCCCCATGAGGCGGATACTACTGGAACATCAATCAGCGGTACGACGGCAGTTATGGAGAAGGCAGCAGATTCAGTTACACGCCCATTTAGACCTCCACCTGGATCCCAGGTTGTTGAGTTGGTTGGCGATGAAGGGAGTGCCGAGCTGGGCAGCAGCCCGATAAGTGAGATGGATGGGAATAGCACCAAGCGAAATTTGAACCGGTCCTAGAACCGCATGGGTAGATACGTTGCTACCTGTTAGTTGAAGTTGTTTTCTGTGTTGAGATTTGTGTGATCTAGATCTTCTGGTAGCGAGCGAGGTTTGGGGGCTCTTTTCTTCCTTTCGACTTGGTGTTGATACACGTATCCTGTGTTTGACATGATTAATATCCATCTCGATGTATGTATGATATCCAGATTTATGAGTAGCCATATGAAATTTGCAGGACAATATGTTAGTCCTGTGGCATATAAAACAAACGTCCTTCAAAAGATATAACAAGCTATCCACGTATAACATTGACATCAAAGAATCATTGTTAGATATGGAAATTGTTTGCTTTTATGCTTTGGCTTGCATGCGAAGAAATATTCTATCTCCCCTTTGTTTTATTGATTCATCCAGGGCTATGCCCAACAATTATAAAATCATTACCACATCCACCACAATGCTTATTTTATCACTCATCTACGTTTCCTGCATATTCTTCCCTCGAAATCGCTTTCCTATTCCTTGAATCCCCTTGACCTCCCCTTTACCTCCCTTCGCTTTCTCTTGACTTTACCGCCGTTCCATCTCTCCTGTTTTATACATATCCTGCTTTCCATCACAGAAAGGTGCCTTCGTGAGAATATGGATTTTGAGTGGCCACCCCGCACGCAAATTCCTCTCTTCACCAATCATCATAAGCGCGCCATGTGTCGTTTGCTTCCCGCTTGTTGTGGCCTTGATTGTGAAATTCCCACAACATAATGCGAAATCCTCGGTGTAGTCACTGTTCTTGCGATGTTTGTGGTCACACTCCGCTATCATGCTTCATGAAAATTTCTAACCCGTTGTCTTTGCAAAGACCCAACCCACTCCACATAGCCTGTGGGCGATGTCCCACGATACCACCACAGCTCTCAAGAATTTCCTGCCATAGAAACCCGCCTCAAAGCCTTACAAATGTGGCCGTTTGAATGCTCCCCCCGACGCCTACACAGAGTAAAAGCAATACCACAGGCTGAGAGACCCCAGTACCGAGTCAGGGCGACAGCGCCAATCTCTTGTGACCATTGTTCCAGAATGAAACGGGTCAACAAAAAGGTGAGTCTTCGATAGCCGTGTTAAGGGAGCCATCGCTGGTCGTCCTGAGCACGCTCAATAAATGAGAGAGAGCTAGGACATATAACCAGACCATCCAGGAATAGCCAGAGAAAAAAATGAATGCCGACGGCCGGAATACAGCCTCATTTTCCAGCAACTTAATGAGCAGAAGGTCATGCAAACTTTCGACAAAGAGACTCATAGAGATGACCAAGAGCTCTTTGTTGTCTATTCTGTCCCAACCAGCCCCTGCTACATGGATCAGGTTCTTCGTGATGCACCAATCGACGCGGAAACCCCACACTTGTTGGTTCCAAAATGAAACCATTTCGCCATTCGTCACTCTTCTCACACTTAACGAGCTTGAATTTTGGGTCAAATTGAATATCAAGACATACGAAAAGCCACACAACTATCACTTCAACCAAATCGATCAGATTTTCGGGTCCAGACCACCAATTACTCAGACCCCCAGCCGTTTTAGGGGGATAACAGCCCTTCGATATATATTTACTCTAGGTATAAAGATCCATGAAATACTCATTGCCCCAAGCGAATCGAAAACGGTCATCGAAGCCTTATTGAACCTAGCTCGGATCCTGAAAATACACAACTAGCTCGCACAAACCAAAAACGTGGAAGTCGTGACATCACCAGTCGACCATAGCCTTATTTGATGCACTCGTCTCTCTCGTCATCCGCTACACCCTATTTGCTAAACGTCACGGACATACGAAATGGTCCGTTGACTTCAATTCTGACGGAGACATCTACCCCGGTCGGTGGCCGATGGTGCACCCTGTCATTATATGGGTTATCGGACTGCGATTTCTGACTGTTTACGCCGACCAATATATCTTGACTCGTTCGTCCCTTAGGGAATATGTATGGTTGCTTACGTCGAATTCTACTTCGGCAGTGGAATAAGATGTCCGGGTCGGTTATGGTTGTGGTTTGTTAGTCGCCGGGTGTTACCCACTTCGGTAAACCAAAGCTAATTGTTACTGATCATGCTAAAGCCCAGCCTTATCCAAAGGGACTCACGCTAAAATGACGAGCGGATATTTGACCATCTTCTGGATCAATTGGCTTGAACGAGTAATTGGAATAACAACACTAGAAAATGATGGCTGCTTGTCGTCTCGCCGGGCCTCACCAACATTTACGATGCCAAACAGCACGTAGATCAGCATGTCACCAGGTCTAGGTAGATATGCCAGTACCATTGATGCCTTGCTCAAATTAAGGGTAGGAAGAAAACCCAAGTTGCCGCCTTAGCTCATTACAAGGTGCATGTCCAACAAGGACAAATTCAAAATGGGGAATGCGGACCTTTACATCTTCCCAGTTATCGCATGAACATTCGAGCCACCGTTCATCACTGTCTATGAGGATTATGACATACGGACCGGCCAACATCTGACTGGCCACTTCTGTCTGTTAGACAAAAGGAGAAAACCGGAAGACCTACCATACAATGGGTTTCACTTTAGGGAATCGTGGTATCGTTCGACCTGAGGTGAATCCTATCCGGATATGGTATCAACTGCAATTGGGATGATGGCGATGGATTCTCCCCATCAGCCATTTCTGAAGTTGAATCTTGTGACCTGTAGTGACTGGGAAACTTATCGCCAGCTCCCATACTGAACTAGTTAAAAAGCTCATATAATGGGGAATCCGTTATTCAAACTTCCCAATAAATAAACAACCACGTATATAGCCCTCTCGAGTCTTTTTGAAGTCTTTTAAAACATCTTTCGAGGTACTATTTCATAAGTTGTAGTTTGTATTGATGTGTCCAAAAAGATAGTATATCATTTTAAGTCAAATTCGGCGCACATTAATGACTCCGCAGAATTCCCTTCTCGATCAACTACAACTGATAAATCTATCATTCATCTCAATGATAAAATCTTCCCTTTAGCGAACCAGGAGGAGAATCTTGTAGCGCAGTGGTCAAGGCAATACACCCAACGTCAGCTTCGGGTTGAACATCTGCAAGCCACAGTTTCTTGTCTCGCATATTTTTCGACCATTCATCTGAGGACCACGTAGAAGATCTGACAATCCCTTCAGTCTTATTTTGCAAAAGGGCAACAGAGATCGACCCCAGAAGATCGGGGGCAATCGTTACGATGTGGAGATAGGCACCCAGTAGTGCAAAACAGAAGATAACAACCGAGGAAATAATGACGACTGCGAGCCAGGGACGGTTACACCTAACGATATTTTGCAGATGGGTATTTTGGGCAGTCAATTCGAACGGGATACCCTTGATTGCACTTACTTTCCGTATGACTTGCGTCATGTTGACAGGGCCTATAAATGCCGAAGGGCTAACTCCAAGGTAGAGCACGGAATTTAAGAGCTGCGATAGACGTGTTCTAAAGACTTTCGCAGTTGTGGTCTCAGACGACATAGGATTCTTGCAGGAAAAGTTTCCAACGGCGTGGAAAGGATCAAAAAAATATCCAATTACGGGCTGTAGACCACCTTTCTGTTCTCTAATGGGGAACATGGTAGTGAGGAGATCCAAGAGTCCGTGATTATAGCGTTTGGGCAAATTAAGATCTCCCGGGAAGATGACATCGAAAATAGTCTAATTTTTGTGGAGATGGGATTTATCCACCGACCGGCGAGCGGAGGGTAAGTTGCAAGTGTTTGCAGACTGAGTCCCGTCTAAGATCTCGCATGTCACATTGGCATGAATATAGGTTGTGGTGATGTCGCATATGGCTCGCGTGATGGGAGATCGAAGTCTTTCAATATTTGCATAACCACGGTCCCACGATTCCCATATCGGCTTGCGGGCATTCCGAGTCCTTGTCATTGATGCATTGAGGAAGTTTCTAAATGGCTTCGAGAGGGCGATCTGTGACTACCCAGAGGAGATGGGCACCACAGCAGGACGGTAAAGATGGCAGCAAAGTTCACAGCACGTAGTCTGATCTGAGTGAGAAAGGCCCCTGTGATAGTCTGGCTGCCGAGACATTGGTTTATTTCTTATGTGCAGATGATTGGTCTAAGTCTTAGATTCATCCCCCTAAAGCTGGGGGCCATGGTCCCGATACATCAATTCATTCAGCCCTTCCTTGTCACACACCAAGGCGGTTACCCGGAGCTTGCCGAGGGGTAAAACTCTATTTTTGGTATCCTGCAGGGCAATATGGAATAGATAAATAAAAATATGATGTTTATATCCAGGGTGGGTAGAAATCTCGCACAATTCTTCTAAGCACGTTGAAACTGAAATGTTTATTCATGACCAACTTTTCTGGTTAGCTGATTTTGGCACTCAAATTAATCTTGATGCACGCAGTTTCAAGTCCCATGCTAAGAGTAGACAGGTGAAACCAGCAAGGAGGGGGCTTGCAAGAAATGGTCAGTTGATGATGATGATGATGAATTCATTGACCCGATTTAGTTCGTTATTACATAAATGCTGCTATGCTGGGGTAAATGGTTAGTTTACTCTGTACTGCCCCCACTCTATCTCTAGTGGCACTGGAAATGATGATTTTTATCGGACATATCGGACATAATCCAATCTCATCTTATAAGTATTGTGTTTTCTCATGTCGTCTTACTTGCCTTTTTGCTTTTACGGGGTATGTATTTCGATGGAATTGTCCCTGCCGCGGGAGATCGTCTGTTCCCGTCTCGGGCGATACTTTATTGCAATTAAGAGTTGAGACACTGTTAATAAAAGCAGGGGTACAAAATATCTAGTAGAAAATACCTGCCATGAAAAGTTAGAAGATCCCATCACCATCTTCGTGCCTGCCTTGTGCACTGATCACCTATCATTCTTTTCTGCTGTTGGTATTATATTTTTTCTACTTTGTACTAACCGCAGGGAGGCGGTCGGCGCTTTCCCCGGCACATCAATGACTCGCCCTCTCGAAGCCCATTCCTAATAGTTATGTACATATGTAGTTTTACAATATAAAATCTAGGTAGGTTGTGCTAAGTATGTAGTTCATAACTCCCAAATAGACTTCGCATGGCTCCACGGCTCCAACCATGGTTAGCTACCGAGATCCGGGGCGTATTACCTTTTTGGGAAGTCACGGCAGTCCACAGCGGCATTGGATTTATGGACTCCCGTAGCACTTTAAACGGATAAACCGGGGAAAGCCACACTCGATGACGCTGTTTTCTACCATCAAGGTGATGAAAATGGCCGCCCGATCCTTAGGAACAGAATTTTCCAGATTGTTAACTTTATCAATTGTTGTATATATTTTCCTTATTCCCAAGGTAGAATCAGTATCAAAAACACAGTGCATTCTATATTATATTCTACATCGGCATGTCTCACAGCCCACACGATACTAGCTCTAATGGAAGCGACGATGACATCAGTACTATCATGACGAGGCCTGATCGCCGTTTCTCGGAAATTGGGTCCACGCGCTCAGGGACCATCAGTCGCCGACAAAGTAACATAAACGATGTCGAACTAGAGCGAATCAATACTTATCGACTCCAACATCGCTCAACCGTTGGCTCCGTTGCTGGAATCACACCACGCGAACAGTGGCTCCCCCTCGGAGCTGGCAAGCCTCATCCGCCATCCCTCCCGGATCCAGAACAATACATTGTCGAATTCAACGATGCAAACGATCCCCTCCACCCCCAGAACTGGCCACTCAAACGCAAAATCGGTATATCAGTGACCCTGGCATACACAACCTTCGTTTCGTCTTTCTCTAGTGCCATCTACTCCTCCGCGGTCGGACAAATCAGTGGTCATTTTCACATCAGCACTGAAGTCGCTATCCTCGGTGTGACACTATATGTCCTGGGATTTGCTTCGGGTCCGACGATATGGGCACCGGCGAGTGAGCTCATTGGAAGAAGATGGCCAATCTGCATTGGCATGTTCGGATACTCCCTTTTCGCCATCGCGGCAGCGACTAGCAAGGATGTCCAAACCTTGATGTTGACAAGATTCTTTGCCGGATTTTTCTCTGCTAGTCCGATCGCTATTGTTCCGGCCGTGTTTGCCGATATTTGGAATAACCAGACGCGGGGTGTGGCTATCGCTATGTTCGCCATGGCTGTCTTCGTGGGGCCTTTTGCCTCCCCGTTCACTGGTGGCTTCATCACAATGTCTCATTTGGGATGGAGGTGGACCATGTACATCTCGTCCATCATGGGATGGCTTGCCACTGGTCTTTGTCTTCTTTTCTTGAAAGAAACCTATGCACCTGCTGTCCTTGTGGAAAAAGCGGCCCTCCTGCGACGGCAGACGCATAATTGGGGAATCCGCGCTAGACAAGAAGAGATCGAGCTCGATTGGGGCGAGCTGATTACGAACAACTTCAGTCGGCCATTCCGTATGCTTTTTACCGAGCCAATTGTTTTCCTGGTATGTCGTGCGTCAATATCTTGCACTGATTCATGCTAACATTCCTTCAGATCTCTCTATGGATGAGTTTTGTATATGGCCTAATGTACGCGCTTCTCAGTGCCTACCCGGTTGTGTTCCAAGGAATCCACGGAATGAACCTCGGTGTTGGAAGTCTCCCATTCATCGGATTGATTATCGGCGAGGTTCTAGCTGGCGCCTATATCCTTTTCGATCAGAGGTCATATACCAAAAAGCTAGCTGCCAACAACAACATCCCTGTTCCGGAATGGAGACTTCCTCCTGCCATTCTTGGGGGCGTTTGCTTCTGTGTCGGGCTCTTCTGGTATGGCTGGACTGGATGGACAAAGTCAATCCATTGGATGGCCCCCACCGCCAGCGGAGTGGTGACTGGATTCGGCATCTATGTCATCTTCCTGCAGTGCTTCAATTATTTGATTGACTCCTATTTGCCATTGTGAGCCTTTTGATTTCCGTTTTACTAAGCAGCAATATGCTGACCTTCAAATCCAGTGCCGCATCTGTGTTTGCTGCCAATACCATTATTCGATCAGCAGTGGGAGCTTCATTCCCCCTGTTCTCGAAGCAGATGTTTGTGAACTTGGGTGTGCAATGGGCTGCCACGCTTCTTGGATGTCTTGCACTTATCATGATTCCGATTCCCTTGTTATTCATCAAATGGGGACCTGCATTGCGTAAGAAGTCTAAATTTGCTCCGGTCTTCGAGCCTCTTGCAGCAAACTCAGAGAAAGGGGAAGAGGCTGTCTAGGCGTGAGTCTTGTGTTTTCATTTCTCTACATATAATTTGCCTGTAATAATCATCAACTTCATAATGTTAAAATGTTAATTTTTAATCACTGGGCTTTCTCTATATGGCTCATTCTTTCAAAATGTATGAAGCAGAATGTGGGTAGAGCTGCGATCTTGCGGATTTTGTTGTAGCATTGACTTAAAGAGGCTTGTCAATTTGACCGAACTGTCTGCGCCGAAGTCAGGCGGCAATCTCTCACCTAAAAAACAGCGAAGTGATCCCTCCCATCCTCCAAGAAGTTGAGTATGAGTGATTTCAAATTTCCGTTCACCTCGTCGGATGTGTATTTGAAAGTCATCAAGGCAAAGAGCGGTTTATTTGTGGTAAGTTGGAATAACTTGATATAAATCAGTCGAAAGTCACAAATCAGACGGCGGAGAGCGAGGGGAAGTTATACCAAACAGCCGAGAGACCAGACATTGATTGTGAAATCCCAAGGAAGATCATCGACCAGAGGCCAAAGGACTCACGGGAACAGAAGAATCGTCGCCATTGCGGACGACTATTGAGGGTCTAAGGGTTGCAACTTGTAGGTCTAACAAGAAATACCGTACCTGCACCCAAATCACCGATCTTGACAGCTAGGGTTGAAGTTTTGGCATCATCTAGCAGACTATGAGGACGCTGAGACACCATCAGATATACGGGAGCACTTTGATCGAGTCACACACCACAGTGAATAGTATATTGGCCGGTTGCAAATATGTAGATCATATTAGTATAATTTACAATTAGTGGTCTGCTGTCGACACCCTACCAGTATGGACGAAGCCTTGCACGTGGAGAAACTCCAAAGCAGTGATGACATGGAGAGAGATGGCTCGTACGTAGCCAGCGGAGCGCAGTTTCGCCTGCTCACTCATACTTTTACTGTCGGATAGCAAAGGCGGGAAAACGAGTACTAGATGTAGACCGTTCGGCTCTGCGTGTTCAAAATTATCCAAGAGCTTTATGATATGATCTTTTTGTAGATGAAGTTTTTCCAACTTTGATGATTGAAATAGGATAGAGAGCTCTGCACTAGGCTTTGAGGCATCTGCCTTGATGATTTTCAAGACGAGTCGTTTTGTAGCCTAAGTGGCACTATGTAAGATCGGAATGCGGTGTTGACTTGGCGAAGAAATGGCCATGAACCGACCTTAGGCCTCCTGCGGGCCATACTGTTGTAAGCGTGCCATAGCCCCATTTCCCAATGATCTGATACCGTTCGTGGAAAATGTCGCCCAGGTGGACTGGATGACAGCCCCCGCCGCGGTATTCTTCAACGGGATCGACAACATCATGGATTCTCTCAAAGCAGCGGATGATTGGTAGATGAGAAAGATGACGCGATATCTCTAAGTAAGAGAAGACTGATCGACTGGATCTTCATTGAGGTCTACGGGTGACTTCAGGGGCTTACAACACACGTCCTAAACTACGGCAAAGAGCGGTGAATCCTGCACGTGAATCCAATTTAAAGTAAATCTGTCTGTGACGGGCATTTCCTATCCTCCACATATGTGTATGCAAGAAATCAAAACGAGATAACTAGCAGAATTGACTTTCTAGGTTCTCGTGGGGATTCTCGATATGTTCACCTGTCGCACATCCACGTGGCATAGCGCCTCAATAACTTCAGACTAGGCCCTTCTTTGTCCGATGGGCCGAGCACGCGCATGCTACCAAGTGGTGTAAGCAGCTGGACAAAGTAACCTTGGAAGGCTTAATTCATGTCAGACCGAACAAATCCGATATCTGCGGGTGAGATTCGTTGATAGCCCATGATCGGATATGGCCGCCCCAGATATCCCCGAGCCATGAGACTGGGGATATTTGGATGCAACAGTTCTCCATATTCCTTATGTCATCGGCCTCCTCCGTTATCGAACACATAACACATACTAAGGTAAGCACACGACACAACACAATTGATAAGATAGAGCTAACGAGGGCTGAGCGCAAAAGTCTTGGCATTGCAAGGGTCTTGGTATTGCCGGGATCTTCATCTGCACCGTTTTGAACGCAAATGGCTCTGGTTCTTGTACATTCCAGGGTTATTTCGAACGTTTTTTATGCGAATAATGTCAGTCTCTTTTTTTCCGTCGCCGGCTTGCCGAGTCATTGACCCATGGACAACCCTGAACAAAATCCTGTCGGAAAACACACAGCCAATGAGCACGTCGCCGCGGCATCACACGGGTGAAATGAGACTCCACTACCGCTGCCAAGACCCCAAGACCCGGAGAATAGCTCGAATTGGAGGCAAATTTTTTTTTTTAAAAAAAGTCTTATCAGCATGATGTGGTTGGCCGAGGGAAACTCTTGAGATTTGCTCATTTCTTCCTTCAAACCCATGTTCAATCACCTACCTCTACTGGAACATCTTTAAATACTGGGTCTCGACGACGACAGCGTCTCTGGAATTCGCTGTATCCACCGACACGACCGTGATACACTTTCACAATGGGTTTAAGTAACTGGGTCCATAACACCAATGTGCGGGTTGCCCGCAGTCCCGTGGGGAAATGGTTTCGTCTGGAGGGCTCCGGCCATGTAAGTGATACTGCCTTCTATGCGACATGCGAATGCATCGTGAACACCAATGCAATGTGAGACTAAACCATGTCTCAGCCTCTCGAGAGGAAGGGTAGCTACTTCTTTACTGAAATCCGCGCCGGTCTCGCCACCTTCTTCGCCATGGCATACATCATCTCCGTCAACAGCACCATCACATCTGCGACCGGTGGAACTTGCGTCTGCCCCGCGGAAGACATGGGAGATTTCTGTGCAACTAATGTCGAGTATGCCCTCTGCACGCAAGAAGTCAAGCGTGATCTCGTCACCGCCACCGCCGCCATCGCCGCCCTCTCGACTTTCTGCATGGGTCTCTTCGCCAACCTTCCTATCGCGCTCGCACCTGGAATGGGATTGAATGCTTACTTTGCCTACACTGTTGTTGGAGTCCGTGGTACCGGCATGGTCTCGTACTCGACTGCTCTCACGGCTGTCTTCGTCGAAGGATGGGTATTCCTGGGCTTGACATTGATCGGTATGCGACAGTGGCTGGCGCGTGCGCTTCCAAAGTCTATCAAGCTTGCAACTGGTGTCGGTATCGGTCTTTACCTCGCATTGATCGGTTTGACATACAGTGCCGGTATTGGATTGATTCAGGGTGCCTCCGACACCCCCATTGAGCTAGCTGGATGTATCGAGAGCGAGTTCGACAAAGTAACGGGTCTGTGTCACAGCTACGCTAAGATGCGCAGTCCGACCATGTGGATTGGTATCTTCTGTGGTGGTATTCTGACAGTTTTGCTTATGATGTACCGCATCAAGGGTGCGATCATCATCGGCATTTTGTTGGTTTCTATCATCTCTTGGCCTCGCACTACCCCTGTCACTTACTTCCCCTACACCGACCTTGGAACTAGCCAGTTTGATTTCTTCAAGCAGGTGGTTACTTTCCATCCAATCAAGCATACCCTGAGCGCTCAGGATTGGAGCTTGTCTGGCAAGGGCGGCCAGTTTGGGCTGGCTTTCATTACATTCTTGGTATGTCACAAGTTTCTATACAGGGGGAGAGGTTCAAGACTAACATTCCCGCAGTATGTCGATATTCTGGATACCACCGGCACAATGTACTCTATGGCCCGATTTGCCGGCGCAATCAACGAGGAGACCCAGGACTTCGAGGGCAGCGCCATCGCCTACATGGTTGACGCAATTTCCATCTCGATCGGATCCCTCCTCGGCAGTCCTCCTGTCACAGCATTTGTTGAGTCCGGTGCCGGTATTTCCGAGGGTGGTAAAACTGGACTGACATCATGCGTCACCGGCATTGCATTCTTCATCGCTGTATTCTTCGCTCCGATTTTCGCTTCCATCCCACCTTGGGCCACGGGTTGTACACTCGTGATTGTCGGTGCGATGATGGCCCAGGCTGCTGCCGATATCAACTGGCGGTACTACGGTGATGCGATCCCCGCATTCCTTACTATCGCCATCATGCCCTTCACATACAGTATTGCTTACGGTCTGATCGCTGGTATCACCAGCTACATCACTCTCAACGGCTTTGCCTGGTGCCTCGAGAAGATCTCCGGTGGTCGCATCGTCCCTCCTAACAAGGATGAGTCTGATCCTTGGTCTTGGAAGGTCAAGGGCGGTCTCCTCCCACCTTGGGTTAAGCGTGCTGCCCGCGGAAAGAAGGACTTCTGGAAAGCCGATGAGGAGTATGCGGAGCCGCGAGTTGCCTCCGGTGAGGCTGTGTCTTCGTCTTCCTCGTCAGTGGAACGGGTGCCTCTTGAGAAATCTCGTGAGCCTACCGCTGCGGCAATGAAGTCGGAGTAAACTTTTGGAGGATGAAGGAGGGAAGTTGCGATATGGTTGTAATTTTTATTTGCATGGCATTATAGCGGATGTGTTCATTTTGTATACTTTCTTTTATGTATTTATTGACTTACTATTGACACCTGCTGTTGTTTTTCAGGGGTGTTGTACATGCCATGGAATGAACATATTCTTTTAATACCACACAAAGTTTTGGAGAAAAAAAAAAGCCAGTCTATTGACTATCATCGAGTTTATGTATGTGCAAACAAATAATGTCACAATGATCGCCGTAGACGATCCACACAGAATCACAGAACCATACTACAACAGTGTTGGAATTCAATGAATCCCAACTAGACCTCAATCCCGGGGGATGAATCAAAATACGAACCCATTGCCTCTTGGAATAAAGCCATTGCGCACGGAATATGGATTGATGACCGACTTCGTAGCGATCGTCTCGTCAGAGCAGCACTGCTTGTACACTCCAGTGCGATCCGTGAGACAGTCATCAGTGAAGTCCAGGTCACCCCAAGCACCAGGCCACGTCACAAAGAGCTCGCAACCAGGAGTCGCTTCGGAATCATGATTACCACTGTCAAACTTGGAATAGATGTAAGCAGAGCTAATGTGACGTGGAGTGTCATCATCCGCGACGTCTAAACCTGTTAGCCTATGTAACTCCTCGATTGAAAACAATAATGTGACTCACTATAGGGTCCAGCTAAGCTATTCTGGCAGCGCGGTGAATCATTAATCGCAATACAGCCGCTGCTGACATGCTATTGTCTGCATTAGTCATGGACAGGAGTGACATAATGCTTCCAGCGAATTACAATGCAGGTACCCTTGCTATTGCTAGAGTCATCCGCAACACAAGTCCCCACGGGTCCATCGGCGGTAACTCCGTACTCGTTCCATTCACTTGGGGAGAATGTATAGTACCCCGAGCATTGAGGCTCTCCAGTAGAGGAAGGCGAAGGGTACGGTGTAGGATACTCCCTGGCAGAAATCGCTGTAGCAGAAATCGCAGTAGCAGAAGCAACAACCGGGGTAGTACGAGCCTTGACTACGTTGTTCCGGGACCCTGCGACAGCAAGAGCGCTCACCGAGGTGACAAGTTGAGCCAAAGTGGCAAGTTCTAGGAATTGCATCTTAAAGTGAAGATAAAATGAAGGACGAAGCCAGATGAGATGGGAGAGAGGGATGATAAAGAATTGAACTGGCAGCTGAGGATGTCCTTTATATACGATTTTTACATTGATATTGATTACCCCAACTTGAAGGTAGTTGGACCTAACACCAGTTAATCACTGACCGGAACGGGTGAAAGATAAATCAGTCGTTTCGCATTAATGACATGGTTTTTGGACATGACCCCATTGACCAGAACGGGTAAAACGTAAACGGGCGGTTTTACCAACTATAGAAAAGACTACAATGGCAACCTCGTTAATTTGGAGGGGTTGTCTGGGACCTCATTCTTTATATAATTCCATTTTGGGCCTGGGGCCCCCGAACAAGCTGTAATCAGGTCGACACAAATATCACCGAGGTACGAGAGGGGTTCTAAGAATATCGCCCGACTACTTACTTGTATTTTGAGTGGTCAAATACGCGGGACAACTGGTTATAGATAACTGAGGGATAACTACAGTATATCATCCAGATCTTTCCATTCTAGAATACACTCAAGGGCTTCAAGGATTCTCAAGAATAAGTATGATCTCCACTAGATATATGAAACGTGCCTCTTTGTAGAAATCTATAAATGGCTACGGGATTACTACTCCATAATCTGTTTAGAGGCTAGCGCCTAGGTGATCGACGGGACCTAATATATACCGCATTGCTAAGTGCTCGATATCGAAAACCTCTGACTATCCAGTCCAACACAAACAATCTTCTCATAAAATTATCTATTATGAATTTCAAACCCACTCCCGTAATTTTCTCTCTTGTCCTACTCCTAGCCCTTTGGTGGATATCACTATGACTGTTGTTCCTGAGAGCGACTAAGAGCGTGACTAGGAATTATGTCATGCTCTCGATGAGAAGTGGCATCTAGAATAGGTATGGAATATGAGAAATATAAATTGAATCTTGGGATATAGGTGTGGGTAATAGGAAGAAGAGCTGATTATGATAAGACAAATGTATAGTCTTAAGACACCGTTTGGAGAGAGGCATGATGATGAGAGATTATAAAATGCAACAGTTAGTTGGGAGTCCATCAAATAGGTTCCAGCAAGATAGCACGAAAATCCACCTCTAGAGTGGGTTAAAGCGCGTCAAGGGCCTAGTACACTGGATACAAATTGATTTTTGTGTATTGGCCTATTCTGCATTAATATTAATTATGCACACATTGAATGCACTGGTAGTGTGGATATATGTACAACATAGTTGGAAGTCGTGCTATACATTTGATAGGTTGTGCGTGAACCCCGCATACCACAGGATTTAACCTCATCCACATAGACTGTACCTAATGTAGTAATGGATGCGTATGTTGCGTTCATATCGTGAACGGGACTAGCTTATTGGACTATGGGTAAATCCGAAGTCCCCGCAATAAGCACTAAGATGCCGGGATTTCCTAGAAGATCTCGGAGAACCGGGTATAAATATGCGGGTACTGGCCTCTCCCTACTATACCGATTGTTCCCAGTTATCCAAACCCACAGAAAGCTTCAAATATCTATATTCGACATAAAATAAGAATTAAAGCCACAGTTTTTACAATGGCTGCCACACATGGTGTCTGTGATCCCGCATTCAAGCGGGTCCGTGATCTTTTCGAACAAAGATTGGCATCGGGAGAAGAAGTGGGTGCCTCAATCTGCGTCAACATCGACGGAAAGAATGTCCTCGATATCTGGGGCGGTCATGCAGACGCCGCAAAGACACGCTCATGGGAAGAAGACACCCTGGGCGTCGTATTCTCAACCGCTAAGGTAGTCGTTGCCGTGGCCGCGATGATCCTCGTTGATCGCGGCCTGCTCGACGTCGAAGAGAAAGTGTCAAAGTACTGGCCGGAGTTCGCAGCCAATGGCAAAGAAGACACAAAGGTGTGGCACATCCTCAGCCACACATCTGGCGTGCCCCATTGGGACACGCGGATTCCATTGGAGACCATTTACGACACCAAAACTTCCACCGATATGCTTGCTGCCCAGGCTCCGTGGTATAAGGCCGGGGAGGGATCGGCCTACCAGGTAGTTTGCCATGGACATTTAGTCGGCGAGCTAGTGCGGCGCATTAGCGGAAAGTCATTGAAGCAGTTTATTGCAGATGAGATCACAGACCCATTGGGCGCGGACTTTGATCTCGGTGTGGCCGAAAAGGACTGGCCGCGTACAGCGGATATCATCACCTGTGCGCCGGCGCCTCTGCCACCGATCGACCCGCAAAGTGTGGCGGGTAAAGCTCTGTCCAACCTTATAATGAACCCTGAGGATTCCCAGACGCCTGGGTTCAGGGGCGCTGAGGTCGGCGCCTCGAATGGTTTTTCAAATGCGCGTGCGCTGACTAGGATTGGTTCAATTGTTTCTCTGAAAGGAACGGTCGATGGGAAGCAGTATCTTGGGTCTAAGACCATCGACCAGATGGTTCAGGAACGGATGAGCGGTGTCGATCAGATCTTGTTCTTCCACGTCAGGTTCGGGCTGGGGGTTGCCCTGTCAGTGCCACAGGTCGTCACTTTTATCCCCGAAGGAAACATTTGCTTCTGGGGAGGCTGGGGTGGATCTATAGTGGTCATGGATCTGGATCGCCGCATGACTATCTCTTATACCATGAACAAAATGGGACTGGGGATCTCGGGCAATGACAACGCCAAGGCTTACATTGAGGCAATTTATGAAGTCATGGCAGAGAACAAGCCGTCTGCATCTAACTGACGGGAGAATATATTCCTTTGTTTCTCCGAACGTATTGCGCAGATAATGCCGTAAGTCGAATAGAACGAAGGCCCCTTCGAGTTATACAGCATCATTGTATAAATGCACAATGGTTTCATCAACGTTAACATTCGGAAACAGCAATTCCATCATTGCTAAAGTAATACTCGATCAGATGGATCTCTTGGCCTGCGAAACATGCTGTTTGCTACCAGCAGTCTCGGTAAACACCAGCTCATCTCTCTCCCAGATCAACTCCACCGCAGCACCTGCGGGGCCCGCCACAACCGTCAACAAAGCGATCTTGAGTAATAGACCAGACCAAGAGACAGTATTGAGGAGGTGGATGTGAGCAGCGGTATACAGCAAAATAGCTTAAATTAAAACACCCGCAGAACAAATCATATAATCTCATCGGAGGAAGACATGGACATCGTCACCGATATTATTAACCGTCATCCCGGACCAAGGAAGAGGAATCAAGAAAACATTGGCCGGGTGAAGGGAGCCTAGGAAACGGTCTTCGAAAAGAACTGGCACCACAACGGTTGCCAAAGAGACGACCCATGACACAATGTGTGACAAAGATGCATTGGCAATCGCAAATGCGTAGACCCAGCGTAAGCTAGACATGGATTCCCGCTGGTTGTTTGAAAAGAAAGGAGATAGAGTAAAGTTTGCGATCGGTATCATAATTGAAAAGTACGCTGGCCTGCCAGAAGGCAATGGCGATCTGCTTTAGGTCCACGGAAATTACAGAGGTATTTTAGGTTGGTTGATTTGAATCCATTTTGCGCGTTGTGGAGGAATTTGTGGGGCTGCGGATGCTTCCGCCTCGGCCCTGATCTTGGTCACAATCCTTGATCTGCATGGCAAAATTGAAATATTCTATTCAAAAGATAGTAGCAAAAATACTTTACAGTATCTAATTTACAATGCAGGAGTCATGGGCCCCATGTGACCTTGGGAAGACGCATTGAAAGGCAAAAAGAGTCATACCACGAAGGTTATACTTCTAGACCTAAACTGCTGATAAAAAAACCAACTATCTGCCTTTTATGAATACTTGGCGCTGAAAATTTTACTCCTTGTCGACTAAAAGCACAACTCTGGCTCATTGCGATGGGTATATATTTGAAACGAAGCGGCTATGATCGACTCGTTGGTGCAAATTCTTCAACTACATTGTGGTGGATTTTCCATCCACTCTTTGTTAGTGGGAAAGCCATTACTCTAGCTTAATATGGTTTCGCTATCACATCATTAAATACAATAACTTATTGGCTAGTGGAGATCCAGCACTCTCACAAGTTCTGATCCTAACAACTTGATTTCAAATATATAACCCAACACCCCACGCAATGAGCAAGCTTTGTAGGTCCTTCAAAGATCATTTGACCAACCAGAACAATTATGAGTAGACAACAGCGGTTCCTTCAAACTAAAATTGCATCCTCGATCGTCACCAACAGCGCTACTTGGATGATCTCTGTTCTAGTGAATGGGCCGTACTTTTTGTACACTAGACTACGAACCGTAATATTAACATAGTGCGCTAGTCGTAAGGGAAGCAGCCCATCAAATCAACTGTGACTGAGACATAGACCCGAACGCTAACTAGTTCAAATCTTGTGTCAAAGTACTGTGTACTCTATCCATGGTAGTGTTAACCTGATTGTACCCTGAAGTCCAATGAACCTTGGTGCTAGCTTGGGCAACCGGTAAGCTATCCCACCCCTTTCCAAAAAAAAGGAATATTGTCCCTATAACGCGCTGGGTTATATTTGCGTGAAATACGATATGTATCGCTAGGCAAATGGTGGCTTGTCCATCACATGTGGACGCCTACACAGTTAGTGCAAGCGCTGGCGTAAACTAGATGTAGGTAACAAGGCCTCTCTTCCCTCTATAAAATCGACATGAGACCTGAATTTTTCTTGAATCCCAACTCCTTCTAGCTCTTTCAATTTTCTCTAAATTTCTTTCTTTTTATTTTTGTCCTTAAAACTTTGCCCTCTCATCTAATCAATCCGATTGAATCGGCCCTCACTATTCGTATTGGTGAGACACATGTGTCTTTGTCCGCTAAAATGCCTCTTCGACCAAGCTCCGAGATCGCTGCCCAGTACGAGAACTATTCAATCTATGTCGTGCTCAGCAGTCGAGGCGCTGCCCCGAGCTTCCACTAGGGTTTGTTCATCCCAACCGCCACTTCCCTGGGGGATGTGTGGCACGCGACCGACCAAAAGCGGTGGCTGGAACGTCACGCCCCGGTCCTCCACCAACGTTCCCTTCTCTATGAGCCTTGCCCTTGCTTATAAGCTCGGCTCTATCAGCCCCAGTGCCTTGGGAGCGTGCAAAGGTATCCTGGACGCAGTCCCTCCCCTACGGCTACTCCCACTCCCCCAACACCAGCGAGCCGTTTTCATGCCGAGTCTAGGTGAAGGACGCTCTGATTGAGCTCCACAAGAACGGAATACTCGTGCTTACGCGGGGTTTTTCTTAGGCGAAAAAAATGCAAGTACCTCTACTGACATTTACATACCAAAAATACAAAAAATAGTTTCCCTGGGAATCGAACCCAGAACCTTTCCGGAACACACGTTCATCACGCTTGTTAACGGAAAATCATAACCGCTAGACCAGGAAACTGTTGTATGTTTGAGCAGGATTTTTCTTTGATTCAACACAAGTAGATCGACCAGGCAAATTCCCACAAGGACGAGGTAGAGGGAGGTACAGACAATGCTGAGGTGGTAAACTATGAAATGAATTGAATTCCTACAGTGAGCAATTTAGTCTCATTGAGGCGAAACTCTTAAAATGGTGTACTCGTCACCATTGGGTCATCCTCATGAGAGGGCCATTTGGCAACCGAGTCGAAAGGTATTCTAGAAAGAGAAGACCGGAGAGAGGGGGAGACGGAGAGAACAAGTGGTCTATGCATGTATCTATCTGAGCTATGATCCTGCCACATGGCGGATGCTACATGCATCCTAAACAGAAATGAATTTTGCTTTCTGCTATGTGAAAAGCACAGACGACGTACATCGGCCTTAAAAAGGGCCTGATAAATCAGATAGCATATTCTCCACATGTAGCTCGTCCCGGTAGCCCGCAAACACCCGATCAACCACACCAGCCAGCCACCGAATCAAACTGCGCACCGTATCATGCATCTTGGTATACTCCCAGTACTCTGGGAAAAAGCCCACATTCTCCCAATCAACAATGCCGGTGATCTTGCCGTTTCTGGCAAGAATGTTCCTAGGATTTAGATCCCTATGCGTAAAGACGATCGCGTGTGAAGCAGTATGCGACTTGGCCGCGTGCCTTCGAGCATCATCGGTCATCATTGCAGTCAAATAGTTATTGAAGTCGGTTTCCGTTTGGATGCGCAATTTCTTTGACTGGCTGTCAGGGATGCGCCAGTCCAGGATCCCGCCACCTTCCGAGTTGCAGATTTGAAACTTGCTGACTTCGTTGGGGATCGCTCGCAGCTCGGCGACATACTGTTTGATGTCTGTTACATCGTTTTCCACTTGCTTGTCCGTCATCGTATTGAGTAGCTGGCCGATTGGACGGCCCGGGACTTGAGTCATGAGCAAGTGTGAAGCATCAGGGGTTTCCAAGACATCAATTGCCATCGGCGCGGGCATTTGAGTGAATTTCTCCACCATGCCAAGAGCACGGGCCTCTACCCGATATTTAACTGCCTCTTGCGGCTGTCCCTTCCGTAAGTACAGCCCAAAGGGCAGCCGTTGGACCCTTGGGGAAAGGGATCGCCCATAGAAGTAGGAACCAGCCAAGAGGAGCTTTTCATAGGCTATGGCTCGAACAGAATGTGGCAGGGTGGTCCACATTCGTCTCATGGTGCGAAATAGCAGTGTGGGCAACAATAAAAACTGAACCTGCTGTGCACCTAAGGGCTATCAGAAATGACTCAGGAACAGCGAGGTTCAAACATACCAGGGTCATCCCGTTGTTCTATCATGTGCCTCCGTGCCTCAATCCAAGCCAGTGACTTCGAAAACATGGCATGAAGCTCGAAAAGATCTTTGTGGGGGATCGGAGTTTGAATAGTGGTCTTATCTTCAAGAAGCATCATCTTCGCTGATGAAGCAATGGGCAATTCAGCCCGAGAATTGTACCTGTATAGGTTGGTGTTGATGCTATACTTATACCGAAGTTAGTGTGCACTTGGATAAACGATTCGATGGTGACCTACAATTTGTCTGTGGAGTTAATTGTGCTGGTCCCAGCTCCGAAATTTAAGCGAGACCTCGCCAGTCTGTACAAGCTCGAATGCAGAGGCCGATACCAGCCAGACATTATCAAGTTTCTCCACTGGCTGTTGGCTCAAAGAGAGGATCGACTGAATAGATTCAATGGAGGCATTTGACAAAAAAGCGTGGAGCATCGCGGATACTCGACCCTTGTGTGTACCGGTGTCAGCAAACACCTTGTGATATAGAATGAACATACTTACCCCCTCAACTAGATCCGGATTGATCAATACCCGTGGTGGAACAATGTTTATGAAGCGCAGGTCAGGATCCTCTGGCGACTTGAAGTGTGTTTGCGTGAGGCAGCAGCGCCCCCCATCTCTTTCATACACCAGCCGCTCGGTCTCAGCGGACAACCCTGTTGCTACAATAGGCCGAACTACGCGCTCACGAGTCAGGAATAAAATCAAGAGAGATTTATTTGGACATAGTTATGTTGTGCTTACAAATTCAGACTAGATATTTCCAATCTGAGAGGAACTCCCAAATTCTCAATGTTGAGACAGATTGTGAGGTGCCTTCGATCGCCGTCTCTCGCAAAAGGTAGCGAGCTGCTTCCTGGGCATCCAGTGCATCCAGTGCATCCATGAGAAAGGCGCCTAAAATTGAACGGTCTGGATGCGGCAGCTCGGTGATAGCCAGGAGGGCTTGCTATTGAGGACATTGATGCTCCTGGTAAAAGAGCTGGGAAGCCGAGCCCCGGATATTGCATGGAACCGCCATGATAAGAGAACTGGGGAATCGCCTGGCACCTGGAAGGTTAAATCCTGACAGATATTTACGAAAACAAAAAGAAAAAATGGGAATATGAGAAAACAAATTACAAAGGAGAGAAAGCAATGAGATATACAACATAAGCCTAAGACGTCTGGCGCCGGGGTTTGTTTGGTTTGGTCTCTTGGAGATCGGCAACGGGTGACATGACACTGTACATGCTTAAAATTTAGTCCTGAAGTCTCCTGAGAGATTGATATTCTTGGGTTTCCTCTGCTGCTTTTTCGTGTCTTTTTCTGTTCTTTGTATCCTCAACTCTAGAAAATAGCAAGTTCTCGCTAGCAACCACATCTTCACATCACTCTTTCTTCCCCCATTGAGCGGGCGATCATAGCTACAAGATAATGTTGAATGCTCTGTATCATAACCAAAATCAATAGACACAGATACAGTCACTGTTATAGGGACGCCCTACACGAAATTTTAGGAGAACGACATCGGAATCTGCGCTTCATCTGTTGACTTCTTACCAGAGTACAGTCGACGGGCTGTTCTAAGTAGAACTAAAGACATGGCATTGGAAGCCGAGCAAACCATTCAGCATCGATTAAAGAAGATGTTAGAATATGGCCCAAAGCCCACCACCTACGGTATTTCTTACGGACCATCACATGGGGCATCAAAAACAGGTCTTGGCAATGCACCTTAACCAGATATTTGATATATCGGAGGTCAACCAATTAGCCGTACATTACTATATTTCTTTTCGTGTAGTTAGCACACCGTTGCAACTACCATAAAGTACTATTCTCATAAGAATTTTTCATCCGCACTAGAAGCAACGGAGTACTTTCTCATCCCCATCTACTATTGCAGTTGCAGTCTCTTCGGCCGGCCCTCCCCATGATCGTTACAGGGCAATATCGAAGATCTTCAAGTAAATCTCTTCACCTGCCCGCATCCCAACAAAAGTGCAACGCTCTAAAATAGTATTGTCCCCTGAAGAAAAATGTATTTGGTGTAGGATCAAAACCTGAAATGAAAGATTGTGTTAGGCAAATAGGTCTGCTTTTGTTTGCTATATACATGCATATGGCGGCTGATAGGCGTTTGTTTGTAACACGCGGATTAAGTGTTTCAGATATGGGAGCTCCTCCATGTATCTGCTACTGGCGATCACCTCATACTCTTTGCCAGAGCCAGATTCGACAGGTACTCAAGACCTAGGGAGTCTATGCCTCGAAGACCCATGGTCCCTTAGTATAAATGGCAAATCATCATAACATGATGGGAGATAGTCATCACATTTAGTTTATTCGTGATTTACTGGAGTAGCTCCTTGCCTTTTTGTTCCCATATGTGTCGCATGTGAAAACATATTCATTTTTTTGGGTAGCAGAATATTGTCTCAGCCAATATTTGAAATTTCACCGAAGGTCTCAAAACAGCAACTCCTCAAAATAGGGAATAGCAATGATGATTCGCATGGATGTTGCTCGGATAGGAGTGAGACCACTCAAACGAAGGAGTCGTGTTGTCGCTAATCTATTTTTGGTATTTTTGTGGGGAGTATGACACGTGATACGACTAGCGTTTTACATTGTCCGTGAGGGTCACCTGATGCCTAACGGTTATTGACCGCCCAACAAGCCAAACAGACAAACAAATTTCCCCACTATAGCTCTCCATCTCACCTCGCAGCTTGCAAAATCGATCTTCTTCTTCCAAATCCCAATCGAATGCTGGCAGCTTGCGTTGAATCAACTTGGCTTATGGGACTGGCACATGCCGTCCCGATACCTCCGACAAGATGCTGAGGGATTCTGATATAGATTCCTTGAACGGGCACCTAGCTTCCTTATCGCGTGAGCAACAAAAGCAACATGACAATCTACAGGACTTGCTCAGCCAGTTCAAGAGTTTGTTAGACGACTACAGCTCGCTTAAGAGCGACTACGAAGAGGTTAAAGAAGGCCGAGAGAAATACAAAAGACAGGCCAGAGGCCAGGTAGGTGTCGACAGGCTTACAGAAATCCCAAGAGCTAGGAAACTGACAGCCGACCAGGATCGTAACCCTTTTGTCCTTGTCCTTGTTGACGGAGACGGATATCTCGTGAGACTGTCTTATTTTACTTGTATTCAATAAGTTGACTAACGCACCTCTTTAGTTCAAAGAGCATTTCCTAAAGCATGGTAGCGAAGGTGGCATTAATGCAGCCCGCGAGCTGAGTGACTCTGTCAAAGAGCTTATGCATTCGACAATGGGAATGCAAGCGGAACAGTGTCGTATCATGGTTCGTGTCTATGCAAACGTTCTCGGCTTGTCGAAGGCGTTAGCACGAGCTGGACTTATGGGCCACGAGGCTCGATCCATGTCGCCATTTACTTCGTCATTTACCCGTGCGCAAGAGCTATTTGATTATGTCGATGCTGCAGAGAAGAAGGAAGGCAGTGATTTCAAGATCAGAGGTAATGAATAATTTGGGCATGAATGGTTTTGTTATTGTACTGATATGTTCTGCGACATCAAGAAATGTTTCGTCTCTTCGTGGATCTCAACCAATGCCGTCATATCTATTTTGCCGGCTGCCACGACACTGGATACGGCTCCCTACTGACGCCCTATAGAGGCAGAGGTGACCGTATCACCCTCATCAAAGCCGCTGGTTTCCATCGTGAATTCGAAGCCTTGGATCTCCCTATCAGAGAGTTGCCTTCGGTGTTCATGTCTACCCCTCTACTAAACAGCAAGCCGCCGACAGGCCCGGCAGCCTCTCCGATTATGACCAAATTCAATGGTGGAAACGGTGTCCCCCACCTTTCAAACGGCTCAAATGGTACGAATGGTGCAAATACCACCAAGCCAATCTGCAAGCACTTCCAAAAGGTATTGATTCCAGATCACACTATTTCATCGTGAGCAAGTCGTTGACTGATATTGACCTAGGGTATCTGCAAATTCGGCAACGGCTGCAATAAACAACATGTTATGCCGAACCAGTCATTGAATCATCAACCGTCGCCTAAGCACTCAGGTGCAGGTGATTCACCTAAACAGTTGTGGGCTTCTCCTACTGTCGTCGGTCGCAGCGAGGATTTCCTTAGATCCATGCTCCCCTTGCCGAGCATCAAAACTGAAGAATTCATTCCAGTCAATAAAGATGGGGACCGTATCGACCCATACTATCCTCACCCGTCGCCTGAGGCCTTCGACGAATACCACGCTCGAGCCAAGGAACACAAAGTCTGCAATAGCTATCATCTGTCGGGAGAATGTGGTGACATGAGCTGCACATACGACCACAGTGATGTCTCTAACGTGATCGTTGAGGTTTTGCGATACATGCTCCTCCAACACCCCTGCACTCGGGCCGGCGCTTGTCGGTCAATCAAATGCTACATGGGTCACCTATGCCAGAAGCCCGGATGTAAAGCCGTGAAGAGCTGGCAGTGTCGATTCAACCAAACTGCTCACACCCTTGATCTTCAAATCGCTCGATGGGACGTGCCAAGCGACCAGAGCGAAATTGATCAATGGTCTGTCAGCGACGCTTCTATCGGGGAACGGTCGTCGTATGCTTTCTAATCGATCAAAATCCCGACCAACAAGAAATTTGCAATCCATACCCACAGACGATCTCGCTTAGCTGGGATGTCTTTGTATGTGTGAAAGTCTGCGACTGCAAGGACAGTTGCTTAACAAAACAATGGGTCGATGGCTAGCACTAAACAAACAGATTTAAGAAAGACATTTCAATGCGCTAGAAGGAAAGTTGAAGACAGTCATTTCACATACAAAGTTTCAATTTCTTGGTAACCACAACTATTTCCTGATCTATTTTTCATAACCGGTAATTCATGTGGTAGATAGCTTGAAAGCACCAACCTCTTATTTTCACTGTCCTTACCGTTAATCTAAGAATTTGATGATCTCCGCATAACGCTTATTCATGACCAACCAAATAGATGCCCTCATTGATATAAAGGTGAGTCCTGTCAAGGGCTGTGATGTCTGTTTCCTACGGAAGGTGCAGGCCAAGTGCTTACATTAGGAAGGTACGTGGATTGGGGGTATAAAAGGAGTCCTCCCACCTTTCCTCCTCTTCTCTTCTTCTTCCCTTTTTACTCTCAGTCCTCTCGACCTCCATCTCTCCGTAGCCCCCATTAGACAGCGCTGGGAGAGGATCCCGTAGTACATGGGTGCCCCATGCATGAAGATATCAACATGACCAAGTTGTTGAGGCCCATGCAGTTCCGCACCCAAATCAAACGGGGCTTTCTCGTGTGAGTTCTTTGACGAGTGACTGAGCTTTTGGGGTTCCATAGTCACTTGACGAGTCCCACGGAATACATGGGGGGTGTTTTACTACATCCTCATTCATTGTATGTTTATTTACTAGATAGCCACCGAATAAATGATCTGAGACGCGTAGGTTTGAGTTATACTAGTGGATAGAGTACCAAGCCGTGACTGTATACGAGCTATTCTGAGTGGCACTGATGATCTGTAAATACGTAATTCCAACCAGCCAAGCTCAGTACAGTCGAGGAGGCACAACTTAAATTCATTTTTACCCAGAAAGAAATTCCTTCAACTAAACTTTGATATGACTACTGATATGGAACCGAAGGTGCACCCCTTCTTCGAGACCAATACTTGTTCTTGGCAGTATGTGGTAGCCTGTCCTGAAAGGAAGGAAGCCGCCATCATCGACCCGGTGCTGAATTATGATCCCGCGAACTTCGTCATCGCCACCGAATCAGCAGATGAACTTATGGAATGTGCTCTCAAGAATGGATATGCAGTCACTATATTTCTAGAGACACATACCCACGGAGATCACCTCTCAGCCGCCTACTACATCCAACAAACTCTCTGGTCCCGCGGGCAACCCAACGCACCGATCTGTATCAGCGAGAATGTCAAGATCGTCCAAAGCCACTTCGCACAGAAATACCAGATCCCAAGACAGGAAATTGACATCGCCTTCGACCACCTCTTCCAGCCCGACGAAGTATTCAACATTGGCGATGTGACTGGTATCACCCTCCACCTCCCAGGACATACACCGGACCACGGAGGTTACAAAATAGGGAGCAATATCTTCACGGGAGACAGCATGTTCAATCCAGATGTTGGCAGTGGCCGATGTGACTTCCCAGGTGGCGATGCTGGGGAACTCTTCCGCTCCATGAAACGTCTCCTTTCTTTCCCACCAGAAACGAGATTATACACGGGCCATGATTATCCTCCCTCCAATGAGCACACAGAACGGGACCCACTACCGTATGTTACGGTCGAGGAACAAGAGAAGAAAAACATGCACATAAAAAATGGCTCGTCAGAGGACGATTTTGTGAAGTGGAGGTCTCAGCGAGACAAGGAGATGCCTGAGCCTAGGCTTATACACCAGGCTATGCAGGTCAACGTGCGTGGAGGTAGAATGCCAAGCAAGTCGCATGGTGGAAAGGCATATCTGCTATATCTGATCGATGTCCCGAAGGTTGTGGTAACCGGAACGCGAAAATAGGTGGTTGTGGGAGAATGTGAATGTGAATTTGATATTTTGAATATGTTCCCAAATATGTAATGAGTGACACGGATAAAAAAACCCCGTTATATATATTTTACACTAGAGGTTTCGATTTTTTAATCAGTACGAACTCTGGAGAGGGCTCGCTGATTGTAGTCCTCATTTACGCCCTGCTATTGTATAGCCTCAATTCTGAATGTTCACTTTTTACCTTGGATCTTGATGTACGCTTCCTGGACTTCTTCCCTTGTCGCCATGAGCGCAAGCCACTTCTTGATAAAAGGATAGTTGTCAAGCGAAAGGCCAGCGAAAGAATACAAACGCACCCAGGCCTCGAAATGATAATCAACGGCAGTGACCCGACTGGGCAAAATACTCTCACCGTGAGTCTTCATCAACTGTCCTTCGAGAACATCATAGCAGCGATAGGTCTGCGCCGTGTATCGTTGCAGCGCATCCTCATTCTTCTGTGGGTTAAAGTGTCTGAGAAAGACAATAGTAAGCATGATTTGGTGATCTGTTCCACATGCACGAGAGCAACCAACCTAAACCAATTTGTCTGTCCGCTCATAGGACCAAGCGTTGTCAACAAGAAATACTCCCACTTTTCAAAATCTACCAGATCTTGCGCCGAGTCCCCCGACGGACCGATAGTATTACCATTGTCATACACACGGCGGATGTAATTCATGCACGCGCCGGATTCCCACGCGACGACACCGGTGTTCGGATCTTCAATGGCCGGAACGCGCCCGTTCTCATTAACTTTGAGGTACTCTGTGCCTTTCACGCCGGTGTTCGGATTGTCGCTGAAGTCCCATTGCTTCACTTCGAATGGGACGTGGAGTGCCTCAAGCGCCATGGCGATCTTCACCGGGTTTGGGCCCGTGGCATGGGCGTGCAGGATGAGTGGCTTGATATGTGTGGACATTGTTTGATGATACATTTGATAGTTGATGTTCTCCAGATGATGTGGAAGGGAAATTTCTTTTGAGTGGCTCATAACAAGGCAGATAGGGTGGCGAAATGAGATCGGCATGATGTAATTTGGCTAGTACAACCTGGGGTAGTTGACCGAGGCGATTTAGCCTGATTTCCGGCAAGACTCAGGAATATAGAGGGGAAGAGTCATTAGACTCAATATTATTTGGCTTATCACTGCTGGAAAGATTGACAGGTTGTAGTTTTGCCGGTGCGTTTGTGAATTGGCGAGATCTTCCTTCAATGGGATCAAAGCTAGCAGCCGGCTCGCTGCCTGGGGTATGCGGAGTCGGCGTTGTTGATGCGGGGGAGGTAAATGCAAAATTCAATCTACAAAACCAAAAAAAAGCTCCCTTTCAGAAGTTCTGCTTGTGTTGTTATTCCGATCGGTTTCCTTGTGTGCTCCCTGTGGGCAACAATTCTAGCTCCTAGTTTATATGGTGATTTCAATCATCACCTCTGAATCATGTGGTTCAACACGTCAAGAATATTCACCTTGCTTTGCGGAGTTGCAACTTTGGTGTTAACCTCTAGCAATAGCCATGCTCAATCCGAAACCAATGGGTTACAGGATCTGGTGAGTCTTTAACTACCCTGGTCGCACCATTGTACTAACGCACTACTGGTAGGTGACATGGGACCAGCATTCTATTATAGTACGCGGTGAGCGGCTCATGATATTTTCCGGAGAATTCCACCCATTCCGCCTTCCAGTTCCAGATCTTTGGCTCGACATATTTCAAAAGATAAAGAGTATGGGCTTCACCGGCGTCTCTTTCTACGTGGACTGGAGCCTTGTTGAAGCGAACGCGGGACATGTGATTACCAACGGGATATGGAGTTTGGACAAATTCTTCGATGCCGCAAGCCAAGCTGGGTTATACCTCATCGCTCGACCGGGGCCGTATATTAATGCAGAAACCACTGGTGGTGGGATACCTGGATGGGTTTTACGAAAGAAAGCGGTTATCCGGTCTGATGACCCCGAATACTTGAATGCGACAGCAAATTACGTGTCGACGCTGGGTGAGATCATTGAAAGGGCGCAGATCACACATGGTGGTCCGGTCATCATGGTTCAGCCAGAGAACGAGTACTCTACATGGCCTGGAGTGACTGATTTCCCGAATGACATGAATCGGAATTATATGGCATACGTTGAACATCAGCTACTTGATCAAGGTATTACTGTTCCTTCAATCGTGAATGACAATTTGGTTGAGGGATACTTCGCGCCGGGGTCAGGGCAAGGTGCAGTCAATATCTACGCTATAGATTCATACCCAATGCGCTATGACTGTAAGCTTAGTTACAATGTCCTTTCTGCTATGCGTCTTTGAAGGCTGACATTCCTTCCTCCTTAGGCGCAAATCCCAATGTTTGGCCTACTTACAGGTTTCCATATGATTGGCAAGTCACGCACGAACGGCAGAGTCCAACAACGCCCTTTTCCATTGCTGAGTTCCAGGGGGGCTCTGGCGAGGGATGGTAGGCCAATTCTATTACGTTTACCAAGTGAAGGGAGCTAAAGTAATTATAGGGGAGGCGTGGTTCAGAACATGTGCGGCCAATTAGTCAATGAAGAGGCCGCCAGAGTTGTGTACAAGAACAACTACAGTTTTGGTGTAAAAATCTTCAACATCTACATGGTAAGTGTGTAAAACATCTTGATTTCATGCTTCCATATTTATTGTGGCAATCTTATCAGACTTTCGGTGGAACCAACTGGGGTAACCTCGGCTATATGGGCGGGCACACATCATACGATTACGGTGCAGCTATCACGGAAGAGAGGGCAATCTGGCGTGAAAAATATAGCGAACAGAAACTTGAGGCGAATTTTCTCAAAGTTTCTCCTGCTTATCTGACGGCAACTCCCCGTCTTGGAGTAAATGGTACCTACGGCGCACCCCCCTCGATAGCTGTGACTGCTCTCCTTGGAAATGGCACGCAGACAAATTTCTATGTTGTTAGACATGCCGACTTCACTTCAACCGGCAGCACTCAGTACACTCTCACACTGTCGACAAGCATTGGGCACGTCGAAATTCCCCAGCTGGGAGGCTACCTGATGCTGAACGGACGTGATTCTAAATTCCACGTCACAGATTATGATATTGGCGGCATCAATCTGATCTACTCCTCTGCAGAAATCTTTACATGGGCGCGTGGATCAGGTTCAGCTCGTGTGTTAATTCTATACGGAGGTGCTGGAGAAACACATGAGTTTGCTCTGCCTAGTCATCTTGGAAAGCCGACCGTCCTCGAGGGACAGGGCCACGAAATCAAACAGCGCGGATCTGCTTGGTTGGTACAGTGGCATGTTACACCAGCCCGAGGCATCATTCGCGTAGCAGATCTTCAGGTATATCTGCTCTGGCGGAACGAGGCATACAATTACTGGGTGATGGAATTGCCGGAATCAAGTCCGATTGGAAACTTCTCATCGCCATCAAAGAGCCTGGTAGTTGTGAAGGCCGGATACCTTGTCCGCACGGCTGATCTGATAAACAAGCAGTTGCGACTGACAGGAGACGTCAATGCCACAACAGAAATCGAGATAATCTCCAGCCCAGCTACTAAACTTAAAGGCATCACCTTTAATGGAGAAGTGTTACAAACATCACAAACGTCCAATGGGAACCTCTGGGGAACTGTTAAATACGACCCTCCGAAATTGGACATTCCCGACTTGTCCAACCTGGAATGGAAGTCTATTGATTCTCTTCCTGAGATTAAGACCTCGTACGACGACTCAGCTTGGACACCCTGCACACGAACCTCAACACACAATCCACGGCAGCTGGACACTCCGGATAATCTGTATTCCATGGACTACGGATATCACACAGGGTCCTTGTTATACCGTGGTCATTTTAACGCCAATGGCCAAGAATCCAATGTGTGGTTAAACGTATCGGGTGGGCTAGGATTTGGACATTCCGTGTGGTTGAATACCACATTCCTTGGCTCATGGGTCGGGTCGAGTGCCAACTCCTCAGTTGTTCACAACATGTCGCTACCATCCGTCTTGTCGCACGGAAGCCCGTATGTAATCACGGTTCTCATTGATCACATGGGCCAGGATGAGGAGGCCCCTGGCACTGATGCAATTAAGTTTCCACGAGGAATTTTGAATTATGAGATTTCGGGTCACACCCAATCCGAAGTGTCCTGGAGATTAACGGGTAATCTTGGGGGAGAGCAGTATCAGGATCTCATCCGTGGTCCTCTCAATGAAGGTGGCATGTATGCTGAGAGACAAGGTTACCATTATCCAAATCTGCCAAGCTCGAAATGGGTACTGTCAAACCCAGTCACAGATGGCTTACCGCACGCAGGTGTTGGATTTTATGCCGCATCCTTCCAGTTAGACCTCCCTAGTGGATGGGATGTCCCAATGAGCGTGGTGTTCAACAACTCAATTCAGAAGAATACTGAGGGAAACACCCAAGGCAAAAATTACAGATGTCAGCTGTTCGTCAACGGATATCAATTCGGAAAATACAGTATGTATTCCATCCAAAATTTGGTTCATTGGGCATGGTTCCACGGCTCTGACTCGCAATCCACTAACTCTAATTTTTTCAATTTAGTCAACAACCTCGGCCCCCAAACGGCTTTCCCCGTCCCAGAGGGTATTCTCAACCACGGAGGGAACAATCACATAAGCTTGACATTGTGGGCCCAGGATAAGCAGGGTGCAAAACTGGAAGGGTTGAAATTGGTTCCCACTTCCGTCATTCGGTCAGGCTACAGCAGACCTCAGGCCGCCCCGCAGCCCGCCTGGAAGAAGCGAGCACAGTCATACTAGAAAGCGACAAGCGAATTTTTTGAAACTTGGACTTGTAGTTGGTATATGTGCAGAAAGAATAATCTATATACATGAAATGTGTTGGAACCCCGTGAAGTTTGATAGCCGAGATAAAATATGAAATGGCGCTAGACTCCATCGCTAGTTACCCAATGCAGCAACAGCGGCGACCAACGCATCAAGGGCGGCGCTATGTGTCGACGCATCTACCACTGCGTGGATGGGACCAGCCCAATTGACGCCGAACTGTCCCTGCTCATTGCGATCATTGCTCCAGATGCTGTTCGCACAACTGCTTATCACTTTTCGGTAAATATCTTGAGGGGATACTTTCTGTAACTTCCGTAGGTTGCGAATGAAAATACCCTTGAATTGTGTCCCATCTGGGAGACATTGCGGCTCACAGAATTCATGGATGATATTGTTCGAGTCGGCTAATGTCGCAATGGCTGCCTTTGCAATCTTGTTGGCTGAGAGTAGATATGTGTTATTGGGCGCCGCTCTGTTCAATTCCACAAGCCCGCCGAGGACAACTCCTTGATTGTATGACCATCTGCTGAACGTTAGCTAAAATGAAAGACCATCGGAAAACATAATTCGTACATAGTATCTCCATTGTTCTGGCAGTTGTCCATAAGGCCATCATTGATCGTGCCATTTTCACTGATGAAGGCCTGTGTTGTGAACCAATCCCATTCCTTCTGTGCCCAGCGAACATAATATTGTTTTCTCTCGGGCACTCGGTTTGCAAGGTGTGCTGCGACAGACAGAAATAGCTCGTTTGTAATTGCGTTGACATATGTGCTGTTCGGACTCCAGGGAAGACCGCCACCACCACAGTGGGTACCCCATGCGTTCGCCTAAGAAGAATTAGCACATTTCCAAAAAAATATAGATCCGAAGCTATAAATACCAAGCTCTCGAACATTCCCTCAGCCAGTTCCAGGTACGTCGCCTGTTTTGTGACATCGTATGCGGCAATCCATGCAAGGGCCCACCATCCATCATCGTCATAAGCTTGATCGAGCCACTGGCTGGCATTTACAGAAGTTGATAGTTGGTTGCCGCGAGTATAAACAGTCTTAGTCTCAGGTCCGGGATTCGGATTCGACACTGGCCCCACGTAGAATGTGTTATTGAAGACATATGTGGCTGTATCCATTACTAATGGGTCAAAGGCAGCTAAATCTGCAATGGTATTCATGCAGCTTGCACCATCCCACCAACCACATGTGTCCCAAATGCCACTTTGGGGGTTATACCAGCCCTGAAGGGTCTGAAGCGCATCGCGTGCTCTTGTTCTCGCGTCATCGGCGACCGCGTTTGCGGTCAGCAGCAGCGAAACAAGAAAAGGGGCCAGAAGACCGTGCCGCAAGAACAACATGGTTGGGAAATGACAAAGGAAAAGCAACCTATTGAAGCGGAGATACGAATTGGAAGAACATATTCACTTTAAGTAAGACAGCTGTGATGTTCAGACCCGGGTCCTAGACACATTACGGCATATCTAACCAAATATTTGTTGTACATTCTTCCTACTGTAGTGTCTTGATTGGCGATCAAAATCAAGCTGGCCCACTATAGTGGATCGCTAGGCCCCTGATCTGCATTGATCGCCTCGTTGTGAAACTGAAACCCGCCCAAACCACGAATATGTATGCAGATAGACGGCAATTTAAGGAACCAGCCTTGCAGGAAGACTGGTTCCATCTCGATCAATTTGTCGATTTCATATTTCCTCCCATCAAGGGGGGTGTCTATTCACCAGGTTGCCGCTGTACAGACGTTGTTATTAGCGCCCATCCCTTGCAATGTGATCCCCGCTCTTTTTTCGTTCAATTAGACTCAGTTGAACAAGAAAAATGGAGATATTCATTGTGTCATTGTGAACAACTCATCGCTCTCTCGGGCCCGCTATGAGTTCATTCCTTCATCAGAATCGAGAACCTCATCGACCGAGGGAGTCCACTCAAGCGCCGTTGATAGGGTTTGGATTAAGCGATATTTGTTCGTTGTATGTGATTGGTCAATTGCAGTTATCATTGATCATCAAATCAATTGAGCTTTGATCAGTCGACCCGACCGAGCTTACTTAAACCTGCCTCCAATGCAATGTGGATTTGGGGCTACATTGAGTTCAGTAGATTGGTTGTCTTGCGCTCGGGCGCAATCAGCCTCGAGTGCAGGACACGCATTGTCTGAGATGCATCAACATTTAAATCGGACTATTGCTGTACTGACGTCAGCAGCAGCTCCATTCCAAGGTTGTCATCCCCATGGGAGACAATTGTCTTGGCATATTCTGTGTCTGCAGCCAACTGTCGGCGGAAGGGAGAATTGAATCTTCTCGCAATCAGTTTCGTTATTTCAGAACGGCTGGCTTTAGGAGGAAATTAGAGACGGGAGAAGTCATATTTATATTTCAATGGTAATATCTCGAATCTCGAGGTCTGGTTGACACTGTTCATTAAGGTGTTTGAGACACATGTACCACGACTCAACAAGGTACATTGCAATGTGCAATGCTCATTCAATCATACTCATATCACCCGAAATTCAATAGCTGCATCTCAAATGCATTATGAGACATATAGAGACACGGGCTGTAGAACATAGGAGGTAGCCAAGTAAATCAAGGGACGCGGCATTCTTTCTTTAAATTCTTTGGGTCACTGGATATAAAGTTGTCTTACAGGTTGACGTGCCGATATTGGGTAGTAAATAAAATTCATGTGGAAAATCAGAGAGCGAAACCGAAAGCAATTCTCGACTGTGCCTTAGGTGAAATTGTCGACGAGATATTTGTTCGCACCGCTACTGAAGGGGGTGCCACGCACATCATTCATGGATTGAAAATTAAATTTTTGCGAATGGAAACACTGTGGTAGTAATTCGCTGTTCGGTGACGACGATGATATAGATTTTGGCAACGCTGGCGTGGCCTATTGGCTCAAAGGTCGACCAACTTTGTTATATGTACGAAGATTAAATTCACGCGAGTGGTAACAAAGTAGTTCTTCCTGTTAGCTTCCGTATAGCATTGTAGCCATGATTTAGGACTAAATAATGAAAAGAGCCCTCCTAGACTGATGAAGACCTACTGAAAAAGAATAATATTGCTGTTAACTGGCCTCGGATGACAATGGGATCAGGACTTTAGATGGCTAGGCGGAGTTTATGATACAGCAGGAAACAGGAAGGTCGAGGAAGAGCATTAGATTTTGGGAAGAGAAAAAGCCTCTCGGGGATAGCGATCAACTAACTATCCTGAGCTAAGCTACTGTCCTAAAATCATTTACACCTACATAATTACCTCAACAATATCATTCCATCTTCTTGCTTCCTCTCGCCCTCTGTTTCTACTCCGATGTATATCTTCTATGGAGCAAATCGCCAGTTAGCTTGTCAAGAAATAGGGAGCAATGCTATTCCGCTAAGTATAATACTCAGCAGCGTCAGTGACACTTCATTTCTATAATTTTTTCTTGGGTGCGGTAGTGATCTCTTGCTTTCACCAATAGTAGCGATATTTTCGCCCATTCCTGTCGACGTGTGTGACTTCCGATTCCAGCTCTGGGTCATCTGCCAGTTTCTTAGCGAAAGCTCGATTAGCCCACTGAAACCCGAAGGTCTGTATGATTATTCCGGCGAGCCACACTGCGCCCAAGGATATACAGGCAATCCATGCCGTGTGGTAGAGAGGAGCATCACTCTATATTCAATGTCAGTTGGAAGCACTCCGCTGAATGGAGATTCAACACCAAAGGAAAAGGCACGTACTGCTCTAAATACTTGGTTGCCGTATGTACCACCTAGATTAGAGCATCCAACTGTGGTATCATTTTTTTAGTGATCGTCCAATTTCAATTTCATCAAGGTCAATGGTTCCATACTGTATACTGCATACGCAACGGCACGTTTTTGTGGCGTCTTAAAGTTCAAAGACAGCCAGGTCACATTGATAGGCTGCCAGTTTCTGCAAGGTACTGGTCAGTTCACCCGTCCAAACATAATATTAAAAGATCACTCACGGGGATGACTGGGTGACCAGGTACGCTGCATAGAAAGACCACGAAGCTTGAGATGTGATTGGAAGACACTGCATCAAGGAAGTCAGTGAGCAAATACTACGCCGAGGGGGAAAGGTAGCAGCCTTACGTAAAGTGCAATTAGGCCTGCGAGAGTCCACACAGCCGAAAAGGCGATTGCATACCCAAACCGACTATACCTATCCACAACTGCCGACAACACAATGCCAAAGATTGCGCCCAGCAGACTTCCCGGGGCATTAAGCAAGTTAGCTCGGATTGCGCTGAAGCCTAGCGACTTGATGATGGTTGCACCCCAGGTGCTCAGCCCATTGGTGGATTGTAGGCCAGACAGACACACAATGAGGTATGGCCAGGTAGCCCAATGGAAAAGCACATCAGTTCTATAGGCAGCCACGTGTTAGTCAAAGTTTCCATAGCTACCAAGCAAGGGAAGCACGCACATATCCTTCCACTGAATTTTAATATTCGAACCGTCTCCCTGATTGTCTTGTTGTCGGGCTTGACGTGCGACGAGAATGTCAGCTTCGCGCTCATTGAGCCAGCCCTGCATACGGATGAGACCGCCAAAAAGATGACCTGTATGATATGGAGACTTGGGGAGAAGGGCAAAAGCCAAGACTCCTGAGGCTAAATTGGCCGTGGTGTTAGCTAGGAAATCAACACACATGCTCATGATGCTTACTTATCGTAGAAACGCCACAGATGATGAATATCCTATATAATTTACTTCCACATTAATAGTGATCGCATGAATATGAACCAACAACATGAAGACTAACCATTGCCACCCACGCAATCCCCTATGCTCGTGCAATGTCAAGGCGCCTGCCGAAACTAGCGAGCCAAAAGCGCCAGCCAATGCCGGTCCAAGGAAAAACACTGCAGTGCGTTGCGTGAGCTCGTTGGGTACATACCAGGTTGACAAAATGTACAGGCCACCTGGGATAAACCCGCTCTCTGCTAGCCCTAGGAACAGCCGCGCAGCATACCAACCACTAGCATTAGTGACAAACATTTGCAGTACCTCAATGAAGCCCCAGACGACAACCTGGGCCGGGATCCAATAGTGAGGACCCACGCGGTGGAGAATAATCTGATCAACAAGTTAGACTCCAGTTCGGTATTCCAAAAGAAACGTTGATATGTGAGAAATACGTTTGAGGGAATCTCTAGCAAGACAATGCCCAGCCAGAGTAGAGAGACACCTGTGTTGGCTTGATCCCGGGTCATAGATGTGTCGGAAAGAAATGTGGAGGTTAGCACGCTCGACACATTAGTCCGATCAATGGCCATCAAAGTAAACATTAGCTACGGGGAGAGTTTAGCGGGAAAGGGCAATATGAGCGGCCAGGATGTTGAGACGGACCGAGAATATAGGGAGAAAAAGGAAATCGAGTTTTCGAACGATGACAGATTCTTCCTGTGGTGTCCAAGTGACCAGAATTTGGTGGCCATTTTTGACGATTGGATAAGAGAGGATGCCTGGCTGTCCTTCTGGGTCGGGTTTGTGGATATCGGAGGGGGTGGTTGTGCCATCATAGAACTGATGAATGCTTAGATTAATGGGCCTTTCTTTCCCGTCTGAATATTCTTTCCCAGGCAAACGCGGCTGCTCCTCTGTCATGTTGTAGTGTGGTTGATCCAACCAGATCTGCTAGTAAGCCTACCGGGAATATTAGATGGGGAACGATGCGTGAGGGTGGATGTCCAATAATTTTAGGCAATATTCAAAATGGTTAGAAGTTCTTCTTGGAGACTTTCTTCTTGGAGACTTTCTTCTTGGAGACTGCTGCTCTCCAGTCCAATTTATATCACGCATATCGAAGTTGAGGTAATTTTTATAGGTCTGAAATCTGGAGTACGATGTCGTGTTGGATCGAATTATGTCGTGACCTGCCCTGGATGCAATCATCTCGTATCGGCATTAAAGCATATTTGTATTCTACCATTCGGCCTTGCCATACGGGACTAAATCTTGAAAGACTAGGTGAATGCATCTGGCCATTGCCTATTTGGGTAACCGAACTACCCAAATAGGTATAGCGTGGTGACTATGAGAGTAAAGCTCAAATTCCTTATGGGAAATATCAAGGTGTATCTACAGTGCTGCACATCTCTATAAATAAGGCGTTATCGTCGCATATATCTCAAAGGGACTAAAACAACATTTATTTACACTCAAGAAGTATTGTTTGGTCCTTTTAATTGCTATGTTTTCCTTGCTCGAACCTCGTTGCTGACGCCATATATAATTAATACACGACATCCCAAAGCTCCCAAACTGGGGTTCAAATCCCGGTAATGCGGCAAATAGCAAAGAAATGTAATATAGAACAATTCCCGGCACTTTCTGACCCGTAGTTCATTTACTTTCCGAGGGCGTTGACGCCATACACAGCAAAGTACGCGCCATCACGGGGATCTAGAACTAACATTTGAACCTTGGCTATACGGTTTATAGAAAAGAAGATATTGCGAATCGGCTTTTTCCGCAGCGTAAATCTATTCTGCACTTCGCTTAGGGTCCCGGGGTTGTTGACCCACCCGTATTGACACATGTACATCGGGCACTGATCGAGATACGAAAACATCCAAGTCCACACCACTCTAGGACTGTGGGATTAGCGTCTGAATCTCGGCTATATGGGACGAAGTATGCTATAAAGTCAACAGGTGATTTGGATGGTCTTTTGCACTTGATATTTCTTTTTCTTTGAAGCCTTTAACATATTCAATAGCTTCTTTCCTTCCATCACTAAAATTTGCCTTACTATGCCTTCTACTATCCAGTCTACCCAATCCCTGCCAACCTACTTTATTGGTCATGCCGGCGTGGGCCTTCTCTTTGATGATCGACCTCGAAATAAAATTGTTCAAGCCAGCTTGAGGGATATTGGGGAAGAAATCCAATCTCTTTCACCGCGCCCCAAGGCAGTTGTTGTGTTCAGCGGCCACTTTGAAGCAGGCGAGATCCATGGGCCTGGAGTGATTGAAGGTAAACTTCCGTAATACCATCCCTGAGTGTCGGCCTGAGGATATTTAGAAGGTCGGACTGACATGTATAGTAAATGTCAAACGTGTGACACATATACAGGTAAGCAAGCCTAACCACATATCCTCATTTTCAGCTGATTTATGGTGAGAACAACATTGATCATTCCTCCAGCATGACTTTGTCAACGATTTTCATGACTCCAAGCCGTTCGTCTACGAATACGACTGGCCGCATCAGGATGCACCCGAGCTAGCGGCACAGCTATGGGAACACCTACGCAAGGCCGGAATTAAGGCTAAACGTGTGGAGAGAGGAGTGGATCACGGTGTCTGGGTGCCTTTCAAGGTCATGTTTCCGAGTGAGAAGCCGCTGGACATACCTGTAATTCAAATCTCGACATTCCACGGCACTGATCTCGAGAGCCAAATTCGTCTGGGTCAGGCCTTGAAGTCTTTACGGTAAGTTCGACACTGTGTCATTTCTGCATACTGCCAATAAGATAGCTAATAAGTAACAAATATCTAGACATGAGGGGTATCTCATTATAGGTTCAGGCATGGCTGTTCACTCGTTCGCCTCGATTGATGAGATTATACATGCTGCCACAGAGGAGGAGAGGGAGACCATCCGGGCCAAGATCCTTGCCGAGTCGAGGGATTTTGATACTCATCTGAGAGCAGCAGTGACAAAGAAGGACGCAAATGAGAGAAATGAAGCTTTGCTGAAGCTGGAGAGCTTGTACGAGTTCAAGCGGTCCCATCCGACTGTCGAGGTACGTTTTTTTATATTGAAAAGATTTGAGCCGAGGGATTGCCTTAAACTAACTTGTCTTACTTATCAGCACTTCACACCACTCCTGGTTGCTGCTGCTGCGGCTGGAGATGCGGATGTGGAAGCCCTAGGCGTGGACTTGGTCGACCCAGGCTTCTCTTATCTCAATCTACGTTTTGCTTAGGGAATAGGGGATGGCAGGAGATGACCCGCCTGGCTTGAAGGCTCTTGCGAGGTGCCGCTAATCACCCGTAAGGTGTATCAACAGTCATTGGAAATATAACCTTTTGTTAGAATTAGTGGTATGGTGGCCTGACCTTGTTTGCCAGGACTGCGAGGCAAAAGTACATAGCTAGTCTACTCCTTCATGTCCCATAGTGAGTCAGCAAGTCCTCCATAGCAAAACATAGTCTTCTTGCTCTTTTTCTACTCCTATAGATTTCTTTACTCTTGCTCATCAATTCCATCTCTGACCTTACTGGGGCGGATTGGCGCTCGGCACCCCGACTACCTTAATGTGGCATACATAAATGTGCATAAATAGCATTCCTAAGGTGGTAGTCACCTAGTACCAACGATTTGCCCATGGGCTGAAGAGATGGGCAACTTGAGGTTTATTGAAAAAATCCCTTGTCCATTAACGACCTGGATTCTAAAGATCCGACTTGAATGATGCCTCTCAGATATTTATCCAAGACCTCTACAGTTATTGACACAACGGGAAAGACAAGCCCATCTTACGCGACTCATCGATAGAACAACTAATTTAATATTTTTGAAACTATGCTTTCCACTTTTCGTGCGCATATTATCCCGAGAGGAATGTGTTATTTAATAATATATGGTGTTGGTCAATGACATATGTTGCTCTAAGTAAATTGTCGGAAATGAGAATTTTATTACACAATCTAACTAAGCGTATGCAACTTTTTAAATGGAACTACTCAATTTCTATCCTTTTGTTGTTTCGGGTTTGTGCCCTTATGTATGGTCTTCGACAAGTGGCACAGAACCCTGGGATGGGTTGGTAAGACAGTTATAGCTTCGACTACAGAATCGAGAATTCTCACGGCAAAAGAGCAATTTTTGGGTGTTCCTTCTTCTCTTATTGTAGGCCTTAATTGATAGCCTTCAAAACTTGGGAGGTATTTTCCGTCGTATTGTAGGACGGCTAGGTTGTGAATTGGTATTTTTACAGAAAGCCCGTATGGTAGGTGGAGGGGTCGGCGTTATATTGCGATTTTCGGTGCGGGGTTTATTTCCATTCCCAACGCATCGAAAAGAGATTTTCACAACTAGCACAAATGGATTCCACTGAATATGCAAATCGGTGGAATTTGGCAAAGCATCTGCACATAAATTTCCTGGGTCCAGTGCAGCCCAATGGATGGCCAAGCATTCACGAGAGATTGTTCTCGGATGTGCAGAAGCTAGGCAGGCGGGGGTTTGATGAATTTATGGAAAGTATCACTATAGATACCCTTGAAAAACCCTGGAGGAATGCCACTCGGAACCGTGCTGTGCGTCTCTCAAAGCTAGCCGAGGAATGTTTTTGGGGACGACGGAATGAGAGCACGTGGAGATTCACCATCGAAAACGAAATTATGCATCGGTTCTCAGTGGAGGTCGCTTGGTATGAAATTCCCCTTAGAATGCTAACTTCCGATTCAAAGTACATTTCTAATGAATTCTCAGTATCCAATGCCGCAAAAGACTTTGGGAGTCCGAGATTCCTGCAGCAACAGACATTAGCAACACACAGGTGGAGTCACTGGAAGCTCGACGTCGCAAACGTAAGCCTTGCCAATGCCTAAGGGGCTGGGGACAGAATCAGTATGTGTTTGTGTATTCTTGAGTCGATGTTTCCGGTCACTGACATCGATAATAGAGATGATGGTGGTATCAATATGCTCTTCTCAAACCGGGCCGAGGCAGCAATAAAACATTATCCTCCATTAGAGATTGCTTCGCAACCAGGAAGAGTGAAGAAGTATGAAGCCCCTGATCGTGTTTATGGTCTCAAGCAAACTGATAACTTCAAAATACTACTGGATTCCACCGACTCGCGAAGCCTGATGACCTCCACCAGGCAGACACTACGTGAAACTATAGAATATAGTCCATTCGGCCCCGAGGGCGAGCCATTGCTATACCCATTTCTCATCATGGAGGCGAAACCTAGCAATAGCGCAGGTCGAGCAGAGGTAGATATGCAAACAGCATTCTGCATCAAACGACTTTTGAAACTACAGTATGACCTACGAGCGGCGACAGGAGATGAAACACAATGGCCTACAGGCCCCCTCGTATGGTTCTTGAATTGGAGAGGGGAAAGTTGGGATGTCTCTGCGGGGTTTCCCGAGACACAACTGGACACCAATGCAAACCCGGACATATACTACGTGAGCGATTCTCATTACCGACCACACTCGGATGTCAATCACGCGGACTAAGATATTTTAGACCATCGTTGATTTGTGGCACGGAAATATCTGTGGCTTTGATGGAGCTTTACAGCTTCTACTCATTGTTGACTATATTTTTGATTGGGCTCGCGATATCTATCGCCCGGCAATATTGGGTGAGTTGGATGTCTTGGCGACAGGTGATATCATGGCACCTGACCCGGACGTCTTTTCCACGATGTCCAGGAGAATCTCAAGCTGGATCAATACGTCAACTGATATCCAAGCAACCCAGGTGTCATTTAGTGGCGAACCCCAGGATTTGAATTACTTGAATGTTATTTGCCAGGAAGGTGTTATTCGAGATGCCTCAGTGATTGAATCACGGTATCTTGGCCTACACATTACCGAAAATGATGTCGATACATTTTTGCTCTCATTCCCATCTGCCAAGGAGGCAAGCATTTGGCTTTCTGATATCCTGAATTGCCTTTCTGGATCATGGAGAGTAAATGGAGAGACTATTGAGGCAATGGAAAGTTTCTGGACCGCGGAGCCTAGACCGATTCGTGAGGACTTCAGGCGTGACGAGGCTTTTTATCTCAATATCGCAATTCATATGTTTGTATCTGAAAAGTGGGAGCCGATCCGACAGCTCACTTGCTTTTCTATCACTGAAAGCGCCTTGCGCATGGTTTTCTATAAAATTGGGCACATTGATGCTCCTGATTTCACACAACACCCCCAAGTGGGGAGAAACGCCATCGAAACCCTTCTTGGTCGCATAATGAAACAATCTATTATGGAGAACCTGACTGCAGTTGTATCTATGCTCTGCATGACAAGCAACTTCCACAAGAAAGGCAGCAGGGATCAATGCAAAGTGATAGTGACGAGATCAAATGGGGTAAAAGCTGGATTTCGAGTCGATAAGTCATCTCAACTCATAAGATCTGTGATCTCTGTTTACGAATCTCACAAGATTGGACAACGAGAGCCGCAGGACGCCTATCTACGCTTTTCACGTCTTCAGTGCCAACAGGTTATTCAACAAAGAGAAGAAGACATCGCGATATGGCCACAACTTCCTCCTCTCGGCCTTGATCAGAAAAAGAAGGGAGTTTTGGTTGACAGTTTGTATCAGAGTGAAGAATGCCCAAAGCATTGCCTTTACGTTGTCAATGGATCTGATGATCTCGAAGATCTACCCGGTCTGCTCGATAGAATGTCAAGGGATGGGCCTTATTTCAAGACGATACAGCTACGATCTGGTCAGTGGAACGAAGAAAAACTTTGCCATATAAACAGCCCGGTAAAGCCGAAAGGGAAGTGGAGCTCAAAGAGGGACTCCGATGCTTTTGCTCGATGGATACAATTTCTAGAAACTGAGCAAACGAAGCGAAGTCACCGACCAGGGGACAGATCATCATCGCCTATGGTCCTCTCATCAGACGAAGAAATCGAAGTCTGAAGAGTCGACAGGCCCAGTTCTTAAACGTCTTACTCTCCGAGCAGATTTGGTGTTCTGATTCAAGAGCAACGATGAGATAGAATGGCAATTCCTTGGTTAGCTTATAATCTTATACTCTATTTCGAAGAAAAGCCGACTGGGACAGATATTTAGGAAAACGCACAGGTCAGATATAAGCACCAGAGAAGTAGACTCGTATATGCCAAGTCTTAGGATATGGGCTAGATACATTCTCGACAAATAAATGATTTATGAAGAGCCGGAAAGTTTACTAGAGGCAAAAAAAAATAAAAAACAGAAATAGAAAAAATAAAAAAATAAAACTAAGGGGAGAGGAGAGAGGAGGTAAGATTAACAACTAGGAAAAAGGAGAAAATCTAAATGTGCTCTGAAAACAGATATCCTAGGGTTCACGCCACACCTGGTCGAAATGATGCCGCAATGCAGACCTGGGCAGACCCTCGGACATCTTGACCTGCAGGATATCTCAGAGAGACCTCCAGGTTACGACCAGTAAGCCTTGCGACGATATCATACCAGACTACATAATGTCTGTTCCCTGAATTCCCTTTCAATTGCAATGGGTACAGGTCCATCAGTTCTGTGAGATCTACCACGATCAGTGCAGCAGATTGGGAAGCTAACCGAAGTCAGTCAATGATCAAACCCAGACATTGAAACGGATGACGGGTTCCCGCAATAGACATACTCCCTCTATTCATCTCGTGTTCCAATTGATAGTGGTCCTTGACATCGTCCTTTTCCGAGTAAAAGATTCGTTGCCTGATTTCCAGATCTTGGCCTTCTTCGATAATTTGGAAGTATTTTTCCGTGAAGGTTTCGTCAAATTCTACGACGCGACCCTTTTGGGGGTTAATATGGAATGGTTGGAAGATATAGGCACGGCTCATACCTTTTTGATAATCCAATTTAAACAATTATCGATGTAGTACTTTTCATCGCATGGGTTAAAGTAAGGAACGATGTTTCGATGCGCAACGAGCTTTCTGTTTTGTTCCTCAACTTGAAGGATGCCAATGTTGGCAAGGATTATTCGGCGAGGTCCGTTGCTCTTGTCTATCGCACGATAAACAGCTCCGCCAGAGACAATTGCTTCCCATCCACTGAAAAACACCCTGAAGTTAGCCTCCAAGTTGACAGAGAATGAAATTTTAGCTATACTAACCTGTCTTTCGGATAGCTCAATTGAAGACGTCGAAACCTTTCCTCCATAAAGTGCCGGAATGTGTTGGACTGCGAGTAACCACCGACAAATATGACTTTCTGTCAAAGAAAAAGCCTTTGTTATCTTGTTTTTCAATCAGACAACAAAAAGAGCTTACCTGCATAACTAGCTTCTTCTTTGCAGCGATGTTGAGCTGTTCTTGGATTAAAAGCGCGATCCCTTCAAGGCTCGGTAGAAACCATTGTTGCACCCCACTCCTAGAACAAAACCATCAATCAGTAACCTAGGGAGAAAAAAATTAAAAATGCAAGGGAAGAAACCTAGAGATCTTAATTGTGTTGCTTTCAAAGCTAATACTGCCGTTTAACCCGGCTTGTAGGGTTGGCTCTAATCCGTGGAAGTCGAGATATTCATGCCCGTCTAAGCCGCGACTTGAATCGAAATTACGCTTCAGCTCTTCTTCAAAATTTCGAAAAACATCGTGAAAAAGTTGATATTTGGTTGAAATTCCTTTCTCGGAGAGTACTGCTTCAGATTCAGAGTCAGAGTTGAAGCGATCTTGGAGGTCTTTCTCCATGGCTCGGTTGACGCAAGTAGAACCGTAATCTTCACCTATTCCAAGCTTGAGCTGATATACTTTGACCAAAGTATATGGACCTTACCGGTAGGAGTAATTGCCTCACGAAGGCGAAGTGGATTTTGTGCCTTTACAGTATAAGTGGTAATATCCTTTTGGAAAGGTCAGTCGTAATTGATAGTGTACTCCGGTATTTGTCTTACCACTGTACCACCTCCAGCATCGCACACTAAGAACGTTTCTCCTTTCTTTGATGGCGGATTATTAGTTTGTCTATAATTGATACGACACAACTGAAGAATCCGCATACCTGTAACCGTTTGGTACCGACCATCACGTCTAGGGCAAACGCCGCAGCTGCTTCGGGCTCATTGATTATGAACAAGTCTAGCGGCTCAGATGGCTGACATAGTGAAGCCTTCACTGCGGCCTCTCTCACTATTTCTTGCATGGACCAAGAGGTTCGCATAGCCCACCCGGCAGGAGTAGCTAGGGAAAATTCCACTGGGCTTGTCTCCCGAAATGTTTCGTGATCCTTCAAATGTTTTTTGGTATAACAGAAGACTTCAACCAAATAATCTGTAATGACATCTTTCACGCTCTTCCCTAAATATCTGAGTGTCTTTTTCACCTCACGTAATGCATCATTTTCTTTGGACTTTGGACCAGGATCTTCCAGAATGAGTTTAGTGAGCCTAATGAGCCTGCTGGAATCATCCAATGATGCCCCAGTTGAGTGTGCATGCTTTAAGTGTCTGCGTGCTTCATAGCCCCAATAGTATTCGTTACTCCCCAGGTAGATCATCTCGCTTGGAACTTCGCCTCTGCTCTGATCCCGACCTGAACCTGGCCAATGAGTGACGGACTTGATTGCATTCCGACCCACGTTGACTGGACGCTTCCCAGACTTGAGCTTGTAGTATGATACTGAAGTCATGGTTGTTCCAAAATCGAGCCCAATAATGAATTTTGGCCCCGGGCCATTTTTATCGTTAGCGCTCGCGGTTTTCGCGGGTATCGAAGGCCGAGAGCTGACCGTGTCATATCCCGAGGTAGTCAGTGCGACTGGGCCCCCATTCGTGGCATTGATCTGTCGAGCTTGTCTTTTTCGGTAGGCTATATCCTGAGATAGGTTTCGCTTGGGAGCCATTTTGTGGCGTTTTGGAGTGACCGCGGAGGAGGAACGTGGGAAAAATTCGACGACCAGCCCAGCGGTTTTGAACAACCGCCCTCACATCGGGCAGATTGCAAGGCGTTCTCGAAAATCACGCTAGCAGGGTTCTTGTTTCACTAAGAACGCAAGTTGACTGCGCCAGTTATTGGCCGCCCACACCGCCCCCCTTTCATCCTCATTCTCATCCTCATAGGAGCGAAGAGGAAATAAATCCTCTTTCCCATTCACAAATATTTTACAATCATGTCCATTGCTTGATATCAAACAAATAATATCCTCACAAAGTCCAATCTGCATTACGGGGGTTGGATAATTAACCACAACGTCCTCACGGTCGAGTCCATCGATCAGTAATCCAAGGGCTTGCTCACAGAGCACGCGATTTTCAACATGAATCGAGAGTCACCATATACACGCTCCCCATCCAATGCGGACTCGGTCAGATCGGATAGTAAGTGGGGGAAATGGCATTGGGATTACAGCCCAGTGCCGCAGCCACGAACTGCAGATCAAGATCTCTCCCTCATCTTGACCAACAAGAGAAGTCGAACTAAACCCACACGGTTTCCGGAGCGTGAAGTCTATAGCGGCGAGACAGGCGAGCCTCTCCACGACCAGGAGGCGCCGAAAAGCCGAAAAAAGCCAAACTTGGCGGTAGAGGTAGGTGGCGCTTATGGACACCGATGGCCCCGCTGAGGGCACGTTTCCAAGATCCACCTCGCTGATTATCATTCAAAGATCGAGTCATCCATTCGCGAAAAGAATGATTTGGGCAGTGAGAGAGCCGCCTTGGTATCAGATCGAAAGGACACCGAGAAAACTACAGTATCGGCTATCGAAACCACTCAACAGGGCGGTGATGAGCCATCATGTGAAGTAAAACTCCTTAAGCATCAGATTGATCTCCTAGCCACACGGCACAGCCATATGTTGAAAAGTTTGGAAGATCAACTTCTAATCTTAAAGGATGAAAACTCAAAACTCTACGGACATCTGGAATGGTACCGTAAAATGGAAAAGGCCAAAGCAGACTACCCCGATGGGGATGTGGACAACGTTAAAGAGTTGAACGCGGAGCTTGAGCGAAAAGACAGCGAAATTGGGGAGAAGATCAAGCAGAATGAGTGTCTCACAGAACAACTTAACTCAAACGAGGGATTGAACAGCATCCTGAAAGACTTCAAATCCGGCCACGTTGTGGCTACGAGATTTGTAGAGGAAATGGTCAAACTTGAAACAAACACGTCTAGAGCTGCCCGCGTCCTCGTGCAATGTTTGTCTGGCCCTAAGATAGCAGAACTAGGGATGCTGCCTAGAGGAAGGACGAAGCTTGATTCACTGGTCAAAAGTACAGTTGGTACAATGGATCTACTGTCGACGTACCCCAAATTGGCAATGTGTGCCCTTATTTCTGGATTTATTCGAGATCAAGTCTTTCATGCAGGCTGTTGGGCTACTCTTGCTCAAGAGGGATACATGTTGAGGGGCTATCAAGAGATCATTCATAAAAGCTGTAAGTTTTAAATGGCCCCCTCGGATTTCATTACCCCTAATAAAATAAAGTTCCCCAGGGCACCATTGAAGGCTTTCATAGAGCTGCCATCGAGGTGATGCTGGAGCAAAACCATCAGTTTCGCGATTGCTGGGTTCAATCTCAAGTGGAAAACGCACAGTGCACATTTCTAAATCTTTGCAATTCATTTCTCGATGAGAGCAAAGTAAAGGATGCAGAAAAGGACATAAAAGAGGCCTTGAACCGTCTTTTGACAGACGCATTCTATTTCCGTGCCCGTTGCATACCCCCCAATGGTAGCCACTACGAACTGATACACTTTGAGCCAGGAGATGTATTTGATTCAAATTTTATGGACGCATGGGGAGTGGATGGTACGCCTATTTCCGTTTCCGATGAGAAAATTCAGCTGATTAGGCTTTGTGTTCATGGGTGTCTGGTTGCTCATGCAATTGAGGTGAATTCGATTGGCGCAGGCTCTCCCAACACGCTCGGCCAAAACTTCATCTCCACAATGGATGAAGGTATTAGTACTACGGGAGGGGGTGTTTTGAAGAGCGAGAAAGCCATTGTGTTGTTAGGTGATAATCTCGAGCCATGAATTTTAATTATATTGAATATCTCTAGTTACCCGATCAAAAAAGTGAGTCTGTATTCTTGTGAAATTAAAATTCAAATATAGCTAAAAGCATTTAGTATACTTCCAGGCCTGTTAAAATGATTCTATTACAAAGTTGAGCTCTATAATACATCTCGTGATCACAATTTAATCTCAAGACAGGAGGTCCTTATAACGATCTTGTTCTAGTGATCGAGTAGAGACTTCCCTACAATATATTATTAGAGTTAGCCGCGACTAATCGGAATACTCCTTGTCTATGACTTCCCAAGGGCCTCTTCTTCTATAGAGTCTATTTAAACTCTTCTCTCCGGCGATCTCAATAAATGTTGAGAGGAAATCATGAACTACGCTAAGTCTCTAGAGGGCTATTGAGATAAGGTATGTGAAAAGCATCATGAAGGAGAATTTTTTAGTTAAACCAAATACTAATAGCCAAGCGCTACTTAGATTACTATAAAACAAAAGCCTCGTGATGACTGTATCTATACAACTGTATGAAAAGAGAGAGGAGATGCCGAGTCCCACTCACTAAATTATAATTTGATTCGACTAGGCCTTAGATGGTCCCAATAATTAGGAAGATATCGAACAATATTGGTTCACTCTGTTATAACTAGAACACTCATTAGCAGATCTTATATTGACATGATCAGCGCGTATATTTATGGAGCAACTCCTCTCCATTATATCTTGAGGAACTTCGTACAACCACTACTTTGGAACCGAACGTATCGATTGTACAACTTCAGAGTTACCAGACCAGCCTGAATGACTAATTGTAGAGCAATCATTTGATATAAAGAATGTATTCAGTGGGATAAAATATGTAATGAGAGAAAGGGAGAAACACACACTACCCAACAATAGACTAGAGCACTGAAAGCCTAGAACAGCCTAGATACAGGTCACCTAACCCCACACTTCTAAAGTGTATGAATGTCTTCTAGACGAAGATTTCCAGCATCACTCTATGGCTTAGATCCTCTGCCATATTCAACGGTAGAAAAGGCTCAAAAGCCAGGGCATTGCGTTACGCCATCCTTGCCCCAACCGCAGTGCTTGCCATCTCCGCCCTTAGGGCCGCCACACTAAAAGTCCTATTAGTACCTGGAAGATTATGTATCGCTTTGATCTGCTGTGATAGGGGTAAGCTCTTACACTTCCTGTGTTACAATTTCTATAGTCGCTCGTTAGTAAACATAGATTATGTTGCTCGGCTAGGTAAATTGAGTGACTCACGTGTTAATGCCTGCGACCTTGCACGAGGTGCCATTGCACTTCTAGAGGTAATTAAGTTAAAGATTAGTCAAAATGCACCAGTAAGGTGAAATTCTAACATACTCCGCAAACTTCCCATCCGTTGTCACAAGTCCATTTAGTGGCATCAGTGACATCAGTGACATCAGTGGCACCAGTGGCATCAGTGGCATCAGTGGTATCGGTGACAGCGGTCTTCGCGCTGCTCTTATCGAGAGGCGCAGCGAAACCGAGCGAGGCACCAGCGGCCAGGAGGATGAAAGTGAGACTAGAGAAACGCATATCGATTGATCGTTAGAAATTGGAGACTGATGAATAAATTGATGGAATTCGAGAGAGATGAGAACCTTGTGATGGAGAGAGAATTCGCTCGAGAAAGACCTCATATTTATAGGTAGAATCTAGAGAGGACGGCCTCGGAAATCCTTCCTAGTGTCGCCAGATCAACGATATGATTACCTGTTGAGGCAGGACCCTATTATGTATGCGCTATACAGTACAGCACCTATCATCAATATCACATTGCAGCACCTTGCAAAGTGGCTTCAATATGTAAACAACCACCAGAATCATTTTACCTCTGTGTTGCAGCCTAGATTAGTCTCTATATGAGATAATGAAGTCCCACGTAGCATACGTAGTCGGCCGTACTATATAAATCCTCAGTATTTCATAGTTCTGAATCCAGAGATCTTACACTTTATCATTCTTCTACTTGGTATACATTGTCACTTCCATTCGTTATCATCTTCTAACAAACGTTTCTTTTTTAGTAAATAGGCTGCATATGCGCGGGCGATCTTATTGCTGATCTCTCCATTTTAATTGATAAGATGCGTGAGCCAGGGTCCAAAAGAGTTGTATTTATATGAAAGCTCCTATTAGTGTTCGGTGTTTGAACTTTGGTATGTAGTATAGGCGGCGATCATATCACACTGCTATGCATATGTGGCTAATAAGCGCCTGCACTAGTAAGGCTCCCGTGAGTGACTTATGATATCGAGTATATCTGGATCGCTCATCGAGTCACCTTAGCCTATTAAACAGGTTTATATTCACACAAATGTCGGTATAGCGGGATCTTGCCAGAAGACAAGGAAGGGCATATCAAAAACAACTAGCTAGTGAAACTGATGATTAGGTCATGAGCCTAATGTGCTGGTTGGCCGCTGCAAGGGAAAGTGGGGTGCGTCGTGCGTCAACATTCTACATGTGTTTTTCATTCTTTGTTTTATTTTCCCTGTTTCTCTTCCTTTGGCTATAGTCTATTTGCTTGTTTTTGATTGTGTTGACTAGGATGACTAGGGTCCAAAAGATTTACATCTACCACACATATTGTAGCTACAGTCGGTGGGCCATGTGTACAGTGACCATTTTCTATCGACTAGAAATCAATCCATCCATGAGTCACATAAGTTGCGATATTTAACCCAATGGGTTGCGCAGGAAATCATGGTAGATGTTTTAATTGACAATGGATTGAGCATTAAGTGCACTAAGCTATCTATCAAAAATCAAAGCAATGCAGCGTGGGGTCAGCCAAAGGCACAGAACTGCGCGAGGCCAGTTTTAGAAATGATACTATGGCTTATGCAGCTATGTAACTGTGGCCAGGACCTTAGCGCATTACCCCAAGGATTTGCAGACGATTGGCATCAATGATTCATTGCCTGAGTCCGCATACCGCAGCTGTAGGTGAAAGTCGAAAGGAACATCACCAAGTAAGGTACAACTTCTATTATAACTGTAGCAATGCTACTAAGCAGCTGCTCCAACGACTGAGCTTAAAGATAGGGCATATACTTGTTGGAGGAAATTTAAAGAAGTTGCCCCTCGATCGATTCTTGCTAAATACAGTGCAGCCCAGCTCCCTGATATCCAAATAGTTTATAATCAGGAGTACAGCACATGCAGCCTCGACGGTTTCGGATATCAGGTCGCCAAAGATCTGGACCACTAGGTTCAAGATCACATGGGGGATGACAGAGCTTGTGACCTAATAGGCTGCATGATTGGGGATTACAATGTAGTTACATTAAGTCATTCCCGAGAAGACCAAGGAGTAAATATTCTCGAATTGTGGATTGCCTGCAGCAAGTCTGCCATCCGAATATACGAGATGCTCGGATGCTTGGTAGCTATTTAACACTTTCGTATCCTCTTCGGGATGTTCAAACAGTTGTGACGTAAGCGTTTCAAGAAGCAGCCTGCTGTGATCGAAACAACATGTCTGCGAGGAAAAAGCAGTATGGGAGGGGAGGGACACGTCAGCGGTTCGGGAGGGGTGCAGGATATTCAGGTATGGAATAGTGGCGTTCAGGGCATTCGGGTGAATGGACTGATGAGGCTGAATAGTGGGGCGGCACGAGGGGGTTTCCGAACAAATAAAAATACATTTGAATCTTAGCATTATTGTGACATTAGTGTGTGTTGAGATGTATAAAATACTTATATTATAAAGTATACTGCAAGCCAAAATGAGGTATTGCGCACTAGAATCTAGACACTACCGTAGGCAAGCCGTTCGCGAGCCCAAGCCGCACATCGCGAGTGGAAATACAACGAGACATATATATAAATCATCCTATACCGCCAGATACTACCCCGCCTCTACCTCCAGTTTTCGATTACGATACTCATGGTTATTATACCAACGATTTGGCCTCTTTGTTGGTGGCCTGAGGATAATATACCAAACCCCGAATCTACCGGAATTAGGAGTTAACCACGACTATCAATATCAGTGCTTTTAGGAAGCTGTTCCACAAGTATATACCTAGTAAGTCATGCACCTACAGCACTATATCGATCCTACTGTTTGGTACTGCAGTACCGATAAACAGTACCAAAATTGGTTAGTACTATAAGCGGCCCCTGTAACTTTTTTTTCGAAAAATCGGACCCTCGCAACTAGTCTTCCGCATAACCCATTTTAGGTCGAAGGTCTCGACCCAGAGCCCAACCCAGACCTAAGCCAGACCCAGTGACTGGAGCCCCAGAAACCCCAGTATAGGCCCAGTTCGACCCAGTTTCTACATAAAAGGGGGTCTTGGCAGTCATCAACCAGCTAAATCAGCAGAATTATACACATAATTAGCGTGTTTGCTTAGTTTGTAACCTAATTTGGGGCCCCAGACCCATTACTGGGTCGAAGGATTCGACCCAAAACTCCTGGGGCTACTATGTAGGGCCAGGAAGAAAGAAGGGAGAGAGTTGATTCCACGAGAAGCAAACTGCCTGGCTATCTACTAGCAACTGAGGGGTTAATGCCTGAGGCATCAGTTGCGGCCTAAGGCCATCACAACAAACACCCCATCCAGTCTGGGTTTTACTGGGTTGTGCGGAGCGGGGCCCTAGGATACCCCTTTGGTACCTGCAGGCGCCCGTATAGGCCAGTATATAGTTACCACATACCCTATTCTAATCAGAAATATGCGATCCCTTCTGAATCACAAGGGCTATTACAAAGCGGTATACCTAGCTCTCGCCGACTACCCGGTCTTTTGGTAGGCGATTGGCGGTACGTTGAACTGTTTTCAGGGTAGGAGGGGTATATACATTAAATAGAGAAATGGCCTAGGATTTCAATGCCCGCTCTTAAATAGGGTTAATGCCTTCTTTTAACTACTCCGTAGTAAAAGTGGAATTAGCCTTACGCCCGTTAATGCGATAGCGAAGCCGACCGTACGGAACCCCGAATTCCCGCGCTAACCTAGCAATATTGGGCTTACCACTTTGACGGCAGGCTACGATAGCACTGAGGATTTGAATCTTGATATTTTCGATTGCCTTTAACATCGTTGGGAGGAACAAAATATGTAGAAAAGTGATGGGGAGGGTGAAAATTGTGAAGCCCAGCAACATCTACTTCTCGTATGATTATAGCTAGTGGCCTTCGCCCGCCCCACTCCTCTTTAATGAAGCACTGCTAGCACTTATCAGGAACCAGTCATAAGCCTGGATCGTGACCAGGTTATCAGCTGTTATTAAGTCATTTCGGACCTCCGACGGAAATGAAGCACAAATCTCATAATTTCGCTCTGAAGAGTAACTAGCGTTGCACTTCCCCTCTTATAGAGCTTACATACGGGATAAAAGTGCCGCTACTTTGAGTAGCGAAGCATTCCCCCCAAAGCTTGTGTGAATAATTTCGCGGTTCTTAATCTCGGACTCCGAATTTCCGCCAGTAGTACGGAATAGCTTCTCGCAGCTAAGACTAGTGTAGTCTGACGTGACGTTGAATAAATAGTAGAAAGTCTCAATCATTCCCAGCTTCAGACGAGTCGCTATCATTTTGTCTTTTGTTGTTACCATTAACTTGGCGCCAAAAACTCCTACAGTGGTAGTCTTTGGAGTCGGGGATTAAAGCCTCTAGTAGCTCTTTATTTCCTATAACTAGCCATGTACGCTTTTGGTTTGACTGCCTTGTCTCTACTCTGGGCTTGTGGTGCTCAAGCAGCTGGGCGTCGACCTGTTCCACCTCCCGCTATAGCAGAGGCAACGGCTACCTATGGTACTTCCTTTTTCGAGCAACTCATCGACCACAAAGACCCGAGCCTGGGAACCTTTTCTCAGCAGTACTGGTGGAGCGATGAGTGGTGGACGGGAGAGGGCTCACCGGTATCTATATTTCACATCGAAAAGCCTAATCAACAAGCCCTCTGACTATTTCACAATAACTAGGTTGTGCTTTTTACCCCTGGTGAAGAGGCAGCTGCCGAGTATACCGGCTATCTGACAAATAGGACTCTTACTGGTCTTTTTGCCGAGGAAATTCATGGCGCAGTGATTCTTCTTGAGCGTATGTCTTATCTGGTAACCAATTTAGTTTGAACCGAGACTAATTTATTCCATATATAGACAGATATTGGGGCAACTCAACTCCATACACTGATTTGACAACAGAAAACTTGCAGTATTTAACTCTAGAAAATTCCATTGCCGATCTCGTCTACTTTGCTGAGAATGTGGATCTTCCTTTTGATACAAACCACAGCAACAATGCCCAAAATGCCGTATGTATACTAACGCCCTATCATTATATTTTGATCTAAAATCGTGGATTCTAGCCTTGGGTCTTGAGTGGAGGATCTTATAGTGGAGCTCTGACTGCCTGGACCGAGTCAGTCTCCCCTGGTACTTTCTGGGCATACCACTCCACCAGTGCTCCCGTGGAAGCAATTTATGACTACGTGAGTTTTTTCAAATATCAAATTAAGAAATCAATCACTCATATTATATTCAGTGGGGATACTTTGTTCCCGTTCAGGAGGGAATGGCAAAGAACTGCAGTAGGGATGTCGAGAGAGTGATAAAACACATCGACGAAGTCTACGAGTCCGGAAATGAGAAAAAGATTCAGAAGCTGAAGGACATGTTCGGACTCGGCGATTTGGAGTTTGATGATTTTGCAAGGTACGAGAACACCTTCCTCCATTGAAGGATCTAAACTAACCTACACTTGCAATGATTAGTGCCTTGGAAAATGGACCTTGGTTGTGGCAGTCTAACGACTTCTACACTGGATATTCCTCCTTCTTTGAGTTCTGTGACTATGTTGAGGTGATTTTTCACTGGCCTTGAGAGCTTCGAAACGGAAACTGACCCTGATAATTAGAATGTTGAGGCGGGTGCGAAGAAGGTCCCAGGGCATGATGGAGTTGGCCTTGAAAAGGCACTTGCGGGATATGCCAAGTGGTTCAAAGAGGTTTATTTCCCTGGATGTGAGTCACAGAAAGAATCCTTAAATTTCTATGCATCCCTAACATGGATCTCCAGCGTGTACCGGGTACGGCTACTGGACCGACGACAACACCACTGCTTGCTACGACACGTACAACGCCTCAAGCCCCCTCTTTACCGATACATCAATGAACAACGCCATTGATCGACAGTGGAACTGGCTTCTTTGCAATGAGCCTTTCTTCTACTGGCAAGAGTAAGAATATGCACGACTGTGAAGTGTTGTTATTTTCTAACGGATGTATCTAGTGGCGCTCCATCTGGCACTCCCTCAATCGTCTCACGGACTGTAAATGCCGCTTATTGGCAGCGACAATGTTCCCTCTTCTTCCCTGAGACCAATGGCTACACCTACGCTAGTGCAAAGGGCAAGACTGCAGCTGAAGTCAATGAATACACCAAGGGTTGGGATTTAACCGACACTACGCGATTGATTTGGGCGAACGGGTAAGTGATTATCTCCTCTCCCTGATATTTTCCCTTTGGATCTCAATTATAGGAAAATTGATAGCCATATTAACAATCTTGCTAGACAATTCGATCCCTGGAGAGAATCAGGAGTTTCATCTAGCTTGCGCCCCGGTGGACCTCTCGAATCCCGGCCTTCGGCGCCTTTGAATATCATTCCCGGTGGCTTCCATTGTTCTGACCTCATTCTTAAGAATGGTGCAGTCAATTCGGGTGTCCAAAAAGTCATTGATGCTGAGGTTGCACAGATTAAGACTTGGGTGGCCGAGTATTACAAATAAAAGGCTGCAGTCATGCGAGGCAATTGATCAACCAATCAATCAAAGCTCTATTCATCTGTTAGAGCCTATCTGGTTTTATAATGGTTATATAAATTTCTTCTTCCAGTTGAAGCAAGAACACGTGTCCCGTACGCCTGATCATGCTCTGGTACATAAAATGAGACTGGTTCTTGATTTTTTGAGGGAACCTGCCCATACAAGACAAATAAGCCAAATCGTAAGCCCAACAGTAAAATCAAAAATGCGTAAAAGGAGCTATACAGATAGTAGCAATGCAGTATATACAAACTTAAACGCATGGATGCACGCTCTAAAGTCCTCTTTTGTCGCGCTCTATATGAGCACCTCTGAATCAAAACATTACCTGATAAGCAAGACAAAAAAAAGAATGAGATGTTTGCACATCAAATAACTGAGGAAGAAGGGCCCTGAAGCTTGAACGTATTATCACATTACCACCCCTAGGTGGATAATTGTCACTCCGTTCTCACCTCTCTTACCCCAATCTCTAAACTCCTCACCCATATCACCAACTCACCTTGGAGTGCTGCATCCGGGGTGAGGGCATATTTAGCATTGACCGTGCAGAATACGTAGTTTAAGTATGGTGAGCGGACGGGAAGCCCTGTTTTCCACAGGCTTGGGTCGTATGTATCGTGTTACATATAAAGTAGTATTATAAACCACAATGACATGCATGACAAGGTTTGTGCGCTATGGATAGAATGAGGGTGAGGCTCGCCGCGGGTCTCCCAGGTTCAGCTAAGTGGGTTCAAATTGAAACAGCAACACCCACAGAGTTGCACATTGAGTTAGGTATAGAATTGATCCAAGCGTGCGATCAAGAGACTATGGCGTGGCATTGACATTGTTGATTTCTGTTTTTCTTAATGGCCTCTCCCCGTGTAGTAACCTTTCGGCTGGAGTTCACTGCGATACTCAACATACTTCCTCTGATTCAAACCTTTCAAGTGCCCCGTGAAGTAAAAGTTTAAGTAAAATGATCTGCCAAGTCGTGGATATAAGCCGGAGTAATGGACATCCGTTGCGTATCCTATTATGGAAGTCAGATGAGATACAAGAATAGACCAACGCAGTATTGAAAGGGTTATCACCACTCCGCCCCAATAAGAAATACAAGGCTTTCCATTCGAAGGGAATGAGATGTTTGTACAATTGAGGAATTACTGAGCAACTCTAGCTTTCAAATAAAGCCCACAGTGACCATGAGCACCAAAGCCATTGCTGGTCAAATATTTGACTACATTGTGTGTGGGGGAGGAACTTCCGGCTGTCTCATTGCAGCAAAACTTGCCTCCGTTCCAAAAATCTCCGTGCTTCTTGTAGAAGCAGGCAGAGATTCAGGCATTCTGCCGGACGTTCTTGTGCCAGGTAAATATGTCAAGCAGTTACAGGAAGACAAAAACGGACTATGGGAGTTGGAGACAATACCACAAGCATACTTAGGTGGTAGAAAGCTGGTGTTTCTAAGAGGCAAGCAGCTTAGGAGTAGTTCGTGAGTATTTCTCCATCGACAGGACATGGCGATGAAGCTAACAACTCAATCTAGGGCTGTCAACTATATGGCACTTGCTAGAGGCCCGGCGACTGACTATGATGAATGGGCTAGGATTTTTGGCGAGGATGGGTGGAAGTGGGATAATCTTGCAGTGATCTCATTTACCTACTCGATGGGGTATGGAGTATGGCCATCAATCCAAAATGTTCCTATCTCTCCTCAGCTCTGGTGACAATTACGTACCTTGAAGTGTATCATAATATTTAAGGATCCAGGTAACTTCAAAAGAACTGACCAGCAAGGAGCTTGAAATTTGATTCTACATTTCCTACCCTCCCTCACTACCTCACATACGCGATACTCAACATGTCCGCAGTCACCGGATACGACTATCCAGGCTATGAGCAGCTCGGAAGTATTTCCAATATCTCGGCCGCTGTGTCAATACCCGCTGGTACTCGCATTGTCGCCACCTCTGGCCAAATTGCTGATAACCACGACCCCATGTGGGGAACTCACGCCGAGAAATTTGAAAAGTCGATGATCAACATCGAGCGCTCTTTGGCCGTGGCGTCTCCTCACATCACTGATGCCAGAAAACTATGGGAGGGCATCTTCTATATCACTTCGTTCCATGTTGGCATTTTGTCAAAGGAGGAACAGTTGCAGATCGCCGAAATTGCCAGAAGATACTTGGGGAAGAATAAGCCAGCATGGGCGGCTATCTGTGTAAATGGCCTGTTTCCACCGGAGGCATTGGTGGAGTCTCAGGTCCAGGCAGCTTATTGGGATAGGAAATGATCGTGTGTTCTAGTTTTAGTTTTTACCTGTGGTCGAGATTTGTTACTTTTGATTCTTGCGGTGGAATACATCATGGCTACCAGTTGCCGTGGAAATTTAACATTCTATGACAAACCTTTTAGACAATTCTTGATACAGAATGTTTGCCGTGTCAAAGCCTTCCTATAATTACCAATTTTCACTGTGATATGCATTTGAACAAGGAGAACTCCATACGCAATTACATAACATCGAAGCCAGATGGCTATACCTTCCTAGTGTCATAACCCACATACACCCGCTATCAGGACAAATTTTTTATTTGGAAATTATTGTCTTCTCCATATGCAAGGACTGCTTTATCTTGATAAAATAGTATAAAATGATGAAGTCCGAAGAACAAGCTGGCTTTCTAGTGTGATCCGCACGAGCCAACCAAATCCCAGAGGTATCATTTAAAATCCAATTCTATTATCTCTTCAGCTTGACAGGGTCTTCCGAGGTACACAGTTGCTGTGGCGCCTTGGAGGTCCATGACAATGCTAAACAATGTAGCATCCATCCCCAGAGGACCTTTCTTGAAACGACAAATCGAACACGGAAATCCATCATGGTCATCCAACATGTGTGCGATATCAATCGCCTCCGGTACTCGACCCGTAGACGAACCATATTCCAAAGACAATTGCTGGATTCGCTCCTGTCGGAAAGGCGAATCAGCCAACCAGCCAGAATCCGCAACGCCGTCGTGCGCCAACAGCAAGTGATTTGCGTGAAAAATCCAATTCCGCTCGTTCATATCAATGCACTGCATTGTTTTGGCTGTTGATTCCAGTCCGATGCCTTTCCCTTTGTCAGCGATCAGGATATGCGCTGACGCAGCTATTCCGACCTCTTCTAGCTGCCGAACAGCAGCATCGGCCGATGAGCTTTCCAATACCGATCGAAGAGCTAGATGCACCGGAAGACGTGAAGAGTCGCACCCTAGAACTTTGAGTGCATTCAGACAGACACCGACACCAAGCTCATTCAATCCTATCTTACCGATGATACCTGCTTCGGTGATCATCTTGATTCGAGGTCCACTGTCGCTGATGATATCCAAGATGAGAAGATTCTGCTTTTGTTCCTCCATCCACTGTGAAAACATTAGAGTTTGATCACATTCAGTCAAGCCACAAACACTTACATCCCAATTCTGAGCCAAGAAGGAGTGTCCATCGGTTTTGCAATACACGCTTGTACACCCGTCGCTGAACATCCCGAAGGCGATTTCGGTACGGATATTGAGAATCAAAATATCGATGAACGGCAATTGAGCGCCATCCGAAATACCTGCATTGTTTCCCACTTGTCAGCGAAATGATCGGCAAAGTACGACCATAAATTTACCTTGCATCTCACTATAGTACTTCGGCCACTTCTGTTCTATTTCCCTCTGCCAATCTTGCGCCATTGTGCGCACAGTGTGCCATTCCATTTTGCAATTATGGACGAACATTTTCTGATAAAATGAAATACTGCGGCCAATCATCTCCTTTGCACCCGCTCCATGTGCCCGTCCGACCTTTTGCGGGTAAGAATGTAATCATAGCGTGCACTAAAGCCAATGAGGGTAGACATCTAACTCACTTTATATGGTGTGTCAAAGCATTGAATCGTTTTCATGTTGAATTTACTTGAAACCACCTGAGCTTTGCTGGTGATGGACTACTAAATTAAAGATGCCGAAAATTGATTTTCCGGCATATTGCCCGAATTTATCTATTAGAAACAAGTGACGGCTCTTCCCAGGGCTATGAACCTCGGCAGCCCCTCTTGGCAACTACAACAGAGTTGAGACCGCAATTTTTATCCGATTTAGGAAGGCCGTTGCGTGTAGAACCCCGCAAGTCCCATCATGGGGGCCCAAGGCCCAACCAACAGTGGGCTATGGGCTATGATGGGCTATCGATGGGGGCCCAGAATAGCCTATTATAGCCCATTAAGGGGGTCTTAGCGCTAACAAACCGGTGCTTCATAATCGCTGTGTTCTGGCCTTCTACCGATTGCATAGAGTCCAAATTTAGACTACATACGTAATTACAATAGCTATATAAGTATATAATCCAACTAGTAGACTTCAGATATCGCGAACAGAATGTTGATATTCGTGTGTCAATTATATATTTTGAGTTGTACTGGGGTACTACCACCTTCTAAGTAAACCTCCGTAATTTAAAACATATCTAACACGTTTTCTCGCGTATATCAACGTGATATATGTTGGAAAATCCAGTACTCGGTACTGACACATCTCATTAAACTGATTCTTCATGATTCTACATCACATTTCTCGTCACATAGTGTATACTAGCCAGAAAGGAAGATAGGATCCCCAGGCAATTAAGAAGATTAGACAGTTTTCAATTCATTTTTTGTACTACAAAGTATCACTTTGTAAAAGATTTAAATCCCAGTTATTACATGCTGTTTAGTGTACTATTTTATAGTATATTATTCAACAATATATAAATGCAACTAACCATGCATTCCGTATCAATTAAAATATTGAAATATTACCCCGATATACAGGCTAGAAACGGGGTTTAAACATAAGGTAATTAATTTTTCAAAATGTTTGCGTTGCTTGGTGCTAATTGGCAAAGCACAACCCATTTGCGGGTTGGGCTAGGTTGGGCTATGGGCTTTGTGGGCTTTGCGGAGGTCTATGTTGTAGTTGCGTGTCCCGAGTGACAAGACGACCAACAACCAAAAAGCATCCATATTTATCGTAATTTAACTGAGGCAGATACAAAAAAAACATACAGTCAGAATTCGCTGGTGGTCACCCCACTACTAACTCACCGGCGTGTGGCTTAAGCTTAGTTAGTTGGGTGTCGCTTGTGTGAGAAATGGGCGAGCGCCGCTTTACGGTCGCGCGAATGATCATTTTAGTTAGAGTTATATGCATATATTTATTAATCGTACATAGTCGTAGCCGTCTACTGTGTCAAAAGTACCTTCTTTGTTATTGGCTGCTTACGGCAGTTGCGCTATCTCGGGACGTGATTGGAATGAATAATGCTAGAGTAATCTCATTCCCTCTTCACCCACCACGCAACGTCAATAGTTAGTTATTGATGGAAAAGATACACTATGCCACACAAGAAACCATGGTCTCTAATTATAGCCTAGAAAGGGCCATTCCTTAGGCTGACAGTTATCCTTTCCCACCGCTTCCACGACATTACACATTCCCATCTCCATCTCCGTCTCATCTACCATGTCTGTTCCACATGTTGCACCGTTGCATGACGCCTACGGGCAACCCAAACGGAGAAAGGTGCGCAAAGGCACCCACAGTTGCTGGGAATGCAAGCGCCGGAAGATGAAATGTAGATTCGATCCGCGCATTGCGAGTACCTCCTGCAACGGCTGTCGACGACGCGGCTCCCCCTGTATTAGCCAGGAATTTCCCGAGGACGTTGAAAACGTTCTCATGAGCATTGGAACCACTAGTGGTGATGGCACTTCCTTTGACGGCAGAACTCGCCCTGCCACACCCAGTGCAAGGACGGACCGTAGTCTCACACCCGTGTCAACGATCATGGAGACTTCACCACACAATAAATCTCCTGAGTTCCGCCTGTTCCCATTTTTCTTTCCAATATTCTATGATTGTTACTGACAGCTTTCCAGCAATATCTCCCGACTACTAGGAATGATACCTCACAACGTAGATATGAGAGGCTATCTCAGTTCCTATATGAATTACTTCCGTCGCGCGCAGATATTGAGAGTATCTGTGAATCCAGTGGCCACTCTTCCATTCTCTCCCACGAATTGTTGACGACGCCATACACCACCCTCTACCAGAACGGCCTTCAAACGCCCGAGAGTTTACTGATGACCCCGCAACCAAATATGCATCCTGTTTTGATCGTGAGGCACATGCTCCAGCTCGCCCTTTTCCTACAGCATCTTTCCCCAATCTTCACAAGGAGATCAAAGGCCTGTCAAAACCACCCCGCGTCCTCATGGAACGCTTGGCAGATGTTGCCCACTACCACGTCACAACAAACGAGGCACTAATTGGCAGCATCGAGAGCCTCGAGTGCATCATGCTCGAGAGCGTATACCAGGTGAACATTGGGAACCTTCGACGAAGTTGGGTCGCGGGGCGCAGAGCAATGAGTCTCGCCCAGTTAATGGGGTTTCATCGACCAGATAACCAGACCCCATACCAGGCGCTCGACCCTAAAACGAAATACGACACACGGATCATGTGGCTCCGTATCATCATGCTCGACCGCCAGCTCTGCCTCCTTCTTGGTCTGCCCGAAGGCTGCATCGACCATAGCATAGCCTCGGAGACACACATCGCTAATGACTGCCCCATGGGACGTCTCGAGCAGCTGCACTGTGTCGCCATGTCCCGAATTCTCGAACGGAACGCGTCAAAGCCGAGCGGGCGAGACCTCGCTACCACTCGCGCCATCGACCTCGAGGTGCAGAAAGCCGCGGGCAGCCTCCCGAGCAAGTGGTGGCTAGCCCCCAAACTTGACAGTGCCTCCACCGACCTGCAAGCCGTGTTCTGGAACATGCGGCGCTTTGTCCTGCAGATCTCTCACTACAATCTTCTCAACCACCTGCATTTGCCGTACATGCTGCGACCCTCGTCCGCGGAGAACAGAAACGAATATTCGCGGCTCACGTGCGTCACAGCGTCACGGGAGGTTCTCTCGCGATACAACTCGCTCCGCAGCTTCAACCGCATCGCCTACAGCTGTCGAACAGTCGACTTTCTCGCGCTCATGGCAGCCATGGCCCTCCTTCTGGCACACTTGGATGGCCATCGCGACGGGGCGGAAAATCTCCTCGCGAACCAGTATTTGAGCGATCGCGGGGTGATTGAACAGATGCAGGAACACATGAGCGAGATCAACCGGCTAAATTCGGACGAATTAAGCGCGCAAAGTGCTGATTTGCTAAAGGCGTTGTTGGCGATTGACCTGGAGAAAGGGCATGGGCGGGTGAGTGTGCGGGGGGCGGGCAGTGAGGATATCTTGCCGCAGGATGGGATGGGCTCGGAGGAAGAGAGTGCGGTGCGGGTGCATATTCCGTATTTTGGAATTATCCGGATTACACGCGAGAAACAGCAAACTGCGATGACGGGAACCAGCAGCAGCAGCAGCTCCGAAGCACAACTCCGCCTCTCCTCCTTGACTCACACCGGTGCTCCCATATCTACTAACAACACTCCCAACCCACTCTCCTTCCCCTTCGCCGACGTAGCTGCTCCCTTTGAATTTACCGCCCCTTTGGCGCACCAACAGCAGCCACAATGCCAGACCACGTTCTACGACCCCGGTGTTTCTCTAACACCATCCCTGCTAATGCAGGGCGTGCACCCCGGGCTCACTGCTGGCAGCGAGGATTGGGCGTTTCAGGGGGTGGATATGGCGTTTTTTGAGAGCGTAATGAGGAATGTTGGGGGCAATGTTTGACCCCTGCCTACGGTTGGGACGGTTGGATGCACTCCCGGCCAATCGATCAACAAAGACCAAGGAATCCAGTATATTGAACAATGTATAGATGTGATATCTTAATCCCATATTTCAGTCTAGGAATGAAAATGTTCGTCTTTTCCTCCACCTGGCCGAAACTCACTCGCCTGTAAGTTAGTCTGCCGTCTGCCATATCAGGTAGCAGCGCTAACCTAACCAACCACTAAGATTAATTCTGCTTCTCCCCATCGACAGTCTCCTCCACCTCCTTATTATCCTCCTCTGCAGCCTCCTCTGTCGCTAGCTTGTCCTTCTTCCCATGATCCGGCAGCCTCTTGAACGGAATAATCAGCGACAAGAAGACCGCAAACGCCGCACACGCCAGCGAAAAAGCAAACACATCCTTAATACCGACCATATACGCGGCGATCACTGCCTTAAGATCCTCACCGCTGAACACGTTCTGGAGTCCGGAGGCGCCTGTGCCCAGGACCAGGGTGGCATCGAGGTGAGCTGCACTGGAGAGAACTGTTTGGAGCATCCGGTTGGCAAAGAGGGATTGCGCGATGGCGACGAAGTAAGCGCCGCTGAGGGTTTGGCACACTGGTTGGTGGGGTTCGGTGTTAGTGCCCATATATACAAGCATACATGAGTAGTTACCCGAGTAGGTGCTTGGATGCGCATTACGTGAATTGTGTAAGGACTGGGAGGAAATACTTACTAACCATGATTCCAGTCGCACTGGAAACGTCTTCAAGCTTCGAGAAGCCCTGCACAGCCGTCATAGGGATCTGGTTGCAGATCCCAACGCCAAATCCAAAGAGCACCTCGGCACCGATGTACATAGCTTTAGAGGAGTCGACGTCCAGGATATAGATAAGGGCCACGCCGGCGGTCAAGATGAGGGCACCGATAAGTTCGTAGGGTTGTGTGTAACGGGTCTTTCCGATGACGCCGCCGCTGACGATGGCTCCAAGGGCGAAGAAGGCGAGGAACGGAAGGATGTTCACGCCGCTTATGATAGCTGATTGGCCGTGGATGGATTGGAAGTAGATAGGAAGGTAGAATAAGACTTGGTAGAGGGCGGCGTAGGAGCTAGAGTGGGTTAGTCATGGGTGGGAGATAGATAGATATATAGCGAGGAGGAACTTACATAAAGCAGAATAGGGCATTACTCCATGTCATACGCAGTTTTAGAATGCTGAAGGGAACCATGGCGCGGTGGCCCTGGAACCATTCAGTAACCCAGAAACCAATGCTGAGGACAATCCACATGACCAAGGTTGCGATGACCGAGCCATCATTCCACGCTTTGGTCTGTCCACCCCATTGCAATGCCAGCGTCAAGCAGAGGAGAGACACGAGTAGTAAGCTGAAGCCTGGGAGATCGAGGGCGAAGATGATCTCCTGCCACGTCGCAGGGACCTTCTTAATGTGCTTGGGGATACGCAAGAATAATAGTAACAGCACGATTATAGGCCCACCAACGGGCAGGTTAATCCAGAAACACCATCTCCAGGTAACTCCGCTCGTGAATGCGCCGCCAATCACCGGTCCCAGAATTGTTGAGACCATGAAGCATGCCATCCAGGTGCCGATGAGAAGCGGATGGTTTCTCGGCGGGGCGACGTAGTTAATGACGATGAGGGTACCTCCGAAGACACCGGAGGCTCCCCAACCTTGAATGGCACGTCCAATGATGACGGACACGCTATTTGGAGCTGCTGCAGCCACAATACTGCCCACCAAGAAGATACCGACGGCGCTGAGATAAACAGACTTCACGTTGAGGTACTTGAACAGCTTCCCCCATAGTGGCGAGGTCGAGGCCGCGAGGATGAACGTCGCGCATCCATACCAGCCCACATCGTTGAGTTTGTGGAAATCGTTGGTGATGCCGGGAACTGCGGTTGCGATGATACCAATCTCTAGGGAGACAAGGATGGTGCTCACGAAGATCGTGAACATGAGGAAGACGAGTCGGACGCCAGTGGCATAGTCGGGAGGGATCTCGTCAAGGTCTTTTTGCTCTTGGGGACCATCGCTAGTCGAGCCGGGCTGGCTTCTGTCCAGCTCGGCTTTGTTGCTGTTCTGGAGGTCTGAGCCGTCTGTCATTATTCAAGTTATTGTATATTCTGCACCACAGCAGCTTGTCAAAGCGTACGGAAGTTGCAACTTGTAGTCTAGAGCTCTCAGAGATGTATGTTGTAGCCACCTCGATGAGAAAATAACTCACGCTAGCAAGCCTACGATTGACACGGTCGAACGAGAGCGAAACATTTCGACCGCCGTGTTTTGTATGTAAATCTTGGCAATGAGCTAGTATTCGACCGTTTGATGACTGATGGGCCGGTCGAACCTTGGAATCAAACACTATATCGCCAAGATATGTCGCAGCATTCGTCCATCGTATGCCGCTATACGAGGGCTGAGAAAACGGTACCACTAGTTGATAATAACATTAATCATGTTCCTTATATGGTAGTATTTCTGCGTTATATTGTGGGCCAGCCATTGCAGGCCGTATTATAACAACGGGTACCAAAGATGATGAGTTCTAGGAGCGGGATGGTATGCTCTAGGTCGCTCAGATCTCCAACGGTGCAGAGGGAAATGAGGGCGTGCGCCGTTGTCTAGAGGGCTCCGTTCGTGTTGAGCGATTGGGGGGGCAAGAGAGACCCCTAAGGCTCACGATTATGAAGACAGAACTCATTTCATCGACACTTTGACGTTCATCGAGGATGACCGCATGAAATATACACTTAGAGAGATAGAGATCGATCGATGTCAAAGCCACAGGTGTCAACTTCAAAGACATTTTAGCGGCTATAAGCCTAGTCGAAGTCTCCCTCATTGGCTAAAAACCTAGCGATATCGTCATGACCACTAGTAGTGCAGCAGCCTCACGCTTCAAACCCGGTGACTGGATGACGCTTCTCTCGGAGGGCATGCATGCCACTAAGCTCCGCATCGATCTCTGTCTTGCCGTGCATATCCCTGACTCCATGTCTTTCGAAGAAGCTGCCGCCCTACCTATGGTCCATCCCACCGTCTACCACGCGCTTGTCAATGTTGCCAAACTGCGCCCCGGCCAATCGGTCGTCGTCCAGGCTGCCGTTGCTAGTGTAGGTCAAGCCACTGCGCTCACCTAGTGGTCCATGCGACCGTTGGTAGCGAATAAGCGCCCTCCTGATGGAGAAGTATAACGTGCTAGAAGCGCATATCTTCCACTCCTGCGACACTAGCTTTTGCAAACCTATCAAGCGGATTATGGTTGGCCACGACCTTGACTGTGTGCTCAACTCGAGGTTGAGCGAATTGCTTTGCCCGGGTCGGGCGATAGCGGGTGATTCTTCAACCCCGCACTGACCCTCTCATCTGCTACAGTAAGACATGAGTGGGACTCAGCCACGCATCTATCTGATAATGCATTTGTGAGACCTAGGATGAATCCTGGTGAACACAACCAGGAAATAAAAAACATACAACAGTGAGGATTCGCTGGTGGTCACCCACCCAACTACTAACTCACCGGCGTGTGGCTTAAGTACGGCTGAGCGGACGGGAAGCCCTGTTTTCCACACCCTATGGTCGTATGTGTTAGATCGTAACTCAGAAGCTAATATAATCACGGCGAGATGACGGTGTGAGTGCTATCGATAAAGTGAGAATGAACGCAGGAACCGGGTGACAATCCTCCGAGAAGACCGCACAGGCCAGGGAGGCGAGATAACGTGGACTCTTCAAGGTGGAACAACAATCCCCCGAAAGTCAATTGGAGAATTTATCACGGTAAACAAGTCAAAAGTTCAGTCGTATCTCATCTACTGTACTTACCTACCCCGTAAGCATAAGTTGCAATTGGGTTTCCCCAACCGCCGACAACGTAGAACGAGAAGTTGAAGTGAACCGTGGAGCCATTCCCCTACAAGAAACCCAGGGGTTCCAATCAACCATGAAGAACTTCATCGGAGCCACGCTGGTGACAGCTGCTGTTACAGCTACCGCGAGTAGAACCTCTGCGCCTGCGCCGGGCCCAACGGGATCTAGCTATGCATCTGGTTTTGACATGACCGCGAGCTGGGCCAATCTCAGCCCCTACAAGGACGCAGATAGCTTCGGCCTTCCTAGTGGTGTGCCGCAGGGGTGTGAACTGTCCCAGGTACATGTTCTACATCGCCATGCGCAGCGATTCCCCACGGATTACCCGTTGGACGGCGAGGGAATGACCGACTTCGCAGCCAAGTTGACCAATTACAGCAAGGCCCACCCAAACAAGACCGTGGCACTCGGTCCTTTGAAGTTCCTGAACAACTGGGACTATGTTATTGGCCAGGACATTCTTATGGAGAATGGTGCTGCTACTGAGGCTACATCCGGTGCCAACTTTTGGATCAAGTACGGAAGACTGTTGTACCGTGCTGGACGTGAGAATGCGGCTGCTTGGAGCTCATCTCTTAACGTCTACGCCAATGGCACAGACCGCCCGACTCCGGTGTTTCGCACTACCTCCCAGGCACGTATTTTGGAAAGCGCACGTTGGTGGCTCAGTGAGTTCAACTTTCATTTCAGTCATCAGTCCCGGGTAACCAGCTAAACTCTTCTACTAGGCGGCTTCTTTGGCAATAGTGGAGCCAACAGCTCTTACGACCAGTATAATCTCGTCGTGATTCCCGAGCAGGCTGATTTCAACAACACTCTTGCCTCCTATGAAACGTGCACGTTTGATTATTCCGAGGGGTGAGCAAAATTCCTCCAACAAGGAATGCCTAATGAAATGAAACCGGATTAACAAAAATCGCAGTGACAACGCTGCTGAGGTCTTCATTTCTCGATACACAAAGCATGCTCGCACCCGTCTGTCCGCTTACTTCCCTCGAGACTTCAACCTGACCAGCATGGATGTGCTCGCCATGCAGAACCTCTGTGTATACGAGTCCACCAGCCTCGGTGGCTCGTCGTTCTGCTCTCTGTTCACCGAACAAGAATGGAAGGACTTTGAATACAACGTCGACGTACAGTACTATGGAGACTACGCCTACGGCTCGCCCAGTGGTCGCGCCCAGGGCATCGGCTACGTTCTAGAGCTCGCCGCTCGCCTCGAGGAAAAGCTCATCAACTCAAGCGACACAAGCATCAACTACACTTACACCAATAACGAAGCCCAGTTTCCATTTGGCCAGCCCTTCTACATGGACATGTCTCACGATGATATCATCTTGTCTGTGATCAACGCCCTCGGGTTTGACTACTTCAAGTATGGTCCCAAGGGTTTGCCCGTTCACATTGACCATGCGCCGGAACGCAATTTCTCCCTCAGCCAGATGACACCCTTTGGTGCCCGATTCATCTCTGAAATCTGGACTTGCCCTCGTGACGTGTCATTCGATGATTTGGATCCTGTTCTCTACGCCAACCCTACCATCATGTCGACCACCAACACCACGAAGTACATTCGTTTTGTGCTCAACAATTCTCCTGTCCCACAAGATGGACTTATCGGTTGTGAGGATTCCAGCAATGGTTTCTGTCACCTCGATAAGTTCTTGAGTGGCATCCCCACTCTCAAGGACAAGGCGCAGTTCCAGAAGGCATGTTTCGGTAACTATACCACCGGTAGCCAGGTCGGGGATGGTGCTCCTGAGTCTTAGATCAAACTAAAAGGGCGCTTCCTACCTAATTCCATCCTTATACGCTCTTGTAAATATATCATTTAGGTCATAACCCGAGAGAATGCAGTATTTCCGATGGGCTTTCATTGTAAGATGAAGCTTTGTCTGCACCCCAAGGCCTGCCTACGTGCAGGACCTTCCTTGTGCATTTCACCTTTTGAAAACATCCAATTCCATTCGCAGCCGGTTAGTGATCTGATGAGCCATCAATAACTTCTTTCCAATATACCCCAAGGAGCCGTGTAGCCGAACTTTTCCCTAGATTCTTAGTGGATCCGAGCCCATTGTATCTACTGATTGTGTTTATTTCCATTGCCATACTTCCCGCCACTTCTTCCATCGCAGTACCAATGAGGTCGAGATCCGCATTCCAAATGAAGTGAACGTTCTCGTGGCACGAGCCTTCCCAATCTGCAGGAGAATTGACAGGGTCATCTCACGATATGGCACCAGCATCGCACTGTTGGTTGCTTATTGTCTCCTGTTCTTTGTCTTTTCCTGTTCTCACGGTTAATTCCAGTTCAAATCACTTACACTTATATCACTTACGAGGGTCCGTATTTTTTAAAAAAGAATTACAGGGGCCGGTTATGATGCTGTGCCGAGTATAACTTTTGTTTTCTTTTTTTTTAACTGTGCTTCTTATAACAGCGATTTTGCCTATCTTTGCCTATATATGGGGATGGAGTGTGTGAAACTGTATGAACGATACCTATATCAATAGTAAAATGATACCACGTCCACCTTCATCCAATTCATGACCAAGCTCTTTGCAAAGTATTGCTCACGTGAATACATTTATAGGCTCGTGTTTTGACCATCAGTGCAGTGCAAAGTAGCAGACTATAGCTGCCCGCTGTTTCTTTTCCTCACGTACTCGGCAAATTTGCTCAGGCATTCTGGTGCATCATCCATGCTCAACGAAATTTCGATAATGTTCAGCCCCTTGCCCTCCTGAATATCGGGAAGTTGTAGGATACCCTGTAAATCTCCCCAGCTTTGAGCAGACTTGGTCCGCACAGGGTATGAAGCGTCATTATCGAGTGCCCCAAAATAATTCGGTGCTTGAAGATTCCTCCATGGTTGAATATTATTGTAGCTTTCTGAGAACCCGTGGATAAGTCGTTCAATTGTATAGCCGTTGTTGTTCAAAACAAATATTATCACATCAAGCTTGTTTCTGATAATGTCGCTAATGGCCTGCGCGGTCATCTGAAGGCCCCCATCACCTTCAAACAAGATGGTTCGACCTGGGGGCCTTGTGCCATCGCTAACCATTTCCCTTTGGGCTAGGGCCGCACCTTGACAGGCACCAAGCATATATCCGATAGATAACCAAATTGAAGAGTTAACCAACATAGTTCCCTCCGGAAGGTCGAAGCCTAGACCGCCATAGGATGCAGTACCAGCCTCAGTCATCACAATGTCTCCTGGTTGGAGGAACCGAGACATGCGAAGCCAAAGGGAATATTGGTCTATCGCTTTGTTATCAAGAGCTTTGGGGAGCCTTTTCAGAATCTCGCGAGGGAGAAATGGGTCTCCGGGATACGGCTCTGAAACAGGAATCTTCAGGCCGTTCAGGCAGCGTAACAATTTCGCAAGTATGGTATTGATGGAGACGAGGCGCACATTGACAGGTACTGACCCTGTTTTGCCTAGGAATATCGAGTATTTGTCGAATGTCACCGTAGCTGCAGGCGGTGGCTGAGCTGTGAATCCGAATGTGTTGATGTCAGACCCAAGCACCCCAAAATGGAGAACCAGATCACACCCTTGAACCCACGACTGATGTATTGTCCCACCAGCCGATCCAAGGTACACTCCATGGTAGTTGGGTACATTTTCGTCAATGATGCTCTTGCCAAATGGGGTTGCAAGGGTAGGGAATCCCGTAAGCTTGACTAGAGCGTTTATATCATCTTTGACACCGAATCGCGCAGTAATTCCATCGACAAGGATTAAAGGCTGCTTGCAGTGTTGGATGCGAGAAACAAGAGAGTTAACGATTTTGTCTTCGAAAGCTTCGTCGTAATCAGGGATTGAAAAATCAATTGGAAATGTTGGCACCGGAACTTTGGCCCGCACCATATCCGTAGGCAATTCGATGTATACCGGGCGGCTTTGTAGGAGACATTCCTTCAAAGTGGCATCGATCAACTCAGGAGCAGTCCAGGCATCAACAAGATTGGCTTGCGCACATGTGACACTTTTATACATATCCGCAAAGACCCTGAAGTTTCCATCGCCCAAACTATGGTGCAAACAGGCGCCTGATGCTTGGTAATCTCGGTGTGGCGTACCAACAATATGCACTACCGGGGCCCTTTCAGAATAAGCCGCGCCAATTGCGTTGATTGCCGAAAGCTCTCCAACACCAAAGGAGGTGATCAAGGCGCCGATGCCTTTGATTCGGGCGTACCCATCCGCAGCGTAGCCGGCACATAGCTCATTAGCATTACCAACCCAGTGAAGGCCTGAGGGCTCGAGATAGTCAAGGGCAGTAAGGTTATAGTCACCAGGAACACCATGAATGGAGCCGACGCCCAGTTGAGCAAGCCTTTGAAACAAGTACTCCCCTAAATCCATTTTGGGCGCTGCGAAGTATTTCGTGTCAGGCTGAAGCGTGATTTGAACGGTGTTTGTTTGAACTTACTCAAAGAAGATACGGGCACCGTTCACAAAATATTCAAAGTATATCGTAATATACAACAAAATGTACATCACAATGAAGCTTGATAATATTGTGGGAAGAGACACGGTTTATTATATATATTATAAGGAGTGTATAAGTACATAGCAAGCCAATTACGTAGATTGCATACAGACGATTTTGTGAAGCGTTCACAATACTCCGATAATCCCCGATTGGTCCGCTGTGAGGGCGCGTGATATGTACAGGCCACAAAGTGTACAGCCAAGGATCTTGATCCTACAAGTTATTACTGCCGGTAATGAATTACTCAGGTACTATTCGCCCCCATTCTATAGCTCAGGACAGACTCGTGTACCGGGGCAACAGGGCCCCGGGGGTGAACTCTACAATTATATAGACCCTTGAAAAGAAAAACAAGAGGATAGGTGACAAGTGGTATATCAACATTTAATATCGACGTAATAGGCATATACATATGTGAATTCAAGAAGGGGAGGAAAATATACATAAGTATTTATGAATATGACCGAACTCCTGCGTAGCACACTTTGTCGCCCGTAGGAGGGCAGGGCCCAAATGTTTTTTTGACAAGATTACTCTCAATTCAGCTAGATTCGATGACGAAAGTGACCAACACATTTCTTCGTGACCGCTAGCTGCTGGCTGCTGACTTGTTATTGATCGTAATTTGTTAGCATGAACTTTCCATAAGTCTTCCAGGGTTCCGAGTAGCCGACAACCTCAGCAGGCGTATAGCATACATGGGCATCTTTTTGTAGATCAATATGTATAAGGATAATCGTGGCATTTGTCATAAAGGAGATAGACGACATGATGTTTGTATGTATCTCCTTCCGGGGAGAGAAAAGAAGGAAAACGAGGAAAACTTAAAAACAAAAAGAACGCTCTAGATGGTCTGGTAAAAAGCCAAAACGAGTGGTATGTTGCTTTGCTCTGTGGGCAGCTATCTATCGGGTAATCTCGCCATCGTGATGGTTGCATCTACCAGACGAAAGGGCACAAAGAAAGAAAGAGAGTTGTATTACAAACGAGGTTGGGCTAACCGGCGTTGTAGCCTGATCTGCCAGGCAACCACCTTATCTCAATGGTGATCAAAGATTTGACTGTGGTCCTTCGAGATACATCTCCGGCGGTTTCAAGGCTTGGAGAGCATTCCCACCCATATAGTCCTTCACCACACTTTCTCGAAAGCCACCATTGGTCCCCACCAGGTAATTGGTGCGTTTATCAACGCACTCCTTCCACCCCAACTGCGGAAAGTTTGTTCCGAGCATCACTTTGATCTTGCCAGTGGTGTTAGCAAATGTCATAAACTCCGGAGCGTACTTCTTCGGAGTCTCGGCGGCCCAAGGATATACGATGTGGCCCATGATAATCTTCAAGTCTGAAATTTCAAAGCAATAGTATCCATGTAAGGATATATATTGGCTAGAGATAATATCTACCAGGTAGATAAAGGATACGATGTTTGGCGCATTATATCGGATACGCCATCTTCATGGTGACCGTCCGAGGGAACTGGCCAGGTCAGATGCCTGAGACTATATCCCTGCATTTGACAGATCAACGAGAAGCTTCATTGTAACTTCAGACAGCAAGTCCTCTTACACTAGTTACCTAAACGCTTAAGAGGTTGCTTAGTTATAAAGTTTTACTTTGCAACGCGCGCTCTATGTTTGTCATCAATCATCCTCAAAGAAGGTAAGAAATTCGAGAATAATATTTGACAGCAATGAGGTATACCTCTCCTCACAGAAAAGGCTGCCGTCTGTTTCCCCTTTTCGTATCTAGAAAATGGCAAGATGCGAGTCCTTCTTCATGACCATCCGGCTGTGGAAGAAAATGAACAGCCAGCCATTTCCACTCACATCGATATTCTTCATCGGCACTCACAAAGGAGAAGTTGAACTTTTGGTATGTGTTTGCAATCTCGCTCGCTAGTGGGAGATATTTCAAATACCAGGCACAAAGTGAGTTTGGGGACAACCTACCCGAAAGGGAGATATAGGCCCAGTTTCTTTAGCAATCGTTGTCCGGAATTTTTGACCTCGGTAAGCCCTAATATCAAGATCATTACTAATTTGCCAACAAGAAGAAGTATAAATTCCATATGTAGATACCGGAGTCAAATCGATTATCTCAATTTCGCCCATCATACTATTACCCAATACGGTAGGAGTCGGCGATGCTGGGTTGCATACTCCAAAGAACAACAGACCTATTTAACATAAATATGGACAAGTCTCCCTGTAATATCTATCATTCTCTTTGTTAATTGCAAAAACGATAATTACTAGAAACACACGTCAATACATCGCAACTTTGCACTCTTCTCATTCTTTCCATTTCCACTTTCTCAAAATGGAGTCGCTCAACATTGCAGTCGTGGGTCTTGGAAGAATGGTGAGTTATACTGCTGTATTATTTCGAACCCGCAAACCTCACGTCGCTGATTTTTTTCTTAGGGTAAACGCCACGTCCATACCTTGCTCTACCGTGTCCCTCGTGCTCGTGTTGTAGCTGTGTGTACCACCGACAGCAACGAGATCCAGTGGGCTAAGGACAATGAGGAATACACGGAATTTGGTATCACTGTCTATGATGACTACGACAAAATGCTAGCTCATCCGAGGCTCCAAGCTGTCTGGATCTCCACCAGCACTGACGTTCATGCGAGTCAGTCGCTGGCAGCTATTTCTAAGAATATCCATACACTGTGCGAAAAACCACTTAGCACAAACATTGCGGAGGTATTTTACGCTTTCCTATTTGGCTGAAGGGGCATTGAATGCTAATCTGGCCCTTATGGTTCCTACTAGGCGCAATCTGTCGTTGATGCCGCAAAGCAAAACCCATCGGTCAAGGTAATGGCAGGATTCTCTCGCAGGTTTGATGCCTCCTATCGCGATGCAGGAAACAAAATCTTCCAACTTCAATCCATTGGTGAACCTTTTATGGTGCGATCCAACACTTGTGATCTACGCGATGAAACCGGATTTTTTGTTCGGTATGCAGCTCGAAACGGAGGCATTTTTGTTGACTGCGCGATTCACGACATTGACTTGTCACTCTGGTATCTCAATGACCCTGTTCCCAAGGCTTGCTGGGCTGTCGGTACTCTACAGCATCATCCAGAGCTGAAAGATCTTTCGGATGTGGATAACGCTGTAGGCGTTGTTGAATTCTGGGGGGGCAAGATCGCGTATTTCTATTGCTCACGCACCCAGGTGCATGGGCATGATGTATGTACTGAGATCATCGGGACCAACGGAAAATTGATGGTCAATGTTGTTCCGCAGCAAAACAATGTTGTCCTTGCCGACGAGCTTGGCATGAGACATGAGGTTCAACCGGAGTATTGGCAACGATTTGAGGACGCATTTGCATTGGAGGCCAATGAGTTCGTCGAAGCCATTGTCAAAAACAAGGAGCTAACTCTCAAACTTGAAACTGGAATTACTGTTATGAAGATTGGACAGGCCCTCCAGCAAGCCCTGTTGACTGGGGAAGTCACAAGATTCAATGAGAAAGGGGAAATATTGAACTAGGATATTCGACTGTATCTACAGATGCGATAAGTTACAATGAACAATGAAGTAATAATTGTCATACGGTCTGTCCGATTTGTTTCTCGACTGATTTATGAAAGTAAATCTAAAAATAGATATGGAAGACAAGATTTTGCTAGCACTGTCTATTATTTTCCAATTCTATATGACAACTCAACGAATTAGGCAACGTTCAAGTGTATTAGTATTGAAATCTTTGAAGATACACGTATCACTTGTTTGGTTGAGCATTGCTTGAGTGTTTACATAAAAAAATACGTGTTAGTATAGATTGGAATTATATATATCTTCCTTACGAAGCTACAACCTGTGGCTACGAACCGGACACACGCGTTTTTCTCACGATTCAACGCGAATACATTAGATACATAAGCTCAATATACCCTAAATATCATAAAATATAGGAATCTAGTGTAAGAGGATGTTTAGAATCGGATTATAATGACTTCCAAAACGGTTCTTAGTGACCACGTGACTGTCCATTTTGGGGGGTTCAACTGACGTCCCGCCTGAGAGTTCAGGCATTCGGGGTTTCAAACACGAGGTTCAAGGTGGGTGATCTCGAACAGAATCAACAAATATAGGTTTTTGTAGCTCACGTATGATATCGATTCTTTCTGCAAGATGAGTGTGTCCCAAATTCCGACATGTGCTAATGTGGACACAAACACTCCACCGGCGGGGGTGGCTACCTAATACGGCGATTTCAATGTGGGGTAATCAAGTCTAACTGCATAAGGAACGTGGCGCTGCCATATCCCCTAACAGTTCGAACCTCCCATTTATTGGAATGTTCGCCGTAAGCCTTTCGTGTGGCCTAACTGATTTCATGAGACATGTCACCGCGTAGTTTATTGGCGAAAAGACCTTGTTCGAGTTGCCGTGGTAATAACCCTTGTGATTATGGTCCTGAAGCGCGCTAATATGTGCCACAGATAGGCATCAGAAATGTGGGATACCCAGATGGAAAAAGCTCACAGGATTTGTTCTATCTATGTGCGCTAACTTTCATCCCTGCAGGCGATCGGAGAGAACCAATTTGCATGAAATGCGAGACCAAGGGTCTCGATTGTAGACCTGTGCAACGAAACCCAGTCTTCCGACATGGCTCCACAGCCAATTTAGATGCAAACTTTGGGGAAGATCAAACATGGGTGAATAGCAGGCCTCGAAGTTGGAGACAACCGACCCGTTCAGCTCGATTGTCTCGATCTCGGTCTAGCCCGACCGTGTTAGACGAAGATCTCAACGAGAGCTCAATCACATTGCGTGGCCAATCGAATGGACCTCAAAGACAAGCTGGCGGTTACTCGATTACGGATATCTTTGGATCTGTTGAGCTAAATGAAAACCTTCAGAATGAGTCCTCGAATGTGGGCTCATTTACCATAGAAAGTGCAAGGCCGGTGGTGTGTTCTCCTGGCTCACCAAGCAATGTCTCGAATTCTTCGATATCATCAAGTCTGGACAATGGAATAGAGAGGAACCAGCTTCCTCGGGCGAAAAGTGATAATCTTGAGCTGGGTTCCCATACAGCCACGGTGAGATCTGTCGACACATCATATTCTGTCAATCAAGGTTCAACAAAGGGCTCTAGCAATGTTCAAGAAGCTTGCTTACTACGGTATTTCATTGAGGAGCTTTCTCCATGGGTAAGTCATATCATATTTCCTAGGGACTATTTGACAATGACTTTTCATAGTTTGATCATTGCGATGAGCGACGCCACTTTCAACTAGTGGTGCCTCGCCGAGCGAAGCACTGCCTCGCCCTGCGAAATGCGGTATTCGCCGTATCATCCCGGCATCTTTGTCGTTTGCCGCAATACACAACATCACGAGGAAGTGTTTATCATGGCCAGGCTTTACCTGGTTTAACAAAGTCGACATCGGTTGAGTACATGTTGAAATGTATTCCGGAATTGATCCAATTTCCCGAAATCCAAGATCCAACACATCAGGAAAATATTATGGCAGCCACCGTGATTCTACGACAATATGAGGAGATGGAAGAGGAGATGGAAGAGGGGATGGAGGACGGGGGGATTGAGAACCATGTCTATGAGCGAGTCAACTTCCTGGCCATCACCCAAACAATCATTGACACCATGGTTTCAACCCCACTTGATCATTCTCTCGCAACTGCGGCCTACTGGATCGCCATCCGACAGGAGGTATACTATGCTTTGACAAGGCAACGGGCACCGCAGGTTCGCCTTGACCTGGAGCGCTGTCAAAACGCTTCTGTTGCCAATACAATGATTGTATTTGCTAGTGAGGTTGCCAAGTGGCGCTGGGGGTTGAAGCAATCCCAGAAATGGAGTAAGCTTTGCCATGAATGACTAAAGGTGCCGGTATCAACCGATTAACATTCTTTGTCGCACCAGAGCAGCTCAAGGCAAAATACCAGCAGCTTCATCGTAACTATCTGCATGAATTAGTACCAATTCTGGAGGAAGATGCCGATCGAACGAGAGGGAACATGTTTCCTAGTATATGGTACTCTTTTGATGCCCAGGTGACGGCGATCCAACATTTAAAATTGGCTGAAATGATATTAATTGCTGAAAGCCCCTATCTCGAGTAAGTGCAGCTGGACAGCTGGAATATCTCGCACTGGTGCATACTTGTCGTATCTAACATGCGATCAATATCTAGGAACGCAAGGGGTGCATTGCATCGTAAAACGGAAGCACAAGTTCGGAATATTGTGCTATGTCTTTGCGGTATAGCATTAAACCATCCCCGATGTCAGCCTGCACTAGTCAATGCTGTCATAGCAATTACCCTGTACGGCGAATATTTCACCCTTCAAGAGGAGCGCGATGCCCTTCTTGGTATCATCAACCAAACCATGGAAATACATGCCTGGCCGATGAAAAAAGCCCACCAGTCTCTCAAACGCCAATGGGACGTGTTAGATAATGTTGAACTTTAAGCTAATATTGAGAGTTTAGTTATATCAGTCAAAGCGTTGCCAAAAGCTCCGGTAGGTTCTCATGAAATTATCATGGAGCATTGACTCTGAGAGTCGTGCGGTTGCGCGACTTAGAAGCGGCAATCACCCGTTTCCCCATAGCTAAGCTGAAATAATTACTGAAGCTGGTATTCGGCCTGTAGCTCAAAGAAGGATGAGTGGACGGGAAGCCTTGTTTCCTCCGCCCTATTGGTGTATTAGGTTATGTGCAGGATGAAATGATAAAATGTAGGTTATAGGGTGATTGGGTGAGAATTAAGTCGCGCGAGCGCCACACTGGGGAAATCACTTTTAAATTTGTATTAAAACATATATAGTTTCATATCATTTTTCTAATTTTCTAGATCATAACTTGAGCAGCACAACCTGTTTGTCTGCGATACACCCAGGCCTCACACTCCAGAATCCTCCATCTTCTATGTTTTGCTTGGACTAATCTGGGCCACTGAGTTCTATTGACTTGACAAGCTAGGTTCCTCAATGGAGATGTCAGGTTGAGGTTTCGGCTTCACACTCGTCCAGCGGATACCAAGTGAAAGGAGGAATGCAACGGTGGCAACACTGGTGCCGAGGTAGAACGTCGTGGTGATTGCGTGGTTGTATGAATCTAAAACGCCTGGAAGTTGTGCTGCAGAAACCACGCTCCTTGCTTCCGCAGAGCCTGCACTAATAACTTTCTTGACCTCTTCGCTATCAAATCCCCAACTGGCCAGTCGCGAGTTAAGTTTGTTATCAAAGATAGCCTCCGCGATGGCGAGGTTCACGGAAGCACCAAAAAATTGGAAGCATTGCAGTAACGAGGTACCAACAGGAATATCTTCGGGTTTGAGGACTGTTTGTGTTGCAACATAGGGCATTGAGAGGGTCATTCCCACACCAAGACCATGGAGGACTTGGAATGGAATCCAGTGCTCGTGGGGAGTGGTTAGGGAAAATGTAGAAAAGAGTCCCGTTGCTATGCTCATCAAGCCCGTCCCAAGGAGCATATATGGATTTGGGTATCCAAGATACTTGAGTGAGGCACCTGTCAGGGTTGCAGAAAGGACATCCGACAGCGCGAGAGGGAGGTACATAAGTCCGGACTTAGTTGGTGAGGCGCCTTTAATGACTTGGAACCATTCGGGAAGGTAGTAGATCGAGATGTAGACAGCGCCCATGGCGAAGAACTCGCTGACGCAGGAAAATAACATTGTGCGTTCACTGATCAGACGCGGTGGGATCATAGCATCGTCACCCCGTCGGATTTGCCAGAGAGCAAACACAACACCTAGACCCGCGCCTCCAATGAAGAGACCAATGATAGTAGCACTCTTCCAAGCGTGTTCTGTGCCTCCCCATTGAAGCGCTAAAAGGATCATGATTATGGCGGGAGCGAAAAGAACAGCGCCTAGCAAATCTAAGTTTTGCAGTCTGCTAAGAACGGGTGGACTCTTGATCGAGTCACTTGTAGGCGGATTGAAGAAGAAGAGCAGCGAGAGAATGGTGACAGCACCGATTGGAAGATTGATCCAGAAACACCAGCGCCACGTCGCATGCTCTGTGAATGCACCACCTAGTATGGGTCCGATGATGGTGGCAATGCCAAATGTTGACTGAAGAATTCCAATATAGAAGGGTCGCTTGACGAGCGGAATGGAAACCGCAACAAGACAGAAGGCTCCTGTGAAGCATCCCGCTGCCCCACTTCCGGCTATGGCACGCCCGACGATGAGCATAGGGCTGTTGATAGCAAGGGCGCAGAGCAATGACCCAAGCTCGAAGACGGCAAGACTTCCGAGGAACATAACCTGATACTGTTAGTGGGCTTTTCATTTCTGACTGGAAATTTTGGATGATGATACCTTCATAGGGAAGCTTCCAAACAGTTTGCCTGCGATTGGCTGCAATGCGCACATCGAAAAGGAGTATGCACTTCCATACCAGCCAATATCACCGGTACTATTAAATTCTGACGTGATCCGAGGAATACCTGTGGCAATGATGGACGAGTCTAGTGACATGAGAAAAATAGAAAGAGCAAGTCCAGTGATAACCAGGACCAGTGTAACTCCAGTCAGCTCGTAGTCACTCGCAACATCTGTTCGAGAAGAGTCGCTGTCGCCCGCCGACAGGCTGTTGGCCTCGGGGGCGCTTAGGTCCCCAATGGGATGTTTCTCGGCCATTTTCTATGGCAGTTGAGATGATGAGGTGGTTCGAGTTCGAAGAGATGAACAGATGGAGACAACAACCTTACATACCAATATTGGAAGTGAACTATAATTGATAGATCCATGGATACTCCCCTTCCCCGGCCGCGCCTATACGTTTTCGGATTAGCGTAAGTGAATCAACATGACTCATGATGGCTGAAGGGGCATCATTGGTCCGCGGCATCGACCCGCCGCAATTGCAGTTCCTATAAGCCTTCCTTATTGGCTCCTTGTACATCAAAAATCAAGCTCAACTCCACATTGTTAAATCTATCAATGATTAGTCACAATTAATCACTCTATATCTATCCCAAGGTCTCGACCACTTTCATTTGGTTTGCTGGAAACGCTCTGATCATCGAGGGTTACAACACCACTTCCGCGCTTACATTGTTTGCCACTGTCAAGTAACCCCTTTATCTTAAACCCTAGGATCAGGGTTCGAATAACTCTCACACAAATTCTCCTAGATAGATCCAAAAGCGCTCTGCATATCTAAGTCACACGCTGAATAAGAGATAGATTTGAACACAGCAATCCTCATTTTCTTCTGACAGGCTCTTGACGTTCTTCTGCCACACTGGCAATGCAAGGTGTGGTGATATAATTCTCTTCCTGGCATGTAAAGAATTAGCCCACGCGAGGAGTTGTTTGTCCTTGATTCTCAACTAACCCGTCTGTTCTGATATCCACCATGATTGTCCCGCTTGCTGCACTTCATTGTCATGGACCCCGCTATAGGTTTCAATATCCCTTTCGGTTGAAATATGATAGTTCGTGATTCATTTCTGGTTCGTAATGTCCAAGGGTTGATTATTTTCGATGTCCATTTTTGCTCTTCTAAATAGTTAGAGTAAGATCACAACAGTGTAGCAGAGGCTAGTGCTTACCTCGAAAAATCATCAATTCTGGGAGTTCTCTCTCCTCGTAGAAGATGAAAGTACCTAATTCTGACCTCTCGCATATATTTTTGTTGCTCTGGGCTCGGCGCCAATAGCATATCGGTGGCAGGGTTGACGACAGTAAATATGCCCGCCGCGAGTGCGACGGATGTGAGGGAACCCACGAGGACGATAACGATGATAGCAAAATTGCTGACCATTGTGCATATATTGAAATTCTTGGAAGGACGGGTGACTTCAGGGCTTATCTAAGTGGTTCGAATGTGTCTTAAGTATTCGCGAAAAATTGTTACTCAAGAATTAAGCAATGTGGAGCGTTTCTTTTTGTCGCTTTTTTTCTTGTTGAAACGATGGTCGTTCTGAGAAGATAATACGGATGCCTAAAACTTCCAATGAGGCTTTTCAAGGTTGTTATGCAAGTCCGAATCACCCTAGACCTCTAGGAAAAGTGGATGCTAAGTGATTATATCCGCATTGCAATTGTCGTATCCGCATGAGGAATCAACTATGCCACTAACGTACAACCATCTTGCCCGGCTGTATCGGATTTCTCTATTTTTAATGATGGGTTCGATCTACTTTGATTCCGCCAAACAGATAATTATAAAAAGATCCTGCTCTCTCCCAATTATAAGCGCCCACGGAGTATTATCTTTCGTACTCGGGTGAAAGTGGGCCGTCGTTTCCGTATTCGGAGTTTCAGAGCCAAGTTCCGCTGCTGAAGCATATAACGAAATGCTTGTAAAGACAAGCTCTGAAGCTCCGTAATTAGCATTTTATTATGGTTGCCTAATAAGGCAGATTTATTTGGACATATGCATTACCCCCATTGTTTGACCCTGGCCCATAAATAAACTACTTTATACTGTGCTTATGATTTGGTGATCTTTTTCCCAGCATACAAATAAGCGTTCAATTTCTAGACCTACCACTTGATCTATTCAACCTATTTCCTGTCATCTCATTCTCTAAGTCACTCGTTACTTTTTTTTATCGAATCATCGCAGCTCCGACCTTCTCATTCGCGATGTCTGGTTACCTACTTTACAACTACACACCCTCGCTAGCATCCGCAATTATTTGCATGTTTCTTTTTATCGGCCTAACTTTCGGGCACATCTTTTTTGTTTGGAAACACAAGACAATTTTCTTCATAACTTTCATTATTGGCGGGTTGTTTGAAGCCATTGGATACGGAGCACGAGCAGCCAACGCCCATGAGGCCCCAAATTACTCGACAATCCCATACGCCTTGCAGAGTTTGTTTGTTCTACTCGCTCCTTCTCTGTTTGCGGCATCAATCTACATGATTCTTGGTCGTATCATACGTTTGGTGGATGGTGATTCAAGATCTCTCATTCGCGCAACGAGATTGACGAAGATCTTTGTGCTTGGCGATGTGCTGTCATTCTTTATCCAGAGTGGAGGTAAGAAGTGATATTTCCTGTGCTCACTATGGATTACCTATTAACTTCCATAAACAGGAGGTGGAATTATGTCTAGTGCCAAAACAGCTAGCAGCATGAAGCTCGGCGAACATGTCATCATCGTCGGCTTGATCGTCCAAATCATCTTCTTTGGCTTCTTCGTTGTTGTCTCGGTCGTCTTTCATAAGCGCATGGCGAACAATCCGACTTCCGCAGCAATGGCTACCTCGGTGGACTGGCACCGGTACATGCTCGTCCTTTATGTTGCAAGCGGTTTGATTATGACCCGTTGTCTCTACCGAGTGATCGAGTATATTCAAGGATCGACTGGCCTTTTCCAAAGTCATGAGTACTTTGCATACGTCTTTGACGCTGCCCTCATGCTGTTGGTCACGATCATTTTCCTTGTTTATCACCCCAGTCAAATTATCTCTGGAGGACATCGCAAATTTGATAATATGGAGCTCATGCGTGGAGAGGGGGCATAGCGGTATTTGGGACACAGGAATCATAAAAATAGCCTACTGTAAACGTATTGTCGTGTTTCACATTCTACCACCCTCTAACTTCACCAAATCTCCGATCAGCCCTTTTTCTCGTTCGTAGCAATATACATACTAATAGTCCTTTCTTCGTTCGGCTTCCGTCACCGTTCCTTTCTCTCCAGATGTCTCCAAAGCTCCTTCCAAGATAAAAGGAGAGAGATGAGGCCACAAGGGGGAGAGTGCAGTAAAATTGACAACCGAGGAGACTTCGCACAGATAGCAGTTAAAACACAAGGAATCTACTTGCTTTAGTTTAGTTGTTATCTAGGGTACTCTATCTAGGGTACTCCCTAATAGTCAGCCATGGATATTATAACTTGAGGTACGATGTAACTTGAATGGTATAATAAACACGTGAAGGAAAATCTTATCGCATATCTATATCTATCTAAATAAACCCCCGAACCTTTTCAAAGGAGACTCTCGGAATAGAAAAAGAGATATTAAAGCAAAAAAATTATAGCCAGTGGTAGTTCCAAACATTCGTTGAATCGTAAACTTGTCACCCACTAGACCCGCTCCTTCGACCGATCAACAGAGCTCTCGGCTGGACTAGAGTTGGCAGTTGCGTCACTCTGCAAAACAACAGAGGGATGGAAGACGTTCATGATCACCATAACCAAGAACATCATGGCAGCATCAAAAGCGTACAAGAAAACCTCGTGGCTGATAACGTAACCATTGTTTCCTTGAGCGAATTCGATAAGACGATAGGCGGATCGAACCACAATCAACAGACTAACAGCGTAGCATGCAAAGAGAAGACCGGGCCAGTTTCTGGGCAGGATAGATCTTTGGAGATGCTTTGTTCGCTCCGACTGTTCCGTGGGTGACTGGAGAATTCTCATGTGGAAGAGACCGGATGATATCACAAAGGAACCGAAGAAAAGAAGTTGGACACAGAGACCCGCGATGATAACCCACTGGCCGATGGATAAGCTCTTTTCAGACCCACTGCTCATTATACCGCCACCTAAGAGATTATTGAGTCAGCTTCAAAGTTTCAGAAGTATTGAAGATGCCCGCTATCAATTGCTTACCTGCGCCCTGGAGGATGAAAGAGAGAACATCTCCACCCACAAAAATCTTAGTCATAAGACGGACAGGCACATAGCTCAGATGTTCGCCGCGGAGGAAGGTGATAATTCTTCCGAGAACCATGTAAATGGAGGCCGCGTAAAGAATTGGTGCCAGCAAAATCAAGAGTTGCTGAAGTGCGTAGAGGATTACTGATGTTTTGTTGAAATGAGCGGCAGCACGAGCGATATAGCCTATTATTTGGACTGAAATGGATACATGTATTAGCCAGTGAAATGATTCTGATAAAGACGGCATAGACTCACATATTCCTCCAACAATGAATGGATTGAAGTATTTCGCATGACTTCTTATCCGTTGATAAAGGTGGAAAGCAGTCGACAGAACGAAAAGCGCAGCAAAGATTACTGCACCCACCAGACTAGGTGTATAATTGTAAAGGACGTAGGTAGAGGTGGCCATTTTTGCGAAAGGATTAGTAGTAAAAAGACCAAATGTATGTTTGGTAACTATCCAGGTACTCAAGGATTTGATCTTTTGGATAGGCATGAGTTGGGTAGACGTGACATATATAGATTATTTTCAGCCATTAAGGTTTCTAGTATATTATCAGGCAGCATAGATTCCAAGGTTCCAATATTTGATGAAATGTGGCAATGCTAGTAAAAGCTTTCCAGTCCTTTACTGGAAGGCGACTATCTTCAAAATCTAAAGTTATCTGCACTGAACTCAGTACATCTAGTGGAAGGATCGCGCGTAATATCTCGATCAGGGTACGAAGACGAATACGAACATTAAGGCCCCACCATAACCTCAACCGGATGTGGGTCTCGGATTCGGGACTCGTATTCGGTGCGATACTATGTTTTAAAATCCCTATGCAACCCCCTAAAAATAATATGATAGTGGATGCGTTTTTGAAGGATTACCAAAGATTAAAACCTTAATGGTGGGTTTAGGGGGAAGGAAAGAAAAAAAAGCTGCCTAAGGGAAGATCCCCCACTGGGGCATCTTTATAATGCGAAGCTGTTTCCGTTGCTGATTTTCTCAGCCCAAAATTCAACAAAATGTCCTCCAAACATGAGATGAGACAATTGGAAGAGGATTTACTTGAGAACAACAACAGGAACGAATATGAGATTGCTGACGAGCTACCGCCGCCTACCTACAACTCTCTCTTCTCCGACGACCTACTACTTCCACCGCCAACTACCAGGGACGAAAGGCGTGAATCGGTCCTGATCGAAGGTATTCAATATGAAAAAGAAGTACATATTTTAAGATCTCTGTGCTAAATAACTCAATTTACATAGATATCGGTCGCTTTAGCATAGATTTAAGTGCCGGAAATCGCACGTCTACGCTGATCGAACAATTTTTATTACCCGCGCAACGGCCACAGATTATACAAATTCAAGCCGACAGTTCCAGTTCAGATTCACTTGTCAAACCCACCGATGATGTGAAGAGCTTAGTTGGAACTCATGAAATCCCACTGGAAATTCTTCTGATGCTTGTAGGAAGCAGAGGTAAGAACCGAACATCGCTAAGGGCACTCATGCACCGCTAATACAGGGTCAATACATAGAGGAGATCAAATCTGTTATACTGGTCGGCCAGGAACTTCATCAACATGGCCACCGAGTTCGAGTCGCTACACATTCAATTTTCCAATCACTCGTTCACAGAGCCGGATTGGAATTCTTCTCCATCAGTAGCGACCCAGAGCATCCTATCGCGGTAGGTTCCCCTCCATATGCTTACCAATCCTCAAGAGACAAGAAGCTCATACGTAACAGGCAAAAGATTCAGGCCTAATGCCTGATTCAAGCGGTCTTGACAGACCCCAGGTCCTGAAAAACAAGAAGGTCTTACTGAACACCCTAAAAGAATGTTGGAATGCCTGCACCCACCCCGGCTCGCATGAAAACAAACCTTTCGTCCCTGACGCGATTATCGCAACGCCTCTTGCACATGCTCATGTCCATTGTGCGGAGCGGCTGTCAATCCCGCTTCATATCATGTCTAATAGCCCCTGGACACCGACGAGACGATTCACACATCCGCTAGCACAGATTGAGACAGGAAGTGAGATTGATTACCAGTTGCAGAACTATATCTCCTATCTGCTGGTTGGGGAGTCGGTATGGCATGAGTAAGTTTAGCCTTCACACACGAATTATCCAGCCGCATAAAGATGGTCATTGACAGGGCTCTAGAGTGTGCAATGTCGTGGATCATTTCAGAAAAGCAGTTCTAGATCTACCACAACTATCTCTACCTAGCGGGGCCGGGATTTTAAGAGAGTCCAAGATTCCTCATACCTATCTATGGTCCTCAGAATTGCTCCCCAAACCGGAGGACTGGGACGATACCATTGGTATGCGCAAACCCAGTGTTGGACTTATTTCTGACTTTTTCTAACACGAAAATTTAGATATTTCTGGTTACCCTACAATCGGAAGCCCGTCTCCTTTTACCCCTTCAAAGGCGCTAGAAAATTTCCTCGATTCCGCAATCGACCCTGTCTTCGTCGCACTGGACATCACCCAATTGAACAACCCCAAGTTATTCGCTCAATACCTCGTTGAAGCTTCACGAAAGTACGGAGTATATCTTGTCCTACCAAGTGGGTTCCGAGAAATACTTAATAAATCGGAAATGCCAAAAAAGATTTTCCTGCTAGAGAATGACCCAAATGGTGAGTTCATTCACTACTGAATAAAATGCACATTTATCACAGCAAGGAAACTAACTGAAGATTCTATGAAAGGTAAAGAGTGGCTCATGGGCAAAATATCGATCTTGTTAACCAGTGGTGACATCCCGACGGTAAAGGAGGGTGTTCAAAACGGAAAACCAATGATCTCATTACCACTTCTTTGCGAGTAAGCCTTCCATTTTTGAATCGTTTTGGCCTAGCCACGCGTTTCCCCAAGCTCTAGGATCTAGCGCTGATACTTCTAAGCCAACCCTTTTGGGCAACAACCATCCACAATGCAGGTGTCGGTCCAGCTCCACTTCGCGAGAAAGCGCTCACCAGCGAAAGCCTTTTCGAGGCATTCCAATATTGTCGACAGCCAAGTGTAAAACAGGTTGCTTTGAGGTTAGGCCAGAGGATCCGGGGGGAGAACGGCACTACAAACGCCGTGCAGTCGTTTTATCGCCATTTAAGATGGGAAAAGGTTCGATGCAGTGATACCAACACAGAGCCTGTGATCTATCGCATGCAATTGAAACCATCATTTGGCGGCAAAGTCGAGACTGATGGGGTTGGCATTTCGATCAGAGGAGGTGGCTCCCCCGTGGAACCGTAGGTCTTTTCTTGCCTCGGCTAGTCCGGTTTGCACTCGAGGACTTGAACTAATCACTACGAATAGGGATGAGTACCCCATACACACGAGACGGGATCAGATACCCGAGCTCACCGAGGAAAAGGTCAAGACCACCTTCCTTGTCGATGCAAAGGGAGTATCCAAAAGTCTTATCAAAGCCATCATTAAACCTACGGTCTCGCACATCGCAGATGCGCACAGGAAACGCGAGGTAAGAGCTCCAGCAGGGCTTAACTCAAGTGGCATTTATCTTTCTATTCACCCGGGGCTAACCAGATTGTTGATTGTTGTACAGAATCAGAATGACGTACCCGTGCCGACCGGTTCAAAAGCCGAGCAACATAAAACCCGAACGGAGACGGCGATGAAGGTAGCTAGGAACGTGGGCTTTGGGTCTGCAGTCACTTGTGGGAAGATTGCGATGCTGCCTTTTAAAAGTAAGTCATTATCTTGTAGCCTTGTCTCGTTCTTTGCGAACTGCGATATTCGGCATCTAGTATCTATATACTGACACGGGCGTTAGCTGTATGGTATATGAGCGAAACGGCATCATACGGAGTTCGAGCCCTACAGGGCCTGGATCGCAATGACGACAAAAGAAATAATCAGGACATGGAACAAGCGTCCAATGTCAACAATCCTCGGGTTTTCGATGAAGGTAAAGTTGTTGAACTTATAAAGCGTGAAGGATTTCAGTTCTGACGATATATATGTTGTCACAGTGATCGACGGGGCTTCCTTAAACAGAGACGATGCTTATACGTGTGCAATCACAGCTTCAGGTGTGCGTCGGAGTACAACTCAGCCTCGTGATGGTGATGGGATATCCCTTGGATCTCGCCGGTCCCATTCTTCTGCACCTAGTGGCAAGAGGGAATAGACAATATGTTGCAAATTATGGATGTATATTAGGATTTAAATCTGTTTGTTGTTTGAGTAAAATTGAAATTGTCTTACTTCTATAGAAAGACCAGATTATCTAGGTTGAGATTGAAGTGAACAAGGATCATTGTACACATTTCCACCTGTTGACATAAGCAAATATCGGTAGATTTGTTTGCCGTCACGCTGAAAATATTGTCCTTTCCTTTTCTCGCGCCTTTCTGCAGAATTCCTAGGTGCTGTGAGACTAAATTAGCGAGAAGAACAATTGATTCCTTATAACCAAACAGCAGCTCGTCGAGTAGTTAAGAGAAGACTATCATACTAGGCGTTTAGGCAGATGCTCTAACTATCTCAACAGTAGTAACCCAAGCGCACATTGACCAGAAAACGTCCACTCTATCATGTAGCGCTTCATGAATGCCCACAAACTTATATAAGAAATAACCTGGGCAGCCATACACCCTTGCATAGCTCCGATACGAAGTTTCGAAGCGAGCTGAGATTCTCTAGAGCCTTATTCCGTAATATTTCGGGTCGTCTCTCCGAGGATCTGTCAATGACATAAGACTAGGATAGTGACTCTTTCAGTATATTACTCGACACAAATGGCCTAGTGTTCTCATGTTGACAGCGTATGATTTGCGATTCGTCATACACTTTGTAAGATTTACAGAAGCCTTCCTATGCAATACTTATATAATCTTCTTTCAGTTGGAACCTGTAGATGAATACTTTTATGAAAGCCTAAAAGAATCTCAAATGCGGAGCAAACTAGTTTTAGATAGAGGAACGAGACAATTTTGTGAGGAACCGTTTTCCCTTAATCTGCAGGATCGATCGTCATCCGAATACGATCCCGAGCTCGTATTCGGGTTTATCTTTCTTTAGTGCGGTGCCAAGCATTTGGTTAGCGGCCCCGTTAACCCACATGATCTGCATTTAGGGCATCCCGAGTCCATATCGGACCTAAGCAGGTATGTAATTTGATTGAATGTATAGAACTACAGGTTAGGCTCGATATTAAAGCTGAGTGATACCCTGTTCTATGGTTCTAGGGGTAGAAAATACTCCTACAGAACCTTGAATTCATTTGGGAATTAAAGTGGGTCGTCTTGAAACACCAGAATCCTTCTCAAACCTATCAGTAACGGTAGGGATAAGAAGGATTTTGCAATATTGCGTAGCGGGTAAGTTGGTAAAAATTCAAATCCGAGTACGACTAGCCGGTTTACGGTTTGCAAAGAACCAGGGTACGATCGACAGATTCCCGGACGGCAGATAAGCTTTTTTCCAACCGTCAATATGTTGTACATACATGTACTCCGTCCTCCGTATTCTCTCATGTTTCCCATCAATGCATGGCCCACATCCCGATATTTTTGTTTGAGTACCATGAGGCTCGAAAACTCGATGCGACCAATGAATTCATTGCACATCTCCACTTTTCAACGATCTGCGACCTTTTCATATTGAGGTCAACGTGGAACTGGAAATGCTGCCTGTATGACAACGTCGTTATATCAGTATTTCTAGGGTGGGCACAGATGTTGGGATATTTGGTGTTCTTAGATTCTCTTCAATCCTTAATGTAAGAGGGCATGGGGGATAGTTCACGAAGAAGCGGCAATCCCATCTCGCAGTTCACTTCTGTTGAGGCAGTCCGAGGACCTTGCCTCCTACCTGTTCCATTCTTCTTCCTCTTATTTTTGCATCAGCTCAACCTATCGATGATTCCTTTTCCCACATTGCCTGTTCCTACGGGGTATAAGTTCTCACTCGTCGATTTCATCCCCGAGCACAGTCCATTCTATCTCACCAGCTAGGGTAGGAAGCCTTTAGCCTCACTACTGGCAACCCCGGTACCCCACACATAGACCCGCCCTCCACCAGGCGGGGACCTCACTACCGCCTTTTTCGATGACACCATTCAACGCGCCGTCTCGCACTTTCAATGAAGGTCTTTTCGACCTCGACTTCCGAAGCTACCAAGCTAAAGTTAACACTGATTTCAGACATAGTTAACCTCATCGTCGATGAACAACAAGCTCAGCGCTCCAGTTTCAACATACAACCAGTCATACCTCGTCGTCCCTCCTTAGAGCCAGCACCGAAACCAGCACCGTACCTAGCCTTCTTACTAGGACTTATCGGGGTCAGGAAAGAGCGGTTGTCGAGGTTCGTTTTGGCCCCGAGATGGAGTGTTACAGGGCGGCGGGCCTCAGCAGGCCACGATCATTGGGCTAACTCCTTCACGAAATAGGATGTTTTTTTTTGTTGCTAATTACTGTCCATATTATATTGACTTCTTATTGCCGTGTATATATTAGAATTCAGCTTCGCATGATCCTCATTTTTATAAATATGATCGTGGCCTGATTTCACGCATCCGGTATATCACAAACTCATTTACAAAATAGATTTCTCGCTATATAATCCTACCATACATACTCTTGTGGAGTTTTGTAGCCAATCCATCCTTGTTTGTCAATCTTAGAAAATATACGCAAGATCTCTGCAATTTCCAATATTGAACCAGATAACAGACAAGCACCCGTGAGCGGCTTAACTTGGGAAGCGTAACTATCCAATAGCTGACTAAATGTATTTTTGTGTTGTGCAATGCAGAATACGACCACGAAGCTTGCTCTTATCCTTTGGGTACATATGATAAACTAGTACAGCTGAGCGAATAGAAAACCCCATCTTCTATACGCTATAGTCGTTTGTGTCAGTTTACTTGTGGGACATCAATATATCGGCAAAGTATAAGGGGTTGTGTGGTGGGGGTTTTTGGGATGCATAGGTGTGCGCTGTAGATACGGTCAGAATCACCGTCTGGCTCACAGATCTATCTAAATAACGCGCTTTCTAGCGTTTTTAAACGTGATATAGAGAAGTAACTAATAATTAATTCTAAATTATTTAAACTAATAAAACATTACCTTTAAAATAAGGCTTACAAACGGGAGTTTAACTTCTGAATTCTCGGCATATTTGTACTGTTCGGGGCCCAAAACCCAACCCATTTGTGGGTTGGGTTTGGGCTGGGCTATGGGCTTTGTGGGCTTTGCGAAGCTCTACGAACAGGCATAATTCAAATGTTAAATTTTCCTTGTTTTTGATCGCCAACTTATGTTCTTGTGCTCAATATACACACGACTAGCTAGTAGAAAATATCACCATCTCTATTCAGGGCTGGTGATAGATTTGGGGGCCTTCACAAACGAGTACGGGGCGTTGGCAGCCAACAGGAAGGACGCTTTCCCAGTCACCTTGGGATCCGGGCCGATGAAGTTGCTAGGGAAGCCAACGTCAAACGGCTTTTGGCTCTCAAGATATGCGATTTGTTCCGCTGTCAACCGAATATTGAGAGCCTCGATGTTGTCCTTGAGATGCTCGACCTTGCGGCCACCAACAAGAGGGAATACATTTGGTGCTTTCGCCATCACATATGCAAGGGCAACCGCGGTGAGGGATTTGATCCCATGCTCTTTGGCCACCTTAAAAAGTGCAGCACTCATTGCGGCTTCTTCTTCGGTTTGTTCCGAATTCAATATGCTACGGAGACCCTGCCCTTGAGCTTTCCGTTGTTCAATTTCCTCTGTTGTTTTGAATTTTCCTCCGCCCATAACATCCCAGGGGGCAAGTGCCATTCCAAAGTGGCGCGCCATGGGGATGATCTCCCGTTCAAAATCACGGAGCATGACATTCCATCTACCTTGGTAGATGCTGAAGGGGGTCTTTCCGTGGGCTCGGGCATATGAGTTTGCCGCCGCCACAACCCACGCTGGGGTGTCCGAGATACCCAAGTAGAGTACCTTACCCTGTTCCACTAGGATATGAAGACTGTCCATAACCTCTTCGATTGACGTTGTTTGATCCCACCAATGGAGATACAGAATGTCAACCCAGTCGGTTTGCAGCTTCTTCAATGAATCCCGAATACTCATATGAAGGCTTCGCTTGTGGTTTCCGCAATGGTTTGGGGCATTTCCCTTGCCGAGCTTGTATGACTGATAGTCTGTGGTGAATTTGGTAGAAATCACCAATTGATCGCGATTCTTGCGCTGGGCCATCCATTCTCCAATCCAAACCTCTGACTGCTCGTCCTGGTAATTGTTCGCCGTGTCAATGAAATTTCCGCCGGCTTCATGGAATGCGTCGAGAAGTTTGAAAGCCTCCTCCTTGCTGAAAGAACCCATTGCACTCGACCACGCATCGCCGATGGACATAGCTCCGAGCTGAAGAGGTGAGACGCGAATTCCGGCCGTAGAAGAGAGAATGCGGTAACGTCCCAACCCGGTAGTCGGTTCAGGAGCAGGGCCCCAAAGATCCGCCATGATAAGTTTTGGTGTTGAAGTATTGGGAACAAGGAATATTTGGGGGAATGAAAGTCTGAGTTTGGATCAGGTCAAAATGACATTTACGGAAACTTAGTATATATATTTTCTGACTTCTGGGTGACGTCACCACTAGAGTTGCCTCTTTACGATCTCCTTTCTAGCGATTAAAGAGTCACTTGGGCATGAAGAACCAATTCCGCGCAAACTAACACCATTTTTCATAACCTTGGAAATCAGATAGCGGGGCGACTGTCATCAAGCTGCATTAGTGTCCTTGTGTAGGGTCCACAAATTGTTAACGCGCTAAATTCGGTCTGGCCACAAGAACATGGGTAGTTCAAGGAATACAAGCATACGTACCTAGCAACATAATGGCTCTTAATGGGCCATACATATGTGAACAACCCTCAAGTAGAGAAGCTGGCCATTACAAGCGTCGTGACATCTAAACTTCACCCGGAGCCTCATTTTTTTGAAGCCTCCACGTAGTCCAATTAAATATTATTGTTGTAACATCATCCACGGGTGGATTGCAGCCCACCCCATAAGCCTAGCCATAGTGTGCCCAATAAGAACAACACTGTCATCACCATTCCATGGCATACCTGATCAAGCTCGCACTGCCGGAGAGCTATCCGATCGCAGACAGTGCCGTCAAACACTAAATTCCCTTTTATTCTCCACTAATAACCTAGGAATGTGCCTAGAGAACCCAATTTTCACTGAGATCTCGACGAGATAACATCTTCAAAAAAGCAATAGGGCAAAATTCTAGCGTATGGAACACCTCTAATGCGAGCGTAGTATCCCAAACTAGCGTGCGACAACAGTTATTTGAATCATCACTATCATTGCAAATGCGGATAAATAGTGTTATTATTGCTGACTGAGGTAATTAGCCTCATGTGGGCATGAAGTTCAGCCGAATGCCTGTGGGGATGATTTGCAACCACAGTTCAGCCTGACCAATCGGGTGACACATGTCATCACAGCGCTGTTGTCTGTTCCCTCGGATATTTTGTTTCGCACATCACTTCTAGCCCATACGCCACAATTCATGTCAAAGCATCCCGCTTTTCTTTCGAGCGGATGACCCCCTCGAAACGGATTGTCAGTAGTGTGGTGGTGTATTGGAACCGGCCTTGTCCGGACCAAGATTCGACAGAAGGCACTCATGTACGAGACTCCGAGAGTGTTCCACGCGTTGCTCGCCAGATTTCGTTGATTCGGCCCACCAATCGGGATCAGGGATGGTGTTGAGATAGGGTGGGGTCAGTTGTTTGTCCCAAGAAGCGATAGGAAAATCGAGACAGGGCTGGTGTATGGATTTACACTCGTCATTATCTACGGAGAAGTAAATCTGATAGTACCCTCGAAGCAGGGCGATTCTCTTCACGCTATCATCAACAGATCTTCTGGGCTGTATGTAGCTTGGTTCTTCATCCAATATTATCCTTTTTTGGACAACTGACGACAGAATGTTGATTGCATATATTGCGTAGTACAATCGACTAGCCATCACATAACAACCTATGCAAATTCAACGTTAGCCAGAGCCTCAAGGAATTAAGCCATTCGTCACCCACCGGATGTTTCGGTAAATTTATTTTCTTATTTTCCTTGAAAACAATTATTTGACTTCTTGTGCTTTTCCTTGCGCATCTACAGTCCGCGGTCTTTGTTTGCGTGATGTGCCACAGTCTTTGGCTACCCGTGTATAAAGGATCGCATATTCCGACAATCAGAGCTCTTCCAACATTCCAGAATTTACGCCCAGGCCAAGTCGGTTATACGACCCGACGTGCAAAGCGTAATGCTGGCCCTTTCTCGTTATAAACCACTCCAAATCCTCTCATTTCAAACCAAAAGATAGGCGTTATCAGCGCGACAAAGATCACCGAACCACCTCAAAGTCGTTCTCGCATCATGCCCAGCAACGGAGCTCATGATATTGTCTTTCGTATGAAAAACGACTCATGAATTCCCTTCCTCAAACCATCAACGCTGATATTATCTTCTAGGGACGTCCATCGCGGCCTGCAACTCACGCAGCCACCTACAGGTCTACATGCAAGATGTCTTAGGAAAAATCCGAGAGTCGAAGTACGAGGATAAATGGAGCAACGGAATAGAGAAGAATGGCATTGCTTCGGCCAAGTTCTACTCTCCCGTAGCTTACACTTCCAACGAGCTTGATAACGTGAGTTTTCTCGAGACAGAGCTGTCAAAAGAGATGATTGATGGTAAACATGAACTGGATAGATCCGGGTCTACTACCCCTCTGCCGAGAACACTGTGAAGGACATGGCTTATGATAAATCCAAAGGTTGGTATGAGGTTAACCTTGGTAAGAAGCGCTTTATGACCGCCTCATATTCAAAGCTGGGTGCTTGTTACCTCAAGGAACCCGATATGACCATTAAGGTCTATTGTCAGATGGCAGATAACACAATCCAGGAGTATGGATTCAAGGGTAAGTGACCAACCTATGATGGCTCTATCTTTGCTCACAAAGCAATATAGATAATTGAAACTGGGAGAAAATGTCGAATTTAGGTTCAGCAATGCCCGGCACAGACATAGCGTGCACGGTGTTCAAGACTTCCGAAGCGAAGATCCGGTCATGAAATCTCGGCAATCACGGTGTATGTATGGAATCAGGGACGTTGGGCATCTGGGAAGCTTGCACTTCTTCCTGCGTGATTGTCAATTGTGGCGCATTGGCTTTTTATTCCTTCGAAGTACGCGGTTCAAATTGAATGTGTTTTGAGATTATCTTCGTCGTTAATTGTATTTTTTTTTTTTTTTTTTTTTTTTTTTCAGAATTATTTTCTCTTGAGCGAAAAGCTGCATATATATGACTTCATAGTAGTTTGATATGGATGCAGACCTCCAAGGTTTATACCCCCAACACTCGCACTTTCCTATTTTCCCATGGTCTCGTGACTTGATGGCACGTAAGGGAACTGGTCTTGTAGCCATACTTCTATCACATCAGTTTATTAGATGTTCTGCAATGAAGTGAAATATTCCTATCATCGGTGTATATGGTTATCGCGAAGCGGGGTAGCTCTGACTAACAGCGTAGACGAGCACTAATACTCATCTCGAAAAATTCCGACGGGTCACATTACCCAAAGGTTTCCTTGAGAGATATTCAATAAATTGTGTCCCCTGTCTTCCTCTCATCATGGCGACAATTCCCAGCTCAACGTCCCCGTCGGATACCAAGCTCATACTTCATAAAGCTACGGTCAAAGATATACCCATCATAAAATCTATGATTGATGCCGCCTATTCAAAATACATTTACCGCATTGGAAAGCCACCAGCTCCGATGACAGAGGACTGGGACCAGATGATCCGCACGCATGAAGTCCTCGTCCTGAGAGACAGTGAGCGGATCGTAGGCTCAATCACTTTCCACAAGGATAAACAAACAAACTCGCTCAAAATCGACAATGTGGTAGTTGATCCGACATCGCAGGGTCGAGGCTATGGATATTATTTGATCAAGTTCGCTGAAGAGGAAGCTCGAAAACAGGGGCTGGGCAGTGTAACATTATTCACCAATGTGAAGATGTTTGAGAATATTGGGTTCTATGCGAAACTGGGGTTTGCGGAAACAGATCGAAGAATGGAAGAGGGATTTGAACGTGTATATTTCTATAAGATGGTTTGTTGAAGAGGAGATTCTTCGACTAAATCTCTAGCATTTTGGGAGAGGGATCTTAGACTTGGATCGATTAATCCCACCAGTGGGACCCACGATAGAATAAAACTCAACCTATCTGTAATGCGTCAAATAAAGGGGAATTCTTTCAATCAAAACCAAGTCATGGGTCTTCAAAATCGAAAACATTAAGTACCACATGTGAATCGCCATGGTTCGCATGAGGGACGGGTCCGTCTTTTTCAAAATATATACATAGAAGGTTCCGTCATAGAAGAATGTGAAAGGTGACAGTATAGAGAGACATAAAACGAGGAAGAAAAGTGAGGAAGGAGAAAGTGATAAAAAGGAGATATAGCAGTACTGAGAAGATCGTGAGGAAGAGAATACATGTTATAGTGACAGAAATTGGGCATCGAGGGCATCACACCACGGGAGAACATGAATGGTGACAACTCAGATGACTCGAGAATGTAAAAAATAAAAAGTGTGAATGTTCATGAGAAAGGTTCATCTCCGCCATACTGAGTGAGGCGGCCTAGGGGAGGAGAAGTCCTCCTTACTAGACCGCTCACTGGTCGCCTCGTTAGGGTACGCAGGCTCGTGCGTGATCTCGATGGTGGTTTCTTGATACACCTTTCCAATCGGGGTCATTTCATGATCATGGTCGCGGTGACCGAGTGTGCTGGGTGGAACGATATTATCCGTTGAGCCGTCACGGTCAAGGTCATCAGTGAAAGTGCCGCCCAATTTGCGCGTGGGATCGGCCGTGATAGTAGTTAAGTGGGTCTCGCCGCCTCGTTTGCCCTTGCTGCTGTTGAATTTATTGTAGGAGCGGTCTTGGCTGGGTTCTGAGTCGATGATCAGGTTGCGGCGGGTGAGGGTGTATAGAACGACATCGACCAACCCGGAGCTGGTAATTATGGCACCGGAACAGCAGAAGAATATGATGCTGGGTGCATCGCCGTCTGCTGTGGCCATGCGGCCTGCGGCGAGGGGTAGCGATAGGATGATGTAGACGATTGGGTAGATGGTCATGTAGCCTACGACGCGGCGCAGGCGTTTGAGGCTCTCCAGCTGGCTGTTGCCAAGGATTGCGGAGGCGGCAATCTGCCGGCGCAGCTGGAAGTACATCACGGCGTAGAGAATGACTGTGCCGAATTCGGCGAGGAAAATCCAAATGTAGTGAGTCCATAAGCGGGTGGTCTCGTATTCATCGCTGATCCAGCACCAGGCGCCGGAAGGCACAAAGACGTCGCCTCCATACATCGCTAATGGGATAATCACCATTATAGCAACAAAGCCCCAGACGCCGACGACGAAACAGACAAAGAACTTGTAGGACATTTTGCGTCCCCAGACGACTAACAGGAATGTGTGGAAGGCGATGGCGAGCACGAAAAGACCACTGCCGGGGTCTCCAATTTGCAGCCACAGCCCTTGGAGAAAGCATGCGGCGGAACCGGACTGGATTTTGTCTGTTAAGATCCATCGTAAACAAATAATAAATGCAAGTGACTGTTGAAAATCCGCCAGAACAAGATTGTAAATAAGAATGATGTACTGGTTGTAACCGATGTATCGCGTATAGCTGCCGCGCCAGAAAAAAAGTCGATAGGTGATGAAACCGAGGAGCATTGACGTTGCAATGAGAGATAGGAAGGCCATGACTGCGATTGCTATTAGACCTCGTCGATGCGATTCTGGAAGAGGGTCGATATCAAGTTCAACAGAGTTTGTCAATCGAGCTGCCAATGAGTGCTCATTGTTTTTGGGCATCAAGCCCATGAGAATGAGTGCTGACATGGTGGAATGTCTTGTTGGTTCCTTTCACTTGAAGGGGTCTGCTATCATTGCCTATTTAAATGGTGAAATTGAAGGCTGCAAGATGACACTCCCTGGGTCCAGAATCTGATCGATACTGGGCAACAAAAAGCGATATATAATGACAAAGCGAGTGGTGCCAAGGATTGAGAACCTGAATGTGCTCAACACTACACCTACCCCATGAGCTGCCTGCAATGGAAGATAAAGAATGGCTCAAGGAGGGGAAGAGGCTACAGGCATAAAAGTTGAAAGCCAGACGCACCCAGAGAAAAAGAATCAACACCCAAACTACCGGGACTGATTGAACTCAAAATTTGATAGGCAAAAACAAAAGAATGGGACTTAAACCCATTCGGCCTCTTTGCCCGTCAATAGCTGGGTGATCCACGACAAGTTTGAGTGAAGTGTGGAATTCTGCGTGAGAAATATGGACACCTGGGAGAGGGAGTGCGATCTCCATAATAGTTCACGGTCCAGAGCCGTGAATCCCTGTATACAACGTATATTTTACTCCACTTAGCCCATTTAGCTCACCTTTAGGCCATATGTGACGCCCAAGTGGGTAGAAGGAAGCAGGTCTGCCACGAGATGTCGAATAAAACGGCCGCAAAGTTTAACATAGTTGGTCTACTCCGTATCAGCTCACTCGATGGACAAGCGAAACGATTTAGTTGCCTGCCTTGCATCCAAAAGTACATACTAAAGAAAGGCATTCGCCGCTTATAAACGGTATTGGATGGGAAAAAACATCCCCATTTTTCAGAACCACTAAGAAGGCACAAAATCCATCCTGATCCCACGGGCTCCGTGTTCTCCGTGTCTAGGCCAAAGCGCACATTGGCCCGTTGACAGGGGGCTCGGATCGCTAGTACGCTATGTTCGCTGCAGGGGCGAGGCTTCTGGAACACTAGCGGGAGGGTTGAATTGGGGCAAGTGTGTTCTTTCAACAGAGTACTCCACGAGGTAGAAAGCCTCACCATATTTTTCTATAAAAGCCACCACCAGACTCTTTCCTGAACCGCTCAGAGGCGTTTACAATATAAGCTCGATCTGCGGGGGATATGTCATATTCAATACCATCAAATTAACAAAGAAATATAATACAAAGCACAATGTGGGCGACCAGGGGGGGGGACCGGGGCGTACCCTAGCAAGTCAGAAGGAATGATTTCATGTGTAATCCACCCCGCAAAAAAAATAAGCCCGCGGATTTAGGAGAAAGTGTTGAACATCAAAAAAAAACAAAAGGATTATTTAGAAATAGTGGGCATTTGTGGATTGGTGGACATTTACCCTCTTGGCCATACAATTGGGCCGGTTTAAGCTTCGATCCGCCTCCAACTCCCCAACCACAAGTGAAAATCACAGGTTTTTAATGGAGTTGACGGGACTGAACACGAGTTCTTTCCCTAAAAGAATGTCGATTGTGGAGGTCACACGGGTAGTAGGTCTTTGTTTGGCCCCTATGTATTGCCGGTTTCATTAAACAGGGATGTGTATGCCGAGAAACTGGATGAACTGAATGAAGAAGCCTGCTTGTGTTTATGATTCTCGCTGGCTAGCACGGACTAGTGGAGACTTGCCCCTCCTAGTGAATGGGATCAACAAAGTAGAATCACCAAAAGGATGATTACGCACCACGGTCTGGCTTAGAGCCGCAGCGATCGTGGAGTTGGAAATCATGGCCCGCTAAGAAGGAATCTTGGCCCCGAGTTAAAGCGGGATGATGCGCTATTTTAGAAGTGTCTCAGATATGCCTCAGGGGTAATCGGAAACATCCGAATTTATATTGCATCATAGTCTAGTTGACACCTTGGGCTGTCGGACTATCGGATACCTGAACGTAAAACAATACTTTGATATGCTTGACAGTGTGCGGAGTATGGAATATGCTGCACAGAATACGGAGCACATATTTCAGATATTTTCGAAGCCTCCCGGTGTTAAAACGCCCTTAACGCCATGTCTCATTCCAACCGGATTTCTTCCCTTGTCTTCCTCGCCCCGCTCGTTGCCGATCCAAATTCCAGCGCAGCACCGGCCACATTGTGTATTGTCGAAGGCCAAGGCTTAGGTTTGGGAAAGCATTGTACTAGAATGAAATGAAAGCTTAAGCAACACCCCCCCAAAAAAACCTGTTCACGGTTATTCTATTAGCTTACCGGTGGAATTTGGGGTAAAACTCTATATCAAACCTATTTTCCCTCAACTGACTTGCCGGTTTGCCAGTTCCACTACGGAGTACGGAGTATCTGATTACTCAATGCGGGAGCGGCATCCCGAGGTCCCCGCTTATGTTTCAGCTGGCAAGATATAATTTCTAATACCTCTTAACTCTAATACTCTGTACGGAGTACAGCATACACCATACATAGGCTCCTTCGCACTGAAGATATATCAAGATCAGACACGTCGAGCAATATCAATCTCAATGTGCCCGAGACATCGCCAATAAAACTACCAATAGTCCCATTTCACTTTTGGAAAGTCTATACTCGCCCCTAGCGCTTTGTTCCGAGCCGTGTGCACACATATAACATACACACACAGCCTGTCATAATTGAAGATGACCGGGGGGCCGAGTTTCCTCTTTTAGTGAAGACACCAACACAATAACCTTATGCTCTTAGCCTATTGATGTTTAGCGTAAATCCTGCCGCTTCGGATCACTCAGATCATATACCCTGCGACTTGGATAATCAATAGTGTATGATCATCTCCGGGGTCTCCGAATTCTGCGACCAGAGAGGTTGGTGATCTACATTAACATCCTCTGTACCCCGTATTTACGGAGGTTTTACATCGTGGCGGTCGATTACAACTAGACTATTGAATAGATCCCCCTCTCACGATACGAGTGTCCTTTCATTCTTGGCCCGTGTGACATGTGATCGCCAATAGTCATCCTTCCAAAGTCATTATTGCTGTTATGCATACGAAGTATGGGGTAGCGTATGCTTAATAGGCCGAAATAAAATAAAAAGATCGACTCAAACTAAAAAATACATGGATGCTCACGGAAAGAGAAAATCCCATGGATACCTCCGGACGCACCAGTAATGCATGGTATCCACCAACCTAACGGTAGGAAGATGTGAATGGTCAACAGCAGGTTAATCCTGGCCCGTCACTTTCGTAAGTATCGGTGAGGAGCACCATCAACCGAAGTGGGTAGTGGTGGAACTCACTTATGCAGCTTGCCCCGTCGAAAGGGGATGAAGCAGCAGGGTATAGAAAGATGCCGAGGTCCACGACCTCGCAATGGGGCGAAGAATGATTTCCAATCAAGTCGACAGCGGGCGAAACCCACAAAAGGCTTCACATAGCAGGGATCATTTACACACTATACATAAGCCGGACCCTGTCAATTGCCTTTTACGGTTAATTTTACGGTTTGATGTTGTAGAAGACCTGGTCCTCTCCTCTGCTCCTTTTTGTGGATGATTGTAACGTTCACCTTCGTTGAAACTATTAGGATCGAATTTAGTGGTGATTCAATATGCAGGTTCTGGAAACCCCCCCTCCTATATAGTATCAATTATTATTCTATGAAGCGCTCAATTGTCCTCCGACAAACATAAGATGACCAAGATATACTTGGCCCATTCGTTCTACGAGATATTGCCCAAATTACTCTCCATCCATTTCCTTCTCTTTTTTTCAAATTTGATGGTTTACCGTCTGGCATATACCTATTTGGTATCAAATTCGGTGTAAGCTGAAAGGACTTGAAGGGCGACGTTGAATATTGGTACCTCGATGTCTTACTATCCGTTTTTGGTATATGCAGAGTCATCACACGATGTTGATTGCAAACATTTCCCAGGCATAGAGCGATCCATCGTAAGGATAATGGTATGTTACCGAGGAGCGCCTGTCAGATGCTGAGTGAGATCTCGATCCTCGCGAATGGCATCGAGTAGAAACTGCTGTTCGTGAGCACAAAGCTCATAGTAGCTCAACTTGCCCTTCATGCAGATCATCCTCTTCCGCGTGAGTCCATCAACCATAATCATCACACGTAAGCTGTGACTATCAATATTGGACCAGGCAACCAATTGATCAGCAAAGAGAACCTAAAAATGGCCGTAATCCACCTAGTCATCGGGCCCGAGTGTGTTGCTAAGACTAAGTTCTATGACACACACCTGCTCAGGCTTGCTATCTGTAATTTGCAACATAACTCAATATCTCACGCCCTAGTCAATAACAAAGTTCTTTGAGTATGGGTATACGTAACTATTCAGTTTCAGCTCAGGCGGGAGATACGCGAGTCATACTCCTACTATCCATGTACTATGTGGTAGAGCGATGTTACAGTACATCCCTAATAGTACCTCCCATGGTGGCACGATCGAGATGTCAATTCGCCCTCAACAATCACGCCACAGAACTGACCTGGAGACCAGCTAGACAGACCAAAGGTGGCTGGCTGTACGTCGACAGTCTGGAGTACGTGGTCATTGGTTCGCTTGATCCTTGTTTGTAATTGTCTGTAGGCTCCTGAAGATCATTGCAATACCTAGGTCTAGTTCGCTCATATTGCACAATGCCAACAATTCAACCGCTGAGATATGGTAAATCAAACTTGTATCATAGCCTAAGCACACGGCAAGGCATCGGGTCGTAGGAGGGAAGCTCGTGGCATTCATAAATCATCAAAAGAGCAAAACATAAAAAGGGGGGAGGTAGTAAGCCAAGCACGAAAGAAACGATGCAAAAGAACAAGCCAGTAACACAACGAAAAAGCCCAGAACAAGAAAGTAAGGGGGGTATCATGAGTTCGTCAAGCCCATTGCAATAGCAACAGTTATATCCATATCCCATGCTATCCAGCAAACAGTCCTCGAATGATTCCAACGCTGCACGTAGATCATAAATCGAAAAGAAGTATTCCCGTTCCATCCCGGTATCGGTCTATCTCCGCCTCGAGGTGCGTGTATCTCCACGACCAAGACCGTCATCTTCCTCATCCTCCTCCTCGACAGGCGCAGGCGTGCGTCGCTCCGTGCGTCTCTTGGGCCGGCGGCGCCGGTTCGAGCTAATGTTACTCGCCGAGTCATCAGGCGCAAGAGAACGATCGTCGTCGAGGAAGTCGTCTTCGCCGCCGCTCTCCCATGTGCCGACGCCCGAGAAGGGGGTGCCCAGGCGCGCTTCGACGAATGAGCCCCGGCGGCTTTGGTTTGCTACAGAGAGGCCGGCGCCACGTTCGCGCAGTGCGCGCCGCACGACTTCGGCTTTGCAGTGGAGGGCTTCGAAGGCGTCTTCGAGGGCTTCCATTCCGAGGAAAATGTCGCGCTCAACTTCTGCTAACGCGGCGATTTCGGTCTCCTCGTCTAGTGCAATCGGGCCACCGAATGAGGCTGGGGTTGAGGGTACGCCGTTGACTTGGCTGGAGGGTCGGAAGCTGCCATCCATATAGTTGGGTGTTGGACCTCGGGAGATACCGCCGCCTAAGGGTGTGTTGGAGCGACTGCCCCAGCGAGATCCGGCGGCATTCGTGGCGGGGCCTGTGTCTTCTGCGCCACTGCGGAGGAATCCGTCAAAGCGGCCGGAGATGAGGATCTCCCACTCATCATCGCTAATGGCGGAAAGGGTGGCGAGGACATGGTGGAGAGTGGGATTATTCAACATGTACATAGCAGTTTCTGGGTCGCGAGGGAGGGAGGATAGTCGGTAAAGACGCTGGATGGCCGAGGCTGACGAGACAAGCGCCGAAGGTTTCGGTCGGGGTTTTTCGTCGCCGGACCGCGGGACAGGAGTAGAAGAATTGATGCCGAGTAAAGAGCAGAATAACGAGCGCTGGTGAGGTTCGAGATGCGTAAGCATGGCGAAGGTCAGCGTCTCATCGTCAACCTCGTTAGGAGCACTGGTGCCTGGATCATTCTGCTCATAGAGCCATTTGTCGACAGCGACCTTCGTCTTTCGAGATTGCCGTATGAAGTGTTCGCGATACTCTTCAGGAACGTCGACGTCAAGCTTCTGCATTGGAATGTGCTCATCGCCTGGCGCGCCGGTATCCACGGTAGTGGGGGCCATCGTGAAGGGAGGCCACATCGGAAGTTCCCTGCGGCCAGACACAAGCTCCAAAACCTCGCCCCAGCTCACTCCATCTGGTCGATCGTCTGACTCCGCTTGGTCGCATACCTGGCAGCTGCATGGCTCGGACGAGATGTCGCGCGCGAACACAGCTTCGAGACGATCCAGTAGACGACGGGCGACGGACCGGTAGCCTGTTGCGACAGCAAGAGATCCATTCTTACTCATGACCTTTTGGTAGTCGTCTAGTAAGCGGTTATATGGATCGAATATTTTTCCAGCGATGGCCCGAGACTGAGGCTGTCCTTGTGAGAATGGATCTTTCTGCCCGAGGCTAGCCAGCAGTGCTCTCGAGACCTTATTTTCCAAACCACCATTTTTCAGCAAGTAATCGACTCGAGGGATAGTAGCAGGCATTTCGGGCGGAGGTGGGGGCGGCGGGGGTGCGCCAAACGAATTCGGATTCACTGGTTTCACAAAATCGATCGATTCGTCGCTAGCAGAGTGGCGATGTGACATGGCCGATCGGTTTTGGGTGCGAGAGGGAGGCTTCGTAGGCGGGGTCATGGGTTTTCGTGGCACCGAATGCTGCTGGTTAGGCGCAATAGATGTCGCATCGGAGCCGTTAGCTGACTCTGCGCCAATATCACGAAGTGTAACGTTCGACTGTGAGGCAGACATCGTCGAGCGACTCGACCGTTTGGGTAGCTTTCTGTCCTCGGGAACCTTTGTCTTCGACTTGTAGCTTGATGACCGAGGCAACGGTTCACTCTCATCCTTGGGTCTGGATTTTGTAGGGGTCTCTGTTCGCGATGTCTTGCTGGACTTGGACTTGGTGCTGTCATCGCGTTTCGACCGGAGACTCGAGGAGGACCTATTCACTTCGGAGGCTCTGATTTTAATACTTGTTTTCTTCTTGGGTTTGTCTGTCTCCTTCTCATCCTCGTTGACAATACTGCCCTTCCTCGACTCCTGGTCGAGGCCGGTCAGCGGCGGACTAGGAGGCGCATGGTGATTCTCGCGGTGACCGTTCTTCCCCTCGTCATGTGTCAAATCGGTCGGATCCGGTGTAGGGATGCTCGCTCGGACGCCTTCCTTGCTGTGAGCTTTCGAGAAAGTGGGGTAGGGTAGACTTGTTCTCGACTCGAGGAACGAGGCAGCCTCGGATCTCTCGAGTCCAGGCATGGAGGACCTGCGTTGGGAAGTTGATGAGCGAGCCGTGGTAGGATCCTCTGGGTCCTTGGTTGAGGTCTTTCTGTTTGTTTTGTTTGTCTTGGCCTTGACGGTCTTGGACTTCCTATCGTCGCGGTTTAGTCTAAGAGGAAACATGGCGAAATCCGTATCGAGTTGTGGACCGCGCGAAAGGGTCAGTCGTCCGTTACCTGTCTAGACTCGCACCGCCACTGAGGGGAATGTGATCCTATTTTTGTCTCCAATTCTCCTGGCGCTTAGTTCGGGCCGTTATGACTGGTCGCTTAACGTCGCAATGTGCGGGAACCAATCCGGCATTCCGTGTGTCTGGGGTCTGGGGAAAGAAAGGGATATGTGTTGGAAAAAGAAAAGAATAACCTCATTCAGGTACGACGCATGAAATGGTTGGAAGTGGAAAGAAGCACACTATGCGATTATGCGGTGAACGATCTCGGCCCCGCTCTTTTAACTGACGTGGTTTTGCTGCATGGAAGCCTGAAATCGGATCCTGAGATATATATAAAGAGTAGCCTTCTCAGCTGAAAACTTTCCGAGGGAACACAAATTCTACTGCCTGAGGCAACTACATATACAATATGTAGATTTGACAACTTGTTATTCAGTGGTTCATGTACATCGACACTTGGAATCAATCGGATCCATGCAATCCATTCACAGCCTTGACAGGGGAGGTCTCTAGTACCCAATTCCCCTCTTCTTCACGAGCAACCCCTCCACTCTGGGCAGCTCTCATCATCTTATCACTTGCAAGTGTAAGATCACCCGTGTTGTAATCCCAAATCCATCCTTCCTTCAGCCACATCCATGTAAGATAAGCACGTAGCTCCTTGTCGTGTGGTAGAACGCACTTCCATTCAGGCACAAAGCCGAGCTCTGTCGCATTCGTTCCTTTCCAGTCAGAGGCTTTTCCACGCAACTCGTCGCAACAGAAGATCCTCCAGCTATCAAGGGAATATGCTCCAACTCCGGGTAGATGTGCAATCTCCCATGCGACTCGCAAATCTTCTTCATCAACACATTCTTCACGACCAACATTTCGACCGTCTAATTTTCGTGGGTAGTGGAGCTTGCGATATCTTTTGCTTTTGTTCGGGGGGTCTGATAGCCATGTTTGTGCCAATGCGATGCATTTCCTCGCGCGTTGATTTTGAAATCCCAAGCAGTTTATCATTGATACAAGTTCCGGTAGGTCTGCTTCTGCCATTGCATCGATCGTAGGGTATCGTTCAAATACCTTGAACAAGACCGGCAGGGCAACACCCCCGCGAGTTCGATTGAGAAAAATGGTTGCAATGAGTAAACGAAAGGGGTCATGGGCAAGCTGTTCCTGGATGAGTCCGAAAGAAGGCGCATCCATAGGGGGGAACGGGAGGCATGATTCAGGGTCAACTAGCACACGTGGGAAATAAGGAGAATGCTTCAGGGGCTTGGCTTGAGGGGTTTTAATGGGTTCTGGGTTAACGAAAGAGGTGGATTTCACCGGAGTTCGAGGCTGGGGGTTTGTAGATTTAGGAATAAGATAGGGGCTTCTCGGAGGTGATAATTTGATCTGAATAAGCGACGATGAATCATCCAGATCATCCCAATTGGAATCAAAATCACTCGGCGTATCACTCAAGGAAGAATCTGATGACAAAAAGTCCGGGGGTAGATTCAAATTTTTCAACAGCTGTCGGGTTTTTGGGGGGATAGACAAATCGTACAGCGAGGAAGCCGTTTCCCGCTTGGTTTTCGACACAACTTTGGGGTTATCGGCCCCGAGGAAATATTTAGACTGAACCTCATCACTTGGAGTCACACCTGGCAAATCATTGGTATTCAAAAATCCGTGTCCCACATAGATGGATCGGCGGGTAGCGGGAGCTGACTGGAGCTTCGTCTGCTTCCATTGGGGCTTGCAGAGAGGGTTTGTTGCGGAATAGAAGGCGGAAGTTGGTCCTGATCTGCTCGATCAACGGAGGCGCCTTGAGGCTGTTTCTCTGCTCCATCAGTGGAGTCACCTTGTTTCTGTCCACCCAAGTTTATTCGATGTTTCTTCCGCTCCCTCCTTCGTTCGCGCTTGCGCTTGTTCTTTTCTTTCTGTGATGTTTTGCCTGGCTCGCGACGTTTCGAGCGCTTTTCTTCGACCACGTTTTCAGGTCGAGGGCTCTCAGGAATCACCTCTTTCGGGAAGTTAGGTGACAAGTCAGGTGTAAGAACCTTTTTGTTGCTCTCCTCGAAATCTTTGAAACCCCCGATGGAATTTCGGCGTTGGTTTTGCAATGGAACCCAATCAGCTCCAAGGACAAACTCATCATGAGGGGGATAGTCGGTTAGGTCGATAGGTGTGGTAGGGCTACCCCGAATAATGTTCGTGGGCATTTTGGGTAGATCCGGCGTGTGGTCCTTGTGTTTCGGTTCTTCTGGCTCAACGTAACCATTCTCCTGGCTTTCGGTAGGAATACTTGCCGGGAAATGAGCTTCCAAGACCTTCTCTGGCTCGTCAAGTTGCATAGCATCATGGCTGTGCCGTCTAGCCTTATCCGAGTGACGTCTCTTGCTTTTCTTGTGCTCTTTGTCCTCGGGTTGACCCGAGCTGCTCTTACGCCGTTTTCGGTGCGAGCTCTTGGCGTGTGCTTCTTCTGCGCTGTCTACTTCACCCCCGAATGCAGAGCTGGCATCATCAGCTGTGGCAATTCCACGGTCCTCGAGGTAGGTCTTTCGAACGTGATCAACCAAAGCATCGATAGCTGTGTCGTTCATTCCAGCTTCCGCGGCGACGCCGCGAACTTGGCCAATAAATTCTCGCCTGGCCGAACGTCGAACAGGTTGAACTTGATCTGTCATGAAATAGTGTGATGCAACGAACTTCAACACCTCCAACCGCGTTTCTGGGTCCACCGAAACAAAGATCTTCTCTTCTATCGTAACTTCGTTGTCACCAGTGGATAATGCGGGGTTCTCTGTGATTTCAGGAACTGTAGAAGGGTGATCACCGGCCTCATGGACAGGGTAAGGTTCAGCTTGTATGACTTCCTCCTTACGCCGAGGTTGTGTGGTTTTTTCGAGGCTCATAGACGCTTCACCGCGCCCATTGACGTTTGCCATTGTCATACTCTTCCTTATTCGAGAAGATGTTCTCAACTTCGGTTTCGTTGCTGAGGTGGTTGTAGGTGAGGAGGTTGAGGGCGTAGAAAAATGCGGCGAGTTGGCTCCAGTCCTTTGGCTACGACGAACGTTGAGCTTCGAGGAGTCAGATCCCCCATCATATGCAAATGGACTCGATATGCCAATACTGTTATCCACCATCTCGTCCCGGGATTCTTCGATGCTTGCTTCCTCAGACAAGATGTTGTCAACGGCGCGGTCAAAGAAGTCTTCGTCGAAGGTCTTGAGGGGGTCGATATCGAAGGAAGGGAGGGGAACAACAACAGAGATGTTGCTTAGTCGAGCCATTGTATTCCTGATGTCACAGTAGATGGTAGGTTATCTAGGGTAGGAAGTTGGGGAAGCTCGAAGGGTTCGTAGACATATCGCGGCAGTTGTTTTGTTGAGTGTGAACTGCTTGGATGGAAGGCTGCCTGGTTAATGCAAGCTAGCAGACAATCAAAGAGCACGAAAAGCTACCTGCGAGTGCCCTATGCGAGTGGAATGCGTGCTGGTCTCGGGGAAATCGCGAGGAAAGCTCTCTAGCTCCCTGACGCGGGGAGGTCGATTCACGTGTAAGTTTGATAAGGTGACGCGATGTCGTGTCAATGAAACCAGCAAACAAAAATTAAGAAAGGGACAAATTCAGATCAACTTTTTCAATCAGCGTAGACTTCTAAGGGAGAAGAATGGATCAAATGAGTTGGAGCTTTCTACATCAAAAAGGGAATATCGAAAGCACAGACCATCCGATAAAGAAACGCCAATCTACCCCCTGTCAAAGAATCTACAACAAAGGGCTGCATTTGCGAAAGGCATGAATTTGCTAAATCGGTTTATCTATTTATAGTAATGCTGTTCTACCGTGACACGCACTTGACAATGTATGTACTTTGGCATCCAAACTGCCAACATATCCCATTCTATACAGAATACCCAGCCGAGTTGAGTTGTCTCGGCTCACCAGCAGCATCGAATGTTCCGTTGGGCAAGACCCGAATCAGCTGGGCAGAACTCTGTCCTGGAGCAACCCAAGTAACATTATGGCCACGTGCCTTCATCGAGGCAACGGTTGCGTTGTCATAAGTGTATTCGAAGCTGACCTGGTTTGGCACCAGCTGATCATGCAGACGAGGCTTGGCTAACGCTTTGGCGGCGGAGAGTCCCTGATCAATGGAGTGAATGATACTCTGGACGGTGGCAGTGATGATACGGCTGCCTCCTGCGGATCCCGCAATCAAAAATAGCTTGCCATTAGGTCGCTCAACTATCGCAGGCGTGATGGAGGAAAGAGGGCGTTTCCCAGGGCGGATGTAGTTGGATGGAGAGGGGATGTATCCAAATGAGTTTGAAGATCCAGGGATGGAGAAATCTATGAAAATTTTAGTTAACTCCGTGGCGTAGGGCTAGCTTTCTCGACATACCGTTCATTTCGTTGTTCATGATGATACCGGTTTCTGGGACCATGACTTGGCTACCGAAGAGCAGGTTGATTGTGGTGATTACCGAGATTGCAAGGCCAGTGTGGTCGGCTACCGCAATATGGGAAGTTCCAGGGCTGATGCTGAGTTAGCTTAATGTCTGAGAATAAGGTACCAAGTAAGACCTACGTGTCCAGGCTTTCCAGTCCGGCCGGATCATAAGCAGATACGTTCTGAGTTCGCACATCCGAGATCTTGGATCGAATGTCATCGATCGTAGACTGCTCCAAAATCTCCTTCTCATACTTGGCCATCCCGTCAACGAATAGAGGATCGCCAAAATTAGATCTCTGCGTTTCATGTAAGCGACCATTGACCCGAGTCCATGGGTGAAATCAAAGCTGGCTATTCATACCTCGCCATACCCAAATCGCATCGCCTCGTCCAATCGATGGGTACTCAAATTCACAGACTTTTCAGTCGAGAAGAAATCTTTGTATGTCCCGAGAATCTTCAAGATACTCAAGGCGATACTACCACTCGAGGGGGCCGAGGTACTCGTGATCTTGTAGCCACGGTAATCAATCTGAGAGATGTCCCGAATAGCCACAGTGTAATTTTTAAGATCTTCGAGGGTCATTGTGCCATTTTCTCTCTGCACCGCATTGATCATAGTCTCCGCGATGGGGCCCGAGTAGAATGCATCCGCACCACGTTGTGCAATAGCCTCAAGGGTATCCGCATACCGGCGTCGAGTAATGGTATCACCCAGCCCAAGCCTAGTTCCATTCGGAGCAAAGTCAATTGCCCACGTGGGGTTCTTAGACAGAAAGTCCTCTCCACTGCCAACGGCAGATGCCATGTATCTGACAAGATCTTCTGTGACAGGGAACCCGTCACGGGCTGTGCTAATAGCTGGCTGCACAACAGTTGACCATGGAAGAGAGCCATACTTTTTGTGGAGGTGCTCGAGGCCTCGTACTTCACCCGGTACTCCACTGGTATGGCTGTTAGCCTAGCTCCGAGCCGCTCCGTGTATTTGCCCTACCTTGCCAGTCCACCGTAGATAGAAGCATCCTCGTTATTTTTATACATATCCTCGAATGCCGCAGCTGGAGCCGTCTCTCGGAAATCGATAAACTCGTAATCACCCTTTGCTGATCTCACGAGCATGAAGCCACCTCCGCCAATTCCACTGTGGTACATCCCTGTCTTTGTTAGCTATGCTTAAATGCAATCATAAACCGAATGAATGTAGCCTCACCTATGACACCAATACAAAATTCGGTTGCGACCAACTATGTCATTGTCAGCACCGAGATTCACCCCAAAGCCCACCTAGATAGGTATACCCACGGCGTCAGCAGCGTTTCCGCCCATCTTCAGTATATCAGATCCATGGCCGGAGCAAATTGAACTTTCGCTAGCAACAGCGCCCAGCTTTCCAGCGCCAATTCCACCATGCGACCCGATGACGACATTCGGGTCCCGCTCAGAGAACTCCAAGGGGGAGGTGTTTGCACTGGGTAGATGAATTGCGACCAATAGCAGCGACAAAACTGCCAAAAATCCGAGTCTCATCGGTTGCAACATGTTGACAAGAGTCTGCCGCCAATTCCTCTGCGAAATGGAATGTTGCGCAAGAGTAGATCTTGGAGAAGAAGGGGCTGGCAAGGGCTCAAGCTATTACAACATCCAATATTAATATTTTCAACCAGGGCGCAAATTAGGTAGTATCAGAGGGAGGGAAAGATAGCTTTACCTGCTTCTCCACATCTTGACCGATCTGACAGGGGTGTTGCATATCACGATTGGAGACCGTCCAGGTTCTCTCAGGACGGGTTTGTAAAAGATCAGCGGGCTCTAGGGTGCTCGGCGAATGCAACCGGCGCCAAGAGATAAGCAGTGAGGGATGGGAAATAGGAGAACATTTCGAAGGATTGCATCTTCTAAGACTGTTTAATCTACTCCGTAGCGGTGTGGTGTCAAACCCCCGCTGATAAGCTACCGGCTCGCTTTCGGGAGCAAATCGTCAAAGCTCGGAGGTTTTTCGGGGTCATTGGATCAACGTCTATACTCCAAATGTTCAAATGTAACCTCTTATCTACATTTGATATGATTTGGTCATGAGTTGGCCTATTCTTTGTTATGAATAATATGAATAATTGAATACCCCAAATTTACCCAGCTAAAATCTATACTTAGGTAAGAGCCCAACTCCATACCCCGCATGCTATGGTATCATCCTGCGGCTAGTCCTCCCTTGCGGCGGCTCTTCTAATCCAAGAGATGGTCTCTTCCCACTCTTGAGGAACCTTGTCCAGTGCGTCCAGTGTTGCCAATACTAACCGACGACCCCAGTCGCGCACGTACCACCGATGGCACAGGAGACGCATAGCTATGCCAAAATGCAGAAACAAAATTCGGGCGATCCAGTCACCATGTTTCAGCAGTAACGAGAACTTGTCGGATAGAAATAAGGGCCATGCAAGGGGACCTCCATGTGGTCCGATTTTTGGCCACGGTTCGATGGCCTCATGAAGCTGCTGCCATGTGGCTTGGTAGATCGGTTGATCCGATCCTTTTATTGCGTCAATAATCGAATGAAGTCGAACCAGCGACGTCACTATGTCTCTGCTTTGATCATCAGCTTCACTGGCCATAAACAGTCACTTCATACGTCACTGGAACATACTTGTGTAGGCTGAACAATATGTGCGTATTTTCGATCGGGTTGCCGTTACTATCTCGTGTTATCATCCATCCTTCGCCAATGGGTTAGAAGGAAGGATATCCGTACTCATCATTTTCCATGGTTTCGAAGGTTTCCTGTGTGTTAGGAGCGCACAGCCATCCATCCAGCTGTGAGTCAACTCCGGCTTCAATTATTCGGGAAAGAAGCATGGCGGGGCCAGACATTAATGTGCGAGCCTCGAGAACCACCGACAGCGGGTCCAGTGGTCTAGTTTCAAGGTACAATACTCGAGATCCCATGGCGAAAAGCATTATGATGATGGAGGAGACGAATGCTGGTTCATAATCCGGTGGTGAGATCTCTGGAAGAACTTTGCTTAATCCAGCGCATGCCTGGCTCTGATATCGCACAGCATGATTTAGCCATGAAGCCCGATTATCGGTTTCAACGGAGGCCAAGTGTAAGGCTGAAAATGCGTGGATGCTGTCAAGCAGGTACGGACAAGATGCGGCCATGCGAGGAATGGTCATGGAGAGATGGTGTGCTGACAGTCCATCCTGCGACAGGGTGTGAGACGTTGAAGTCATATATTGGTGGAATAATCTCGTCTCAAGCAAGCGTGTTGCCAGCGGGTAATCCCTTGATGGGGTCACGGTGCCACTATCTGTTTCATCCTGGGCGCTGGATGCCATGGGGCTGTCCTCGTCTTCATTTTGGGGCGGATATCTGCACTCCAATCTTCGCTTTCTGCACAGAGTACATCTTGGAATGCCCTCATCACACTGAGCGTTGCGTCAGAATATGAGTCTCAGCCGGTGGGTTACCGCCATCCGTAAAGGCCACCGGAACCATGATCCAGGCACATCGCTAAGCCACATGCAACACCCCCGACGGGTTTAGGGGAGTAAGCTTGTTGTTACTGACCTTCACATGTCTTCTTTTACACTCCAAACACCCCTTCCTGGACTTCGTGTGACTACGACGCGAGGGCATTGATGGCTGCCATTCAGGCACAGAATCAAAGTGATCTAGTATTAGCAAAGAAAACAGGGGAAAAAACACCAACTTTCAGTTCCAATTCACATCTCGGTCAAATTAATCCATATTCCCGACCTCGGTTCTTTCTGGGGGATCTGCACATGACATTAAGTGATTGGCAGAGACCGTACCTGGAGGTGCACCGGGCCGGGCCCCAGGGTCCCGAGGTCCTGATTGTGGCTTATATAATCATCGCCTCGACCAGGGGGCGGCTCGAGGGGCTCCAGGAAGGACTAATTCTATAATATAGAGACATGAAGTAGACACCAAAGACAGAAATGCGGGTGCTTGAGCCGTTTGGACTTGAAACTAAAGTTGATGAACGAATTCAAATTCGCGATCGAGGATCCGTATAAAATTTTGCTATCACATGCTACAAACCACCAATCGCAGGATTTCTTTTATAACAAAAAGCGATGCCCCTCAAAATAGATTTTCTACATGAAACGAGGGCGTCATATAGTTATCTAACTTATTATCTATTATCAGTGCAATATATAGATTTCTTTGCTCTTCGTACAACACTCGAAGCACCCTATGAATTATCGGGAACGCGCTATCAGGTAGCCAACAGACAGGCAAGTCGCCTATTTCAAAGTTTCGATTGTGATTGGAATTGGATAGAATGTCTCCTGGGAAGCATGCGGGAACTATAGACTCGATAGTGAGTATTATCACTGGGCAAGGTGCACCAGCCCAAAGCGAGAGGGCCCTCCAAACTATAAAGCCGGTGGCTACCACTTGCGCTGCGGTGAGTAACACGTCCAAAGCAGACCGCATGACTGTGTGCATTCTGATGTGTACATCACGGAAAGTGTTGGCTGAAGCCGTAACAGCTCCGGAGGTCTTCCAAATTTACAATGATTGCCATCTGTATGTATTTTAATAGGTAATAACGGGTATGTACTATCAGACATTTTGAACTACTTCAATACAGCCTTGGAATAGCAATCCGATTCTTTGGGGTCAGAGGATTGGATTCTAAGCGACGACGAGAGTTCAGAGCACGGAGCCTGCGTCTTGGCACCGAGTCAATGACCTGAGCCAGAGCTGTGTTGCTGTGCACTAGATCTAATAGCCAGTAGTGATTAGACTTAATGGACTTGAATTTCAAACATAAGGACATACATTGTAGTGGGAATTCGGCTTATAGAAGGAAGTTCAAAAATTCCTTCGCAAGTTGCATGAGAATTCCGTGTTTAACTATAGGAAAGTCAAAGTAGAATGGAAAATCTATACGGCCTGTGGATATGAATGTTCAAGGGATCGGCAGAGGCGTGATTACACGTTCTGCTCCTAGCCATAATCCAATTGGTGGGGATCCGAGATTGTTATGTATCCAAGTGTAAGAGAAACAGCACTAAGGAGTGACTTCTTATACTCCAAAAGAAATTATAAAGCTTCTGTCGAGACTTGCTCTCACATGTTGCTAGCAAAATCACAGGCACTAGCGATCATCTATTACTAGGTTATAATACTTAGCTATGTAGGAAAAAAAAGTAGTTACATAGAGGATAATATATATTAGTCTTATTAGTTTTTACTAGAATTAATCACAATATATTAATATATACTTAGATAAATCAATGATTTATTAAATTTAAAGTAAACAATATAATTGAAATACTTAAAATTACTAGGAATTCCTATATTATTTATATAGTGACAAGAAATTAGTATATTTGCACTATTTAGTTATGGGGGGGGCTTATCGCTAGTCTGCGCCAAAACCCGAGAATGGGTAAGAGGTTCCAACCCGCCCGAACCAGCAAACCCGCATGGGTAACCCACGCGGGTTCCCGCAAGAACCCGCGGCTACATAATTTTCCTAATAGAGACAGGCCAAACCGTATAAAGCTGCTTATCTATTCTAATATAAAGTTATAAAAGTCTACCCGAAATCCAACCCATTTGCGGGTTTTGGCGCAGTCTACTTATCGCCCCCCCCCCC